CTGGTAGAAGCCGGGGTTTGAACTCAGGCAGCAGACTCTAAAATCTCGAACTCCTGGAAAGGGAGAGTTCACCAAGAGCTCCGTAGAAGTGGACAGAAAAGGACAAAACAAGCAGGGGGACGGGATGCAAGGAAGCTGTAAGCAGAAAGGTCGTTAGTAACCTCGGCAGAGTGTTCTCGATCAGAAGGGGTTTTCAAGGTGTTTCCTTTTAGGTAACTGACAGCTTCAAGGAGAGCAGGTTTGGAGGCTACAGATGGAACAGGTCGGAGGGCCTTGCTCCACGCAGGGAGTGAGAAGTCACCTAGGAATGCAGTGTTGACACTGATAGCATCTGGACTTGGCAGGTTCCCACAGTCTGGCTCCCCCTAGGGCAGCCTGCACGCATGCTGCTCCCTCGCTCTGCGGGGAGGCTGAAAGCTGACACTACCGCACAGAGAGCCTTGGTTGTCATACAAACTGTAAATAGCATTGTCCACAAGAGTTAAAAAGTCCCTTAGATATCTGGTGATTTAAATGTCTGTTTAGGTTGCTGTCTTAAACCAAGGACTAGATCATCACAGGCTTTTGATCTAATATACCTTTCTTGAATGTGCTTTGGAATCTTCCTGCTAATTGATCTTATTTCAGGAAGCGACTTCCTGAAGTGAAACCAGTGAAGTGAAACCCTTGTAAACAAGGAGTGCAGAAGAAACACTAAGAGCAGAAACTAAAGCTCAAGTTGAAGCTTTGTGGCCAGGGCTTGGAATCCCAAGAAGGCACTGTCTAGACATAAGGTGATGCTTTTTGGAGCCAAGTCCCTGGGTAGTGTTAAAAGCAAATGGGACCAAAGCAGTTACACTTGCAGGGGTGTCCAACCTTTTGGTGTCTCTGGGCCACGCTGGAAGAAGAAGAGTCGTATTGGGCCACACATTAAATACATTGCAACATATAATCACAAAAAAGTCTCATCATGTTTTAAGTAAATTTACAGTTTTGTGTTGGGCCACATTCACAGACATCCTGGGTTGCATGCGACCCATGGGCTGCAGGTTGGACACCCCTGACACAGTCACATGGCAGCCATGAGAACACAGAGCTTAGATCCTGCTATGAGGAATGTAGTTGATTAACAGCCCTGCATCCACCAGCACATTTACCCTCGGATGCTTCCAGCCAAAGACGGAACATAGCCACGCTGTCAATTCAAGCCTATTCCTGTGAGCTGTGAGGCTGCGCCAATGGGTGACTGGCCCAAGGGCTTTCTGTCAGGCTGGTCGACCCTTTTTTGGATTGTACTGTAGCCTGAAATTCTTCCTTCTCTCTCTCCTTCACAGTTGTGTGAAATTCATTACAGCCGCACTCAGGGGCAGCCTACAAGACAGCGGAGAGGGGAAATCTTGTTAATAGGCCACCTGTAGGTGGTGCAACCTGTATTCACACTGGAAAGAAAAGGAGCCTGAAGTGAGAATATACACAGCTGGCTCATGGCCTGGTCTTTTGGCCAGGAACCTAAAAGGAAAAGGACAGAAAGGTTGGAAACCAGGAGGCTTGGGCCAGAAGCATGTCAACAAACTTAGAGGAGTGGGCAGCAAGTGCTATTTTTGTCTCAAACAGGCATGCCCCCCAGAAAGCATCATTATGGAGAGGCACAGGACACCAGGTGGACCAGATGACTCAGTCAATTGGTGGTGTCTGTCCCTTATCATCTGTCATTGCAGAACTGGCATAATGGGCAGAAGAATGAAGAAAAACTGCAAACAGGCCCAACCTCATTGACCCTCACTTAACCAAAGCCAATGCATTTGGAGCTGCCTCTGAATGTCTACCCTGTCCACACAGAGACCAACGCTGAGCCCCAGTATGGCACGGTCCCTTTTTTAAAAAGATTTTTATAGAGAGGAGAAGGGAGGGAGAAAGAGAGGGAGAGAAACATCGATGTGCTAGAGAGCCATCTGCCTCTCGCATGCCCCCAAGCGGAGATTTGACCCACAACTCAGGCATGTGCCCTGACCAGGAATCGAACCAGTGATCCTTCAGTTTGCAGGATAATGCCCAACCCACTAAACCACACCATTTGGGCTCAGCACTGCTTCTTAAGGAAAGCAACAAGCTGCTTGCTGGTAAGGCAGCAAGTGGGTTGGTTGTAGATGCATTGCTGCTCAGCTCTATGAACACAGATTGACCCTTTAGTTTTTCCTTTGCTTAGCTGGCCATGAAGCTTTGTCAGGAGAGGGTGATGGAGAGACACTGTGGGAGGCTCTGGTCCTGTATGTAGACTCCAGAGTGCAGGCTGTAGTGGTGCTCCATGGGGAGCAACAGAAACGTCCCCTGACATCTCCCTCAGGTCCTTGTATAACAGAGGTCTCTGGTGAGTCCCCTTCACGGCACAGTGTCCTCTGGCACTCTAGATAGTAGATTTCAAGCAAGTTGCAGAGGACAGTTTTCTAGCAAGTTCCACGAGCAGAGCATCCCAGTGACTGCTCAGACATGAAGTGAGCTGGGTCACGCCCTCCCAACAAGGTCTGGGGGTCAGCCAGGAGGAGGGGTGGAGGGGGAGGGAAGGGTTCTTCACCTCAGTCCTACGACATTAGTAGCTGCTCCTTGTACTGCTATTCCCATATTCTTAAACATTCTCTTTACTTCCTACCAACCAACCCCTCATTGCCTCAATCCCCTGTTGTAATAATAATTCAGTATATTAAACTTTCCCTGTTCAAATGACCATGTGGCATCTCTGTCACTACTCATAGTGAAAGGTAAGAGTTTGCCTTCCCTACTCACAGGAACTGAGGTGCCACCACCATTGGATTTATTATACACACCTAATCCACAGGCATGGAATCCCAACCTGGTACAGCGCCCAACCTGTGAAAGAGGTGTGAGAGCGGACCCCGGATCACGGAACCATTGACTGTATCACACACCACACTTCCAGAAGCAGCCAGGCCCAGGGGACTAGAACAGCCCAGGCACAGCTGACTCTGAAGGGATGGAGTACCATCTGTCAGGATGCTTCCCCAGGTGCTTTGGGAACGTCTGTGAACCAACGAGCCACGGGGCAAGTGGCCCTCCTTACCGTCACTCCTAAGACTCATGGCGGGACTGTGCATCCCAACGGGCAATTCCGGGCCCTGAGGCATGGGAGGCCTTGGTCCCAAAGCGGGCAACTCTTGCCAGGGGACACGGCAGGTCCCACGTAACTACAAACTATGGCTGATGCCAGGGTACTAGAGACTCTGTGTCCAGCCCCCAGCTGGTGAGAAAAGGAGTCACCACCACCAGTCAGAGGAGTCAGACAGCTACTTCTACAATCATCTCTGACAGCGGGGCAGGGAGGAGCACAAGTGGAACCCAGGGGACCCACAGAATGTCTCTGGGCATCCCCTTCCCCATGTGACCGTGAATGCACACGTGCAGCAAGCCCGGCCTGACAAAGTATCACTTTGTGGCTATTCAAGATGCTTCCTGTCAACTCTTCTCTTTCTCCCTCTTTACGCGTGTTGGGGCTTCCATCACAGCGAAGGCTCTCACTGCCTTCTTGGGCCCCCTGCCTTTTACCCTCCCCAGGCAGATTCCCCAGTAAGTATCATGCACGTCGTCTTGTTCTGGCATCTGCTGCTCAGGGGACCTGAATTAACACAGGCCATGGACCGAATGAGCAGGGTGAGGGGGAGGGATGATATCCATACGGGTCATCTTTGTCCACAAACTCTTTACCATAGCTATAGAATTGTTTTTGTTTTCCTCTAGATGTCCATTTTCTGTATCTGTATTTTCTTTCTGTTATATGCGTATAGCCCCACAACCTGATCCTTTATAGCAATAGAACATTTGGAAATTCTACATTTCTTTGGCCTGATTAATGGTTCTCTCTCACTTTTTCTCTCTTAATCTCTTCCTCTCAATGTCAAGCTCCGTGAAGCCAAGGTCCATGCGTATTCTGTGTATTTCCTTCCGTACTGCATGCCCAACTCCCACCACAATGCTGACCACGTAGTAGGGGCCCATTATTAACTGAGTGAATTATTAAGCCTATTCAGAAACATTCATTCTACAGCAAAATTCACAAGCAAAAGAACACTGTTGATGGGACACTATTACGCTACATCCAGAGGTCCTGGAGAATTGATTCTAGAATATAGATAATGATGGACTGTCCAGGAATGCTCTAGCAAGATGTAATACGGAGTTGTAGCTAACTTCGGTGCTCTGTAGGGCGGGCTCCATGCCCTAGGCAAAACTAATCAAATGCCAGCACTATGGAGATATAATGGGGCGTTCGCAGCCATAAAGATGAGGTATTGATGGTTTGAAAAGCAAGCCTCGCCTCTTCTGTCTTCTGCACCAACCTGTGTTAGGGCCACCCTGCCCTCTAACATGGCTTGCAATTTTTAGTTAACTATGATATTATTGCGTCCAGAAGGCCAGTGTTGTTTTCTTGTCTAGGAGGACAAGATTTCTGATTTTCCCACAGTAATAGCATGGACACAAAACTTAAGGCAGTGCTCACTCTCAGGGGCAACTCTGCACCCTAGGCATCTCACGATCTGCCCCCAAGTCCAAGCCGTGCTTGTGAACCAGATAAAGTGGCAGGTTCAGCGGGCCACCGCAGAGCTTGGTCAATCGTATACAGGCACTTAGAACGGAGAGTCACTGATAAAGAAAAGGAAATACCGACTACACTGCAAGACTGAATAAGCCCATTCAAGGAAACCTAATTGCTTAGGACAAAAAATGAATGTAGGCAGCTTGTATACAGCATTTCAGAAGTCAGGATACCATCTGCCAGAAAGAATCATTTGAAAGCAAAATACTGAACCCTAACACGTTTGTATAAAATTAATCAGAAATATGTGTTACACACAAAAAGAGAAACATGGAGAAGAGGGAATACTTTGGATTAAAAAGAATCGAGACACAAATCAATCACTGCAAAAAACAATGCTACACATAAGTTTACTTTTCTCTTGAATTGAGAGGGTTTATAGAAATTCAACTCCATGAACAAAACAAACCACACATTGGAAGTTGCCATAAAGCTTTACTGAACCAAAATATTTGCCAAGTAAAGTGAATCACTGTATAACTCCAGTGATCGAAATGGTAATGGTGCCACAATTTAAAGTTATTATCTATCTCTACAATTAAACCCTGTGGAAGATCACAATACCTTTTATTATTAATTAGAAGTTATTTCACTTTTCGATCACCTGTCTAGGATTAAAAAGTATAATCATAAATTATGTTAATTTCCATTCTTTAAAAGGCTAAAACATATTGATTGAGACTTTAAAATGCATTTCTATCAGGAATGGTCTTTGTACACAGAAAACTGATATCATGAGAAAAGTACAGTGATTTTACCATACAAATTGCAAACTCCTATAAGTACAGTAGTGCAGTCTTAAGATGTTAAGGCATCTGGGGACAAAAGACACTCCTTCTTTCCTTCCATTAGAGATTAGCTTTCAGCATTGAAGACTCTTTCATCTTTTTGACAACAGAAAGGTCCCCTGTTCCCTCTGGCCAGTTGTCATGATCTGTTAAATAAGTGGAAACTTCATGTTACTTGCAAATCTATTAACCCTGTAAGCCTTCCCAGCTTGCACCAAACTCTCGTTATTTTCCCTGGTTCACCTCTTTTCTCAGAAAGAAAAATGGAATTATTAGGACAAGTAGCACAGGTTTTGAGGAAATCCTGGATTTGATTCCCAGCCCTGGCCCTTAGTAGCTTTTCCGAATGTGGAGAAGTTAGTCTTCCTGAGCCTCCGCTTTCTTATCTCCTAAAGCGGATAACCACATCTATTAAAGTTCTGAGAATCAAATGTGACACGCGATGTACGGCACTTGGCATTTTGTAGGCACAATACGTATTACTTCCTTAATAAGAAGGATGATTTTAAAACAACGTACGTCCTTTGTACCATGAGCATCCAGCTGCCTCTGCAGTATCCAGGCCCTCACTCCTCTTTCCAATAATCTGTTTGCACTTAAGCTCCATGAGGTTCCAGGGAAGTGACCTCACTTTGACTACTCGCTGATGATGCCCTGACCTAAGTCAACCAATGCACCCCGTTCCCCTGGACATGGCTACTGTTTGGGGATGATCATTTGCACACACTGATCTGAAGCAGAGCAGATCTCAGAACTCTGTTGGAAAAGGTGAAAGAAAGTCATTCCCTTCCCCTCCCTCTCTGTCCACATGGATGTGAACAAAGAAGCATGGAGCTTTAGGAGCGGCAGGCAGCCATCCTGCATCCAGGACAGTTAGTCTTAAAGTCAACGTGATAGAAGCAAAGAGAAGGAAAAGGGAAAAAATGTCCTTGATGAGGTCACTGAACGGCAGAGTCAAGTCCCACCTGCTTTTCAGTGATTCAAGGCAACAAATTCCTTCGCAGCTCAAGCCAGTTGGACTTGCATCGGAAAGCATCCTACGGACCCAGGACTTTTAAGGCGCATCTTATAATTTGATCCTCAGGACAGCTTACAAAATCAATACTGTACGTGACCCCACTTGATAGGACAGACACTGGAGGCTCACAGAAGTTATCTTACCCACGGCATAGAGCTAGTAAGGGTATAGCCATGTTCCATGCCAGGCATTCTCACTCCAGGGCTGGCAATCTTCAAGAAAACACTACAGTGCAAGGCTGAATATTCCCACTCATACTTTTGGGAGAGTTTATGCTTAAAAAAGTAGATGTGGCTGCTTTCCTTACAAAATACGTTTCCTACACAGCCTTGTAGGCATTTCTGTTTCCAACTGAGATCCTGAAAACCAAAGTGTTTTATATCCAACACCACATTGACATTTCAGTGAAGAAATACATGTGGGAAGAGACATGATAGGTAATATTAGAGTCCCATGCTAGTTATTTATTCATGCAAAAGTCTTTAGCCTTGGTTAGACTGTTAGCACATAAAAGAGCAGGCTGAACCTGAGCCCCTGATATCAAGTGCGAAGACACATTCTAATTTTCTACTGGCCACTTAATCAACTCTCTTGATCAACAGTTTGAATACATTTGAATTTTATATATTTCTCTATATTTTGGGAGTGATTAGCTTCGACATGCCATTTGTAAACTTAGGGGATTGGGCTGATTTTTTAGGGCCTTTTTAAACCCCAAGTTCTCTAGTCTAGCCAGGAGGTACACACACACACACACACACACACACACACACGCATTTGTGTGAAATATCTACATTTGGTTGAGCCTTATAAAACTACTGTTTGGGGCATCAAAAATGAATACAGCAACTTCATATAGTTTCATTCAATATATATCCCAAAGGTAGTGTAACATAGCGCCGTAACACCCTTTCCCACCTAAGAGGTCTGATTCTTCTGCTCAGATGTACAAGTCACTTATTGGAGGAACCAAAGAATTTAATCTAAAAAAATAGGGCAACTTTTTGCCTTGTTTCTCTCTCCTCTTTGTACATATATATTCATACTGAAAACATTTCAAAGTTCATATTCTACCAACCTACACACACAAAAAAATCTTTTAAATATGTAAAGCTAAGTTTTAGAAAGATACTTAGATATTTCTGTGATGAAAAATATTTCATTTAAAAATTGTATCACGAATCACTTTACACAATTCAAAGTGGTGTAAGGAAAACTTATCTCTTCCGTAACTATTCAGACATTTTGAAAATGTGAACATGAAAAGGCATAATAAAGTGAGTGACTGCTCATTTCCTGACTACTCACCTGGTATTTCATATGCGTGACCTTTCAAAGACTGGCCACCATCCACAGCCACCAGCTGTCCGGTGATAAAGGAGGCTGCTGGAGACAGCAGGAAACATACCATGGAGGAGATCTGGAAATGGAAGGAGATATGGAAATGGAAACACATATGTCCACACGGAAAAGTAGACACATCTCATTCTGGCTGCTTCCCAATCCTGGGTAAACATACGTCAGGGCACATGACTACAACGTGGATTCTGCAGTGCATGTGCACCACAATCTGACAGTCCATAGACAACTGTCTTATGTTATTTGAGCATCTGCAAAATCAGGTAAGAGATTAGGGTGAAGAAGGCAAGACAAGATGGAGAACTTCGACAGTGTCCAAAAAGCTACACGGCATGAAGAAGCCAAAGTAAACACAGGACTAAACTTGCACTGTTTCTCAATTCAAACAACTCAGGTGGTTCCACACCTTTCCTTGCCCAACACAATGCTACTTTTCATCACTGCCATGTGCCTTTTATGTTTGTATCCCTGCTCTAGTCAATGTGTCTGTAAAACAATAACATGGTACTCTATAGTCCTGCAAACAAAAAGCCCAACAACTCAGGCTACAGGTGCCTTTTCCAAGAGGTACTTCAGAATCGCAGTGCGCCCTCTAAAGAAAGTGAGTGCGCAGGATCTCAGGAGCCAAATGAAGGGCCTGCCATGGTCTCCATCCCCTTCCCCAGAGATATGGACAGACACCACGGGGGTCCAACAGGTCCTTTTGCAACTACAGCTACATTCTGACCCTCCTGACTACCCCAGGGACTGTCACTGAAAAGAAAGTAACTCACCATCAAGCAGTTGGGCCAACGGCCTGGGTGAAAATTCTGCCCAAACGGGAGATTGCTGGGGCAATCGGAATATCTTGGACACATGACCTAGGGAAGCTGGGACGCAATTGGGCAGAAGCCAAAACCCTCCTCATGCTGCACCTCACAGCACCTGCCATCCTCTCTGCTTGGCTTCACGACCAAACTTTTTGAAGGCAATCGCTACATTATTGGTTAAAGTATGATCAGCAATACCCTGGCAGTACCTTAGACTTTTTCAGGAGATTTGCAAGGTCAAAACTACTTTCATGACAATACTAAGTCTTGATTTGCCTTTTTGCTTTGTTGACATTTGTACCTATGGTGCCAAAGCAATGGCGGCAAAGAGTGCCGGAGCCTCTCTATGAGTCATGGCAGGGACATAAAACTGACCTAATGACCCTTATCCTCGTAGTCATTATAGCCCTAACGGGCAAGTACTCATGGGGGGAAGAAAGAGTGTCTTGCTTTAGGGTGGCCTTGCTGAAGCAGTAAAAATTGTTCATTGTCTCAATCTTGACCACTGAGTCTACACCTTTTTAATATCCTGCACGATGAAATAGGAGTTACGCATTAAGCTCTTCTGTTGCGCATACAAGTATAATGGTTGCCTCAGGGAAAGACTGTGTGGTTGATTGGAGAACTGAACTAGTCATGTTTTTCATGAAACACCATTTTTTACTTGAAAGGACAAAGTACTGTTATTCATACTTGCACACCAGGCGGAGATTTTTCAAAAATTAGAATTTTGGAAACTTGCACTTGTCACCATGAGCTTGACAATTTTCTAATATTTAAACATTTTTTCCAAGAGATTGGTGGTGATGTTAACAAATTAACCTTTGGTGTGTGTGAACACTTGGAATTATGTGTCAACATTATAAGACTTACATAATTCAGGGAGTCCATACTTTCCAAAAGATCAATGCCTTATTTTACAAAATCATTTACAGCTCAAAGACCCAGAAAAACTGCAAGAAAGATCAATGGATTTTAATGTAACAGAGTACAGAACGTCTACTAACATGGTTCCAGGTTCCACACTGCAACTAATCTGTAAAACACTGCCACTTTTTGAATAGTAAAGAGGGATATTCACAATTATCTGAAAAGGCTATTAAATGCTTCTCTGTTTCCAGCAGTAAGTGTGCATGAAGCCAGGTTTTCTGCAGATGACTTAACCAAAACAACAGGTAGTAATAGAATGAATGTAGAGGCAGCTGTGAAAGTCGAGCTGTATTTCAAGTAATCCATACATTAAAGAGATTTACACAAATGTAAAACAAATGTAAAAGTTATATTCTTTTGTTTTTGGAAATACAGCTATTTTCATTATAATTTTTTTCACATTAACATGTAATACTTTTCTTAGTAATTTAAAATACATTGAAAAATATTTCTTAAATTTCTCAATTTCAATTTCTAATACAGTAAATACAGATAATGTTATTCACATAAACCAAAGGAGTGTTCTGTCTAAAATTTAGTCTTATCATTCCCTTAATGAAAATCTTTTAAAACCTCTCAGTTTTCAGAATAAATATCCAAACACATTGCTCAAAATAGCTCATTAAATGTTTGATTCAACAGTATCTTCTAAAATATCATGAGCAAATCCCTTCTGGTCCAAGAATTCCACTCCTAGAAAGTCACCCGCCCACACAGGCATGCATGACTATGTTCAAGGATGTTCACAGCAGAATTACTACAATATCAAAAACATAAGATATAAATGTGCAACAATACGCTCTAATTGAATCTCTTATGGCATATTCATAGCAAGTTGCAGAACATAAAGTAGATGCTCATTTTTGTAAAAAAAAAGGAGTCAATACATATAGACATTTTTGTGCATGTATAGTACATTTCTAGAAAGATATTCATCAAACTGACAGGGAAAGGTAGTTCTAGGAATGAGAATGCATTTGCTTCAAGAGTTTCATGATTTTGCTTTCCTATTTAGCACTTTAATACAGCTGAAAATTATTTTATATGTGATGTGAGAGAGGGGGTCTAATTTATTTCTAAAGGAACAGCCCATTGCTTCAAGACTGTTCCTGAATGGACTACTCTTTCCATACAGATTTGAAAGGCTACTTTTATCCTACAAACTTCCATATATACATGGTACTGATACAAGGGTCCATTCTATTCCAATAAATTTAATCTATTCCAGTACCAGCACCAGACATATTAAATAAGTACAGCACTGGACTATGTTTTGATATTAAAAGATCAAATCCCCTCATTATTCTTTTTCAACACATTTTCAGTTGTTTTTGTATAAATATTTTTCTAGACAAACTTTAGAATCACTCTGTTAAATTTCAAAAATATATTAAATTTATACATTAGTTTAGAAAAACTTGATTTTAATAAAATTGATTCTCTCCATTGAGGAATATGACATGTCTCTCTATTCTAGTCTTTTTTTTTTTTTCTGGTCACCAGTAATAAAATGTTTTTTGTTCAGAGCTATGTTTACTCTAGGTATTTTAGTTTATACTGTTATTATGGATAAGATATCCTTTTAAAATTACATTTTAAGACTGATATAGTGGATTTCCAGCCAAGATGGAGGTATAGGTAGACTTGCTTTGCCTCCTTGCACAACCACAAAAAGGATAACAACCAATATAAAAACCAAAACCCACTAGAACTGCCAGAATATTGAACTGTATGGAAGTCCGACAACCAAGAATTTAAAAAAGAAACATTAGTCCAGATGGGTAGGAGGGGCAGTGAGGATGCAGTATGGTACAGTGAGGCAGTAGCAGCCTGCAGCAGTGACCCATGGAACAGGCAATTCCATATTAATGTGCAGCAGATAAAAACCAGGAGGGACATCTTGGGGTGAGCTATCCCAGACCCAGGCCAGACCATGCAGCCCAGGATTCCAGTGATGGGAGAATACAGCCTCATAACCTCTGGCTGTAAACCAGTTGGGCTTGGCATGGCAGAAGAAACTGCTGGTCTCTCAGGTGAGTCTGTTTAAAGGGCCCTAGAACATCCACAAACACACTCACTCTGGGAATCAGCACTCAGGTAGTAACTAGAAGGGCACCAGATGCTTATGGGAAGTGGGGGAAGTGACTGGAAACAGGGAGAGAGCCGAGCAAGTAGCACTGTTCCCTCTCTGAACTGTCCCTGACATACAATGCCACAAAGTGGCAAAATGGGCTGCCCCCCTGCCCCCGGTGAATATCTAAGGCTCTGGCCCTTAAACATAACAGGGGCAACAAGCACGAGAACCAAGGCACCTGTACCTACCACACAGAAACACAGGGAGGCTGCCAAAATGAAGAGGCAGGGAGATAAGGCCTAACTGAAGGAATGGATCAAAACTCCAGAAAACGAACTAAGCAACACAGAGACAGATAACCTATCAGATGCAGAATTCAAGGCAGTGGTGATCAAGATGCTCAGAGAAATGATTGAGTGCAACCACAAAATAAAAGAAGTAAAGGCTATACAAAGTGAAATTTAAAATATATATATACAGGGAACCAAAAGGGAAGGGAAGGAAGCTGGGATTCAAATCAATGATTTGGAACAAAAGGAAAAAATAAACAGTCAACCGGAAAAGAAGGAAGAAAGAGGAATTCAAAAAAATGAGGAGAGGCTGAGGAACCTTTGGGACAACTTTAAATGTATCAACATCCAAATCATAGGGGTGCCAGAAAGAGAAGAGGAAGAGCAAGAAACTGAAAACTTATTTGAAATATTAATGAAAGAAAACTTCCCCAGTTTGGTGAAGGAAATAAACATACCAGTCCAGGAAACTCAGAGAGTCCCAAACAAGTTGGTCCCAAAGAGGACCACACCAAGACGCATCATAATTAAAACAAAGGTTAAAAATTAAGAGAGAATCTTAAAAGCAGCAAGAGAAAAGGAGAGAGTTACCCATAAAGAAGTTCCCATAAGACTATCAGCTGATTTCTCAAAAGAAACTTTGCAGGCAAGAAGGGACTGGCAAGAAGTATTCAGAGAGATGAAAAGCAAGGACCTACAACCTAAATTACTCTATCCAGCTAACATTTAGAATTGAAGGGCCGATAAAGTACTTCCCAGACTAGGTAAAGTTAAAGGAGTTCATATTGTCAAGCCTTTGTTGTATGAAATGTTGCAGGGACTTATCTAAGAAAAAGAATATCAAAACTATGAACAGTAAAATGACAACAAACTCACGACTATCAACAACAGAATCTGAAAAAACAAAAACAAACTGGACAAGAAACTAGAATAGGAGCAGAGTCATAGAGATGAAGGTCACATGGAGGGTTGTCAGTGGGTGGGGGTAGAGGGGAGAATGGGGGAAAAGGTGCAGGGAATAAGAAGCACAGGTGGTGGGTACAGAATAGAAATGAGTTGTTGGGAATAGTATGGGAAGTGGAAAAGCCAAAGAACTCCTATGTATGACCCACAAACATGAACTAAGGCGAGGGGGGCAGGGGCATTTTTGGAGGGAATGGTAGTACAGGGCAGAGAGGGGCAAAGGGGTAAAAATTGAGACAACTGTAATAGCATAACCAATGCAATACACTTAACAAAAAAAGACTGATAGAACTAAGAGTTAAGAAAGCTACTGATTTTTTTCATACTTAAATCTGGCCACCTTACAGAAGTTGTGTATGGAATGTCATATAGCCATACTCATCCACTTTATTTAGGATTCTGTATACCAGAAAATGTCATGTGATAAAATAACACAGCTGGAAAGTACAATGAAAAAATAAAAACACACTGTTCTTAATTTACACTGCATTTGCTCCTGAATGAAAACTACTGTGAGTATTTAAAGCACAGCCAGGATTTTCCCCAGAGCCAGAAAAGAAATGGTTTGGTGTCATGAAGAGGGATCACCTCTATCAGCCAACCACACTCCGTAAAAAAGACACCAAAATGTTACCAAGTTCAAAGTGTGAAATAAAGTCATTCTGATCAATGTCAGAAATATACATTACCTCCTCAGGAACTCCAAGTCTTTTAGCTGGGATTTGTTGAATGCACCTTCCAATTGTGTCTTTTGTTAAATGAGTATAGTTGTCAAAAGCAGTCTGGGAATAAATGGTTCCCTATGTTTAGATTTAAAAGAGGAAAAAAATAAAGTAAGTAAGATTAACTAATAATTTTAGAGACAAGGCAGTCTATCAGCCTATACCAAAGATTCAGTGCTTTAAGTTTAATACAAGAGTTAACATTTCTAATATTAAACTCTCTCAATATTGTTAAAGAAATACAGTCAACCACTAGTATGAATGGATTATCTGATGCTCACTTTGTGACCTCACCTTAGTTAGTAACAAAACCATAGATTTTTGTCATAAAATACCTTGTTTCTGAAAGCATAATTGAATGAGTAGATTAGTAAGGCTCTTAACTAGGAACAAAAAGACAGGGGACTCTATTTTATCTTCCACTGGGCTGCCCTGTTTAACAACATGAGACTGGGCTATGGTTATGTGAGATTCACAAAATGAGATATTTTCGTGGCTTTTCTCCTAAAGCAAAATCACAAAATTTGAATCCAATATAAAGAAGCTAAAAGTTTAACTGTTTAAGAATTCTTCCATATAGCTTTCAAGGGTTTATAAAGCCAAGAAAATTACTCAAAAACTGAATAGCAGGATAAAGCTATTTGTTACTTGCTCAAAACTGCAACAAAGGTAATGGGGAGTGGGGAGGGAGAAGGAGAGGAAAGAGGTGTAAAAGATGATGAAATCTGGAGGTATTACCTAGCCCCAATGACAGGTTACCATTAAACAATCTGTAGCCTTTTATTTCAAGAGGCTGACATCTTCTAGAAGTATTAAGGTTTAGACATTAAACTTAAAAACATCTTGGGTGGAGAATTATGTCCTTAATAATGTGCCTATAACACTAACGTGTCATTGGGGGTTTTCAAGAAATGCACTTTTGGAGGCCAGTATTCCAAGGTATTAACATTAAGAATGGAACTATATTTCATTTATCCTATAAATGTTTGCACGTAACACGGGGAAGGTAACATCAGCTACGGAGGACTGACAGGAAATGCTGTTCCTGGCTAGGAGCCTGCAATTCGTTAAATATGAGATTTTCTGCAAATGTCAACAAGTCAGTTCATACATAGTGTCCATGGGGAGCATGGATAACAATACCTATAGCTAGTATGCAGATAAAGTTACAGATAATATCCACAGATACTACAGAGTTTCAGATTAAGGGATCATTCCTATCTTAGCAATGATCTTCAACTGGGGGTTTCTTCCTAAAACTTTGACTTTAAGTTTCTCTCTCTCCTAATAAAGGGCTGATGACAAGCCAAGAAATAACAAAATTACCCAGAAAATTTCATTCTTTAAAGCAGTGGTTTTCAACCTTCACTGTGCATTTGCATTGCCTGGGTGGCTTTTAAAAATACTGATGTCTAGATACCACAGTCAGGAAAATACAGCCAGGATTGAGAATCACTGGCTTAATTCAACCTGAACAATCAAATCAAAGGATACTTGCAAATCGAAGAACACTTCTGATCTGTATGCAAAAGCCAGTCTTTTCCAGTACACATGCATAGAGACAACTACCCCTATCCACAACATAAATGGAATCAGAAGAGCACAATTTGTTCACGTAGAACTGTTACCTACAGGGGCGACACAGTTGATCCTGACGCCGCTCCTGGCCCACTCCAAAGCTAAGGTTTTGGTGAGATTGTAAACACCTTCTCTGGCAGCTCCGCTATGCCTTTAAAAGACAAAATATAAACATCATAATTAGCTTTACTGGGACATTTCTCTCGCTAACTACGCTGACAGGCGTGTCAATGACCTGTCAGAGCCCCAAAGGACATTCTTGCCATGAGGATCCGTCTTTTTGAGACTCTGTGGGAACAAGGAGAAAGAACTCGGTCCTCCCATGTTAAGACAAAACCACAAGACTTAATCTCCAGTAGCTGATCAAACTCCTGGGGTGGGGGTTTATGATAGTAGAGCTCCTTTTGGGGGTCTGTCTCCTGGCAGATGGGGAGAGCTCAGAGAAAGCTTCTCCCTGCATTAGCTGTTTTTCAAGGGCCAACTGCTCAAGATAACATGTCAAAGTAGCATTATGGGCTGGAATGTCCTACACTCCAGTGCCATATTTCAGTGTGACCACCCATTCAATTGCTTCTTGCTCACATTTTACAAACTGGTTCAAGTAACTGCTCACATTCACAGAGCAATTTCTGTCTCTGGTTTTCTACCTCTCTTGCAGTGCTGGTTTTCTCTCTTGGATGGCTACTAGTTTCTTTCTGAACGTCTGACGCTTGCTTCTTCAGGAGCTCCGTGTAACGTCTAGACCTCTTCTTGAGACGCAGAACCTCATGTGGTAGTCCTGCGGGCCAAGGGGCTGAGTGGATAAACACAATACGCCCTCCTCACAGAAGAGGGTCAGGCCTTGATTGTGCTTCCTACACAAGCACGTCAGTTCCTGCCCCTGCCTCTTGATCCTGGAAGAGCTTGTCATTTGTCAGTCCTCATTCGCAGCTTGGTGTTACTCCAGAACAGCCCCTCTTAGCATTGCTGGCGACATGCAAAGCAAGGGAACCTGTCCTGTAGATCTGCCCAGCATTGTTGGACGAGAAATTGTGGCCACAGTTGATGGTTATGGGGTTACACAGGTAATTGCGACAGATGGAGCTGCTGGCTGCTGCCTGGGATCCCACCAGGGTGGCTGCGGCTGATGCTGGGACTGAGGTGGGTTATCTTCAGAAAGGCTGGGCTCTGTCGAGATGCTCTAGCGAGAAGTGGATACACCCTCACAGCTGACATACTTGGTTCTGAGGACCTTGTTATTAGAAATTGGAAGTCATAGCATATTTGTATCCTCTTCCCAGAACCTCTGAATGGACAGAGACCTGAATATTTTGAACCTCTGTGGGAAATATATTATAATTAATTTAAATTTTAATATGTCTAAAAATGCTATTGAAATTATTCCTGCCTGGTGCATGAATGTCATATCCCTATTACATAAAATTGATTTTTAAAAAACCCACACTTTTTTAACCTTCAAATTACCCAATTTGTTTTCCTCCCTAATATAAAGTTCTTCACAATATTGCTCTTAGGTTCATGTGAATTGGGGGAATCTTACGTGGACCTACACAGTATGAGATTTCTTTGACTATCAGACAGCCATGCTTTGGCTTTAATGTGGAAAGACCCACTTCCTTCTCATTGTGCCTTTCACCAAATGAAAAGATGCCCCTTTCAGAATACACTCCTTGACCACAGTGTCGCCCAGAAGTTGAAACACCCATTTCGGATGAGGCTGAGGGGAACCGGCACTCTCCTACATTGCTGTCATGAGGGGAAAACGGAAAGAAGCTCAGCACCTGCATCCTGGTGCCTGTCCCCCGACAGCCACAATCCCTAGGTTCTCCTCAAGTGACTCCAGGCAGTACCAGCCTCCCTTGGCCAGTGCTCAAGGTGAGTGCCTGCAAACAAAAGTTTGTGCATTGCCCCTTGAAGAGTATGCCTGTGGCTTCAGCGGACTCCACATCTCCTTGGAAAAAGAAGCAGAAACCCCGCTACTTTTCTCAGTGGGCTGCTATGTGCATGCCTGTTCCTGGCTCCGGTGCTCTGGGCTGAGGGGCCTGGCCTGGGGTTTATGCCTCGCGCCCCTAAGGGGGAAGCACCCACGGCTGAGCGGGTAATCCCTCCAGTACCTCACCCCCGCCTGCCCGAGGGAGTGGGGCCAGCCCTCTTCGTGTCACTGCCCTTCCTATCAGCCTCACGGCTTCTGCTGCAAATACTTGGTTACCGGGGGCCTCTGCAGCAAGACTTCAGCTGGCCGTTCAGGGTGACAGCCCCCCAATTTAGCTGCATTTCATTTTGTCCTCGGAGGAGGTGCATTCGAAATCCACCTATTCCAGCACCACCTTGAAACTCATCAGAACTACAATTCTAAAGTTCAAATAAAGGGAAATGCTAAGTATTGAGATCACAAGTCATTAGAGGGTTAAGGATCTGGTATTTGAAGTAACCACTGAAATCGCAAGTACTGTAACCAATCGGTGTGAAGAATAAACAGTCACTGCTTCCTCACTGAATCAGCTGCTTTACAGCAACATACCCCTGAGCCTCATTCCATGTTTTTCCTGGAGTGCTCCCATTTGCAAACAGTCGTTTTCGTGTAAGTACATTGTCACTAACTCCTACTTCAGTGACTTATTGGTTTTACTTTGGCTATTTCTGAACCTCTGTCACATAGGAAACAATATATAACAATGCTTACACAGCTCCTGGAAATCCATTGTTAGCCACCATAGTGATATTCACAATAGATCCTCCATGCTCTCTCATCCAAGAGTTGTAAACTGCAGGAAACACACAAATGACAATCATATTAAACACTTGCTGACCTCTCATCCCTTGTTCTAGCATGCCACTGTGGTGACACACTGTAAGTTTTTATTTACTTTTTTTAATTAAAAGCCTGGCTGAGGTACAATTTACATATCACAAAATTGATCTACTTTAGGTACAATTTAATAATTTCAAAAAATATATAGCACTATGCAATCATCCACAAAATCCAGTTTTAAAACATTCTCATCACCCTGAGAGTTACTTTGTGCCCCTTTGCGCCAAGCCCACCCCTGGTAATACCCCTGCCACAGCAGCACATACTGGGGAGGCCTGCTTGAAGCCCTTCACTAACACGTAATCTGCTTCTTCCCTACTTCTTTACACTAAAGCAGCCAATCCTGTATCACTGCTCAGGTAGAGCTATATATCGCTACTTAGAGAAAAATTAAGCCTGGCGATGCTGCAAGAACTTTGACTTAGACATACTAACAATATACAGGCTAACCCACGTGAGAGTAAAGGTCCTTTGGATCAGAATTATACTCCTTCTATGTTGTGCATCATAAAAATGTCTTAGGTCGTTTACCCAATGTCAGGAGATTAATATCGCTGCCTATGCAATTTAGCCCTTTCTCTTTCCAATTACAATTTACATCTGATATTATTTTGTATTAGCCTTAAGTCTACATATAGCACAGAGATTAGACAATCTCATACCTTACAAAGAGTTTCCCCTGACATGTCAAATAACCACCTGACAGCATACACAGTTACTACAATATTATTGCGTATATTCCCTGTGATGTACTTTACATCCCATGACTATTTTGTAACAACCATTTTGTAATTCGTAATCCCTTTGGCTCTTTCACACAGTGCCCCCAACTCCCCTCCCCACTGGCAACCATCAATCTGTTCTCTATCTCTCTAAGTCTGTTCCGATTTTGTTTGCTTATTTTGTTCTTTAGGGTTGACACATAAGCAAAACCATACACTATTTGTCTTTCTCTGACCGACTTATTACATTTAGCATAATGCAGTCTAGGTCCATCCACGCTATCACAAAAGGTAAGGCTTCCTTTTTTTTTTGTGGTAGAGAAACACCCCACGGTACATATGTGTACCAGTGCTTTTACAACCACTAGTCTATTAATGGGCACTTGGGTTGTTTCCATAGCTTGGCTATTGTAATAAAGCTGCAATGAACTTAGGGGTGCATACATTCTTTCCGATTAGTGTTTTGGGGTTCTTCAGATAAATGCCTGGAAGCAGAATTCCTAGGTCACAAGCCAATTCTATTTTTAATTTCCTGTGGCAACCGCACCCTTTTTCCACAGTGGCTGCACCAATCTGCATTCCACAAACAGTGCACGAGGTTTCTTTTCTTCATATCCTCATCAACACTTGCTGAATATGGATCTATTGATGATAGCCATTATGATAGGTGTGAGGTGATAGCTCACTGTGGTTTTTATTTGCATTTCTCTGGTGATTAGTGATGCTGAGAATCTTTTCATATGCCTATTGGCCATCAGTATGTCCTTTTTGGGGAAGTGTCTGTTCATATCCCCTGACCATTTTTTAATTGGATTGTTTGCTTTTTTGGTGTTGAGTTGTTTGTGGCCCTTATAAATTTTGGATATTATGCCCTTATCAAATATACCGTTGCAAATACATTCTTCCATTCAGCATGATATATTTTACGTTTCCTTGACGACTTCCTTTGCTGTGCAAAAACTCTTTAGTTTGATGTATTATAATTGTTTTTTGTCCTTTGTTTCTCTTCCCCAAGAAGATATATTAGAAGAACGTTTACTAAGAAAAATGTCAAACATTTTACTGCCTGTTTTGTTTTAGGATTTGTACGGTTTTGAGCCATACATTTAAGCCTTTTATCCATTTTGAGTTCATTCTTGTATACGGCGTAAGTTGGCAGTCTAGTTTCACTTTTTTTCCTTGTACCTGTCCAATTTTCCTAACATAATTTATTGAATAGGCTGTCTTTACCCTAGTGTAGGTTCTTGCAGCCTCCATCATATATTAATTGACCGTATAAGCTTGGATTTATTTCTGGGCTCTCTATAATTGATCTATGTGTCGGTCTTTATGCCAGTACTATCCTGTTTTTATTACTACAGGCTTGTAGTATAGTTTCACATCAGGTAGCATAAAACTTCCAACTTTCTTCTCCTTTCTCAGAATTGTTGTGGCTATTCGGGGTCTTTTGCGGTTCCATATAGATTCTGCATTATTTGTTCTAGGTCTGTCAAGTAGGCCATTGGTATTTTCATAGGAAGTACACTGCATCTATAGATGGCTTGGGTCGTATAAACATTTTAATGATTGAAACATAACCTGCAATCCAAAGACTATGTCCTGCTAATTAGCTGTTAGTCAGAGGGAATGTGGACTCTGTCTGGTATTCTTCCTAGGGATCTTACGGACCAACAGGTCCATATAACAGCTTTAACAGATTTATCTCTTAAAAACAAACTGTTTTACTTTTCTTGAGCTCTATGAACAACTTTGTAGCTATACCTCTGTACAGATCCTTAACAATTTTCTCATTATACATTACTAAAAGTAAAATTATACGATCAACAGATATTCATATTTTATCAATAGTGACAAATTACTATCCAGAGATGTGGCCATTTAAAATCCTGTACTGTATGTGAGTAACTCAGAGCAGTAACTGTTCATGATTTGGAGATTTCAGAGCCACTCACATTTTCTCTTTCAGGATTCTCTATGGTATTTAAACAAAAACACACTGGATTGGGGTTTACTGAACACACTTGCCTGCTTTGCACATGTAGAAGGTGCCCGACAGGTTGGTTTCAATCACAGCATTCCATCCCTTTGAACTGATGTTTTCAGCGGGTGCAAAAAACTGGCCGCCTCCATTGTTTACTAAAAAATCGATCCTATTGTAAATATCTAAGGTAGACTTGACCAAATTATTTACCTAAAGAAAAACATTAAAAGTAAATTGGTTAATAACCTTAATTTGCTACTTGGGCTCATGGTTTATTCTCAGAGACCTTACAATCTCTCGCTGTTAATGGTAACTCTGAATACCACAATACCCACAGATCATAAAGCTAAATTTATAATTCTGTTTCCCTTCCTCTCCTTCTCATGAGGTGACGCACTCAATAAATCATTAGCAGAAGAATCTCCTTCACAGGCTCTGCTCTTGAGCTTCATCTGAACCAGCTAACATAGGAACACCTGAAGCACAGTCAAGTTGAGGAAGCTCTACTAGGAACTGAAAATGAATAAACGATATGGATAGATTTGCATTACCTCCTCTTCGTCACGGATGTTGCATTTTATAGGAGTGATGTGAGACTGGTGGGTGGGAGGCAGGCTGGTCTTCAGTTCATCTGCAGTAGATTTTAATACATCAAACTTACGGGATGTGATGACCACCTTGGCGCCTGAGGAGAAAACAGCCAATGAACAAGTAAAGATGCTTTCACTGGTTGCTGAAAATAAGGTAGAGCAAATATATCCTGTGTGTTCACTTAAAAAAGATGGATTAGGACTTCTGTTTCCGGTCAAGATGGAGTAACAGGAGCTGAGTTTACTCTCTGGCCCCATACCACTGAAAACCTGACAAACTATATACAACAATGGTTGTCAGGCATTGGACATGGGGAAGACTTGAGAGTGATCTCAGAGAGTGGAAACAAGCCAAGTGAGCTCTGTGATTGTTCCAGCTGCTGCCTGGAGAGACTGTTTGGCTACAGCAAGGAGAAGGCACCTATCCAGAGCTCGGCAGTCTCCTGGGTAGAAGAGATGAAGCTAGAACTCTGGGGTGGCCAAGATGACTAGATTACACAGGGCACAGAGAGAAAAGACATACAGAGAGAGAGAACTCCGAGATCTACAGAGAGTTCCGTCAAAGCTTGAGCTGCACACTGATCAGAGCATGTCAGTAAGGAAATTGCCTGTGGCGGGGAATAAATGACCCAAAATGAGCAGAGGGAACACACCCTGGCACTCACACAGCACTGGAAAAAGTGTTCCCACTGGAGAAGCTCTTCACGTGGCAATGGTTAACGCACTCAGAAGTCTATGGCCTCAGTAATGAAGCAAAATTAGCCCCAGACTAATTCGAGTCAGTGAATACCATTAAGCCGTCCCTTCAGTAACATTCAAAATGCATGGCATGCAACAAAAAAACTACCAGGCACTCAAAGGAGCAGAACAATGCAAACCATAATGAGGAGAAAGTCAATTATTAATAACATACCTAGAAAAGACACTGATGATATAATGAAATAGGCCACTGGTAAAAAGAAAAAAATTAAGAGCCGGAGAAAAAGAACACATTAAGTACACAACAAAAGAGACAACAAAGACAGAGTACTTATTCTCAGAAACACTGCAAGCCAGAAGACAATGGAATGTCTCGAAAGTGTTGCTGAATTACCCACCAAAATTGAGGTTCATGTACCTGATGTGTAATTAGGCTAAAACACTGAGATAGCAATGCTTGGATACAGAGAAAGATTTACTTGAATTGGCCATAGAGCAGGGACAGAAGAGCAATACCCCTCAAGAAGCAAAAGTAGGGAGTTTTTACATGGCTAGCGAGCAAGGGAGGGCTAGTTTCAGGGAACTGAGAGAGAACTCTGAGTCTTTAGTCACAGGCAACATATTTTTGTATCAAACTCCTGATGGTGCTGGAATTACCATTTGCTCTTGACAAAGAAACAGTCCATTAGCAACACAAAATTATATTGTGAGAAGAAGAGGTCTGGGGTGAAAAAATCAAGATTCTATAAAAGATAAGTTGAGACCATAACAAGCCTCCTCACTGCTCTGTGTGTGTCAAAATCGTGTGTCAGTGGCCTTATCTCTAAGAGAAAAAAGGAGAAACTAGGTATCTTGTAACTATCGCCATTGTTTGCGCTATCATTGTTTTATGCTTAACTAGCTATATTTTCCTATTATCTCAAGCAACGTGTCTTTAAAATTTTTTTTATTAATTGCTTTTACAGAGAGAGGAAGGCAGAAAGACAGAGAGGGAAACATCGATTTGTTGTTCCACTTATTTATGCATTCATCGGTCGATCCTTTTTTGTGCGCTGACTAGAGATGGAGCCACAACCTTGATGTATCAGGATGACACTCCAACTAAGGGGGCTACTTACCCAGGGGAAGCAAAGGGTCTTTTAGACATTTCTGGAACTTGCTTTACAGACAGTCAGAGCATGACTAAAATACTTTCTTCAGAACATAACTAAAACATTTTCTTCATCTTTGACTATTTTAGCTATATAACAATTGAAGCAATTCAAACATTTCGGCAAAGGCTATACCTCAATCCTAGTTAAGAATTAAATGATTTAATTTGAACTGTAAGTAATTCTGGGGTCATTAAAATCATGAGGAGCTCAGCTCCAAAAGTACTCCAGGGTGAATGGGGCGGGGGAGATTTATGCACTGGGAAATCTTGACCCAGTGAAAATAGCTTTCAAAAATGATGGCAAAATAAAGACTTGTTCACATAAATAGTAACTAGAAGATGTCATTAAACCAGACCTGCACCACTAAATTATTAGAGGAAGACCTTCCGCCAGACAGGCAATAATACCAGCTGGGAATCAATCTAGGGAAGAGAATCAGAAATGGCAATTATCGTAGTAAATTTAAAGACCTTTCTCCTTTCTATTCAAATCTATATAAAAAAGTGGTGATCGCTTAAAGTAAAAATGGTAACAACGTATTGAGATATTTATAGTATATGTAAAAACAAAATACATAAGAATAGCAACGAGACAGCCAGGAAGGGAAAATATAAGAACACGCAGTCCTTGTTTTGCTCAGCTCTAGTAGGCACTAATTTCAGTTACTTTAGCTTAGTTTAATAACACCAGTCCCCCACCAACATGGTTCAAATTTCCACTACCAGGATATATTAACTGCATAACATACAGACCTCAGGGCTAGCTCCTCAATCCACCAATCACCATGACAATAAGAGAAATCAATGACTGATTATGTCAATTCTTTCAGTGTCTCTCAGTAATCAGTTGCCCTGAATCTAACTTCAGGTCATGCACAGACAGCAAAATACGCCGCGTGTTGCCTCATCTCCCAGTGATAAACCCACGCAACATCTCACATAAAGTAGTGATTGAAAGAGAAAGATAAAAGTAAGAAGGGTATGGCTGTTCCCAGAGTACTCAAAATAAAAACTAGTAACACTGCAAGTGAAATCAGAATGGATGTAAATGGAGTTTAAAGACGAATAGCTGCTCATGGAGGAGCTGACGCTTCTACCCATGTTTTCCTTAAATGAAAATCCAAAGTTCTGCTTTGGCCAATGTAGCTCAGTTGGTTGGGCATTGTCCTACACACTGAAAGGTCGTCCGTTCAACTCCTGGTCAAGGCACATGCCTGAGTTGTGGGCTCATTCCCTGGTTGGGTGCATATGGAACATAACCAGTTGATGTTTCTCTCTCACAGTGATATTTCTCTCCGTCCCTCTCTACCTCCCTTCCCGGCCCCTCTCTAAAATCGATAAGCATGCTATTACTGAAGGGCATCTTGTGATAATAATAACCACAAAGGGTGCTCCAAACTCAAAATTGGTTATTGACAGGCTGAGACCATAACAAGTGTAGTCACTGCTCTGTGGAGTGGGCCCCTTCCACAGCGGATGGCTGTTGGCGGTCAGTGGGCACAGCCAGTCCCTGCAACGATCAGCCTGGGCAAACCCCTCCCATTGACCTGTCAACAGAGATCAAGGCTCAACTACAAGAGGACGGTGTTCACGGACCACATGGCGGGCACACCTCAAGTACCCAGCCTGGGTGATAGGAAAGGCTGTGCCACTGGACCCTACAAGACTCCTTCTATATTAGGCCACGCTACCAAGCTAGGGAGTCATAGCAGCTCTACCTAGTACATAGAAACAAACATGGGGAGGCTGCCACAATGAGAGGAGAAACAAAAATACATGGCCCAAATGAACAAACAGAACAAAACAACAGAAAAAAACTGAACAAAATGGAGACAAGCAATCTACTAGATGCAGAGCTCAAAACACTCGTTATAAGGATGCTCAGTAAACTCAGTGAGAACTTCAGCAGCATAAAAAAGGGCATGACAACCACAAAGAAGAGCCAGTCAGAAATAGAGGATACGCCAACTGAAATGAAGAATGATTTATAGGGAATCAACTGCAGAGTGGATGAAGCTGAGAATATACAAATCAGCAGTTCAGAATATAAGAAAGCCAAAAAAAACATTCAACCACGACAACATGAAGGAAAATGGATCCAAAAAAAATGCAGATAATGTGAGGAGCCTCTCTGGGAGAACTCCAAGCAAACCGCCATTTTCCTCATGGAAGTGCTGGAAGTAGAAGAGAGAGAACAAGAAATTGAACACCTATTTCAAGAAATAGTGACAGAAATCTTCCCTTACTTCGTGAAGAAAGTAGACATACAAGTCCAGGACGCACAGAGTCCCAAGCTAGATGAACCCAAAGAGGCTCACTCCAACACACATCATAATTAAAATGCAAAGGTGAAAGACAGAGAGAGAATCTTCAAAGCAGCAAGAGAAAAGTGTTAGTTACCTGCAAGGAAGCTCCCATAAGGCTGTCAGCTCTTTTTCAATAGAAACTTTGCAGGCTAGAAGGGACTGGCATACTAAGAGTGATGAAAAAAGCAAGGCACTACAACCGAGATTACTCTACCCAGCGAAGCTATCATTTAGAATAGAAGGACACATAAACAGCTTCCCAGACAAAAAAACGCTGAAAGGGTTACTTCATCCTCACCAAACCAGAGAACACTAGAACCCCTCATTGTTATCTTATTCTCCCATATAGCATCTCTGTGCGCTGTAAATGTTCATTGTTAACTCTGGCATACCTACCAATGTAAAAGAAGCAGGTGATTTTCCATTTCATTTCTTATCTAATCCCAGAGATTTTCCTCATTTACTTTCTCCCCACTGCCCTAATCTATCACCAGTGGGTTTCACATAATCTCCTTATGTCTCCTCCTTTGATTGTAATGTATAGAATAAAGTGCAAAACTCCCATTCTTCACAGGATCTTCTCAACTTGTTGAGGTTTTGCTTCCTGGAAAATTGTCGTCAGTTTGGCTCAGATAAACTCACAAAAATTCTCCTTTGAAAGTTTCACACATTGACAGTATTTTCATTTTTTTAGTTTCATATTTCAGTCATACTATCCAACAGGCATTAGACACACAATGGTAAATAAAGGCAGTTTACACATTCATAAAAAAATGTTCAAAATGAAGGCAGTTTAATCGCCCGTAATTCAAATTAAGTCCATAAAAGGTAGACTTGTGTACAATGGCATAAACTTCCTTTCAGTCTTGTTCTGTGTATACACTGTATTTTTCATTAACAATAGAACTGGAAACTTTATTTTCTTTACAATCCTGCTCTTTTCAATTTAAGGCATGCCTTTCTCTACATAGCATCTTCGGGAGAAAGATGTTTAAATAGCAACTTAAAATTTCAATGTTATTGATTTAACTATTTCCCTCATAATGAATAGAGAGTTTATTTCCAATGTTTCCCTACTCCATACTACATCCTTGTACATAAATCTGAGCTTGCCTCTGATTATTTCCTTAAATTCCTGAGAGAGAAATTACTAGGTCATAGAAGGAAGCATGAATATTGTTAAAATTTTGGTTTGTTTTATTTTCAAATTGCCCTCCAAGAAGCTTGTAATAATTTACCTTCCTGCCAGCCTTTTCTTGCATCGTCAACACTTACATTTTCCTCAAGATTTAATATCTTGTTAGAAAAACAATGGGATCTTATTATTGTTTTATTTTGCATTACATTGCCAATAAAGGTGATTGTTTTCTCATTTACTTATTGTCTATTTCTTGTTCTTCATTTGGTCTATATCATGACCATTTTTTCTTCCAGTGTGTTCGATCTTTTCCTTCCTTAGTTTTGAGAGCTGTTCACATCATACGTTTGGTGTATACTGTAAAGGTCCTTCGCGTACCTTTAAAAATCCCTTATTTGTATTTAATTCAATGACGATTTTACATTTCTATGTTTCACCCACATCGACACCTTTTTGCTTTGCAACTCCAGTCTTTCCCAACCTGGTCTAGTGCCCTCTGACTCCCAATCCCGAGTTACGTAAGCAGGTGCTTGCAACACAAAAACCCCTTTCAGACCACAGCCCCACTCCCGCCTCCGCCACCCCCAATCCCGGTCCCGCGGTCCAGGGCCGCTCACCCAGCCGTAGGAGCTCGGTCGCGATGGCCTTTCCAATGCCCGTGCCCCCGCCGGTGACGACAGCCACTTGACTCTGCAGCAAGCCCGCCGCCAGGCAGCTCCGGCCCTTAACCCAAACACCCATGATCGCTGTGAGTGAGGTCGCTCAAAGCAGGACAACTTCAGTACTGACTTCCTAGAACCTCGGACTTCGCCAGGCCTCACAGGCCCCGAGACAGCCGGGGCCCCGCCCCCAGCCCCGCCCCCAGCCCCCCACGCCCCGCCCCCAGCCCCCCCCACGCCCCGCCCGCCAGCAAGGGCTCATTTCCAACCCCAGAAACACTCCCGCTTGGCGGCGGCGGCGGCGGCGGCGACGGCGGCTGCAAAGTCAGCCAGTCGTTGTCCCCGTCACGTGTAGGTGAGACCCCCTCGTTCGTTTTTTGTTGTTGTTTGTTGGTTTGTTCGATGCCAAAGGGGTGTTGGGGGTGGGTGGCAGAAGGGAAGCACACAAAAGGCGGGAGTGTGCGCTGCTTTGAAAAATTCAATCCTCAGTGCTCTGGCTCTCGCGGTTAATTAAAATTACATCTCCAGGGCAAGTGGGGAAAGAGAGGCTGCCGCTTGGGAGCCGTGCCGCACCCGCCCGCGTCGGGCGATGCTCCGGCCCAGCTGCTGTGTGCGGCAGAACGAGGGGCCGGCTCCGCTGAGGGGGAGACACGCGCTTCCAGATCCTTTGATCCTCCGGAAGGGACCTTGGGGAGGGTCGTGGGCGTGGCCGAGGAGGGGACGCTCGCAATTCTCCACGGACGCACGATAGCTGCTTTAAAAAATACACTCGGGCTCCTCTCTACCTCATCTCCCTCTGGGGAACGAAGGGAAGAAGCCACCTTTACCAGATTCCAGATCCGATCCATTTCACCCAGGCTGCACAAATCGATAAAAGAGGAGGTTTCCTTGCATGCTTCCTGCAAGACGCAGCAGTCGGTGTGTGTGAGAACCGATCCCCAGTTGCGTCTTATGCAGGCGGTTGAGCCTACTGAGGATGGGTAATTTCTCATCCGTGTTTGGGTGCCCAGTCACAGTGATTTGTTCTTCAGATTCTCCTTCTTGTTCGTCTTGCATGGTCTGTCAACCCACCAGAGTGAGATCCCACCTGGACTGGCCGGGTGAGTGAGCCTTTGCCTAAGAGCCGTGTAGGTCGAGGGGTCCTGTTGGGTGCTGTGGTGTGAACAGTCCAGGCAGGATGCTATTTGTAGGTCTGTTGTACTGTATTTTCCCCAGCTGGGCATTAAAATACTGGAAAAGCAAACAAATGCCATTAATCTGTGCTTGGGCCCGCCACCTAGTCATTCACAAAGCAAATGGGAAGTGGTCAAGAGTGGAACAGGGCATCTCCCTTCTTATTCCTCCATCCCCTGCCCTTCTCTGACCTCCTCTAAGGCACAGGTACCCTCAACCGTTGTTGCTCTCAGGCTCTAATCTACACTCATTACAAAAGGGAAAGAAGTCCTTGCTCTTCCCATTTGCTAGATTATCTAGGAATCACTTACATCTACTATCAAGCCAGTTATGTAGTTATGACCAAATTTTTTTGAATTACACCATCACCTCCTTAACAAAGAAGTAAATGTATACAGTAAAGTTCGAAGTATTGTTGCAGAAAAATATAACGCTGGTGCTTTACTCGCAACAGCAAAAATATTTCTTTTTTAAAAGGAAGAGGAATGTTGACTCGGTTTCTTATTCCAGAGGTGTTTCTTCCAGAAAATTCCAGGCTTTCTTTCTTGGGAAGAAGGAACACTTTATGTTTCTTTTCAAGATAATTTTATAAAGATATAATTTAATGTGGCTTGTGATGGCGCTGGTCTTGTGCATTCACAGAGCTCTCCCGGTGGGTCCGTGTGGGCCTGGCTGTAGCACAGCCTCTGTGTGGTGGCTGAAGGGACTGGGAGAGAGAGGGACTCCATGGTCCCTCAGTGGAAAGGTGACTGGACTGGCTTCAAGCCAGCTTTGATGCTGAGGCTGACAAGCAGCCATTGCTCAGCAGCAAGGGAGATGCAGCATGAGCAATCAGAGAGCTATTTCTCCCGGTCCTAAGAGAGCCTGTGAGGAAGAGAGATGGGGTTCCTTTTAGAGATCTTTTGTTAAAAATAAACAGGCACGTCTTCTTCTGTCACTGACCTTAGCCAGGGTTTGAAAGTCTGCTGACCCCAGCAGGCCCGCAGGCCCAGCAGTACTTCTACCCCTCGGAGGCTCTGCGTTTCCAGATTTGAGTGGCTCCTGGTTGAGCCTCCTCTTCTCAGGCAAGCGTGCCTGCCGCACGGACTGCTCCTTTCGCACGGACTGCTCCTTTGGTGCATCCAGTGCTGCCCTTGCCTGCCCTCTGCCTCACTGCCCACTTTGTCCTGGTGAAAAAGGCATCGTCATGGCAATGATCGTTCAGCACTCCCGCCCTCTCATCCCCCACCAGCAGCGACTCCCTTCATCTTCTGAGATTCTCCTGCTCACCCATCTTCTCACCCACCTCTGCCCCATCTGCCTGGCAACTTCATTTTCTCCCACTGCAATGCAGCTACTGGCTCCGACTGACAGGGGCCTGTGGGATTCTCAACATTCGGGCTCACAGATTCCCTGTGCGGTGCAGACGGAATGTCAATGAGGCCTCTAGCCCCACCGCTCCCTGAAGTGGGAGCCCAGCTTACATAAATGAGGGATGCTTAACCAATTCACAATATTCAGCCAGTGTTTATAGAGTACCTGCCAGTTCCAGGTACTGTTCCAGGCATCTGAGATGCAGTGCAGTGGAGAAGACACTTAGGTGTCCCTACATTTTTGGAGTTTCTATTCCAGCATGTTTGTGTGTTCAGAGCAGGAGTTGCAAGTGGAAAGGTGCCTTGAGAGGTAAGATGACAAGCAAACAAAAGATCAGAGAGGGAAGATCAGATCTTACAATGAGGAGATGCTCATGCTCTTGTAACCAACTATCTTTGTAGCCAGGAACTATTTCCTCTATAGAGGTGGTCAGATCCTTCCAAGATGATGAACCTGTCTCACTGTAGAGCCCTTTAGAAACAAGTAGTTCGGTGATGACAAGAGAAATGCTGTCACAGGACCCCAAAGCAGCAGATTGCATGCAGCATGGCTGTGTTGACGGCCAAGTCAAAGCAACTGGCTGGAGGCTGGGAGTTCTTAAGTTGCCGTTTCATCATTGTTCCAGTCATTTGACAGCTGTCTGAGCCAAATTCCCTTTCATTTTTGCATTGGTGAGTTGTCTTCCCCAAGAGAGGCTAATGGTTATCTTCAATGGTAAAATGAGCAGCATTTTATTTCCTAGCCGGCCTCCTGCATCTAATGGTGGTAAATCAAGATGCTTTTGGGAGAATCTGGCCACCGCAGACAGGTAGTATGTGGCCCTTTGGGCGAGGCAAACACAAATCAGAGGAGAATTCAAAGAATAGCAGGCTGGAGCAAGACACAGTTCACGGTAGTGGTAAGTTAACTTCAAAATGTTGATACTCCACCCTCCCAGCCCCAGTTCAGCTTCCTTGGAAGAGGGAGATGGGTTCATGTGGGTCAAAGTGCAAAAAGTCAACTCCTGATTTTTCTTAGACCATTGGAGCAGGCCATACTGATTTTGAGACTTTCTAAGGAAGAGGTGGCAGTGGCAACCCGTCTGTGTTTCATTTTGGTTGTTTGTCCACTTGGTAATTTATTTAAATTTGTACTAATGGCAACAATTAAAGTCAGGAATTTTCACATGACATTTCGTACATCCCAGACCAAATGGACCTGCGTTTTTCTGTGACAGCAGTTGACTGAACAGTAGGCTTTGGGGGTTGAAGAGAGGAAACAGGAACTTCCTATTTAAGATGAGACCCGAGCTCCTGTTTGCTATAGCCCCCACTGCTCCTTATCACGCCTAGATTAAGGCTCAGCGTCATTGGCGCTTTTTAGCATTTTTTCAGCCCTGCTTCGTGTGCTTTACTTGTTTCTCTGCAGCAACTATAAGAGCAGAGGCTTCAGATCTTCCTGGCTTCTCCACCCACTAAGTTCACAGTTCTGGGAGTGTATCTGGAAGGGTTTGGAGAAGGCACTGGATTAGGTCTGCTCCAGTGACCACCTGGGAGCACAGAATTGTGAGCAAATGCCAGAAAAGTCATGCTTGGTGGTGAGAAGTCTGTGAACCAGCAGTAAAACAATACTATGGAGGGGAGGGGAGGACTGAGAACTGACTGGTAGGGGTCAGTGACAAAGTTACTGATTGAATGACAACTGGCCAGCGGGGAGTAGTGACCAGATTTCCTGCTGATGACTTAGCCCTACAAAGACACTGTAGCTGTGTAGGTAAGCTCATGTTGTGGTGCCCTGAGTCCCCTTTTGATACACTGTTGGCCATCTCATTACGAGCAGAGGATAATCGCTGTCTCAGTCTCTTCAGGCTGCTACAATAAAAATACCACATACTGGGTAGCTTATATAACAAAATTTTTTTTTCTCATAGTCTGAAGGCTGAGAAGTCCAAGGTCAAGTTGCTGGCAGATCCAGTGTCTGGTGAGAGCCTGGTTAATGTATATCATCCTAGTTCATAGGTGGACGGCTTCTTTCTGTGACCTCACATGGAAGAGAGAGCAAGAAAGCTCTCGGGGGTCTCTTTAATAAGGGCACTGATCTCATTCATGAGTGCTGCACTCTCATGACCAAATCACCTCTCAAAGACTCCACCTCCTAATGCCATCACATTGGGGGTTCAGATTTCAACATATGAATTTTGGAAGGGCACAAATATCCAATCCATAACAGAATTATATAGTGTATTGAGCTCTCCAGTGGATTCCTGGTGAGGCTTGTGCCAGCATCAGTGTGGTATCCTTCGTAGTGTACAGCTGAGCTTCAGAATTCCTGGCCCACCCAGGAGAATCAAAACTGCTTGAACCACCTAGTATCAGGGATGATGCCATTTTATGCTCAGACTCAGGAATGCATATCACAATGTGCTTATACCACAGGACTGATGAATTGGAACACAACAGAGGTATTGGGACATAAAATAATCTTGGACAGTCCCAGTGTATTGGGAAACATTTCTGTGTGGCTGCCTTAAGAGACCAAAATAACTCTGGCTTAAAACAAAAGCCAGAAGTACTTTTTTCCCCTCATATTACACTGCAGAAGAAGAGGATTCCTTCTTTCTCATTACTCTGCCATCCCTGTGGGTTTTCCCTTGTCTGCATGGCTCAAGATGGCTCATCAAGATCACATCTCAGCCATCAAGAAGGTGAAAAGAGGAAAGAGGGGTGCAGATGTGGAAGTTGCACACATCACTTTTACTCATATCCCATTGGCCAAGGACTAGTCCAGATCACACTTATCTGCAAGGGATGCTGGGAAATGTTATCTTTACCAGGGATGTCATGTGACCAGCTAAAACCCTCCATTATTAAAGAAGAAAAATAGATATAGGTGTAGCACTTAACAACTGTGTCACGACTGAGCTCATTAGTTATAAAGGAGCTTATTAATGTCTCTATTACACTTTTCTTCAGTCTCAGTCTTTGACAAAATCAGACTAATCCTTAATTGCTACCATGTCACTCCCCTCCTCAAATCATTATCACAGTCACTTAAAATATTTTTGAAAACCGACTTATTGGCCTACTAGTACGGTACCACTTTGTAGAGCCTATAGTCCAGTAGAGGAGACAGACAATAAACAAGCAAAATAACAAGTAAAACTTAATTTCAAATGTTGATAAGTCTTATATGAGAAATAGGCTGTTATGACAAGGCATAATGACAGGCAGAGCAGGGAACCTGTTTTCAGTGTGGTGTCAGGAAAGCCTTGGGGGAGGTGACTTTTGAACTGAGACGTGGGAGATACAAAGGCTATGGTCTTGTGAAGGGGCAGGGGTGGAACAGCATACCAGCCGTGTCAGACAGCATTTAAGGAGACTTCAAAAGGGGAAGCATTTGGTGTTCTTGAGAGATACAGAGGCAGCCAGTGTGCCTGAGCATTGGGGGTATATATGAGAAAAATGGTCGGATCATGCAGGTCGACATGGATCTCATTTCATAACAGTGGGATGTCGCTAGAGGGTTTAAAGCAGAAAATGGCATGATTTTTCAAATGTTTTCAAAAGATCTTTTTAACTGGTGAGCAGAGAATTGGTTGGAAGGCAGCAGGAGTAGAAGTCAGAAAGTAAGGAGCATTTTTTTAGAACCACAGATACAAGATGGTGGCCGTTAGACCAAAGGGGTAACAATGGGGATGAAAAAAGTGGTGGATGAATTTAAGGGTTACGGCACGTTGTCTTCAAGAATGGCTTAAAACCAGTTATATTAAGGATGAGTTTTAGAGTCTGAGTATATTCTTTAAAACATATCCCTCCTGCCCTCAGGATGACTGAGAATCCCAAACTAATGATTTGTTGAGGTTAGCTGTGCCGCATTTCATTCTGACCGTCTTTGGACTGGGAGCAAAGGTGGAGGATGGATAAGTGTAACATCCAGAGAAAGAGCAAAGTCCTTTCTCTTCTCTTAATTCTACAGATTAAAGTCTCAGAAATTGAAGAGATTGTTTTTACCCTCTGTCTTATGGTATCTAAAAGGAAGAAATGCTCAGAACCTGTTTCCCAGGTAAAATACTAGCAACATAATAAAGTATCCAAAAATGGGGAGATAATGAAGCCTTCCTCTCTTAACAGTTGTTCACATCTTATTTTTAAATAGGCATCTTCCCTTCTCTGTCTTATCAGGTCAACAAGTGTACACTAAGTATCTGTTATATGTTGAGCCCTGGGGTGTTTCCACTGGAGATGAGGAAGTATAAGATAGTTCCTGATTTCTAAAATTTTATAAACCACTCCCTCAACCTCCCTTTACCTGGTAAACAAAAAGAAAAGAGAATGTTCAAAGTGAAAAGTGCGCATGCTCTCCGCTGGTTTTCCAGCATGTGATAGGACGTACCTTGGGAACTTTCTTGGACCTTGGGCCGACAGGAAGGCGGCAAGCAGGTGTCCTTTATACAATACCAGGGTATACGTGGTTGGTGAAGTTGTGCCATCTTTGGGCGCCTCGCTGAAAGTGACATTCATCTGTTTGAGAACATTCGCAATGTACGACTCGGGAGCCAGGAGCCTGGAGCACTGGTTGTGGCCACCTGAATCTCCATCGACGGCAGGAGTAGGAGCGGTTTTTAACCCCCATTTGTCTGTAAGTCTTCCTCGCCCAGTTTTCTTATACTTGACTAGACTGATGGGGTTTACATAATATTATATGTCTGTGTAAATGACAAACATTGCAACACATAAAGTTTTATTCACGACAATTCATTCTTATAAAAGTATTTCTGCAGCACTCAAAATGCAGAAATGAAGTGTTAGGAGAAGGAAAGGGAAGTGACGACTTCTGTCAAGTTGAGGATCATTTCCCAAACCCCTTTCCAACTCACCCCATTCCCTCCTTGTTAATGGCTTTGTTTTCCTATCTTTCAAGTTGAACTCATCATTGAGACATCTTTGTGTAACCTCATTCAGGAAGAAGCTCTGTGATGTGCGTGTGATAAATTTGCTCAAGCAATTTGCGCTGTTCACAAGGAATAAGCAGACGTGAGGACTATGATGGAAGAGCCGACACTGGAAGGAAGCCAGGGTCAGCTCCCAAGCCCTCAGCAGGGCTCTCTGAGGAAGGCCGTGGCTGCTGCCCTGGCCCTGGATGGGGAGTCCACAATGGGTAGCAGGAAAAAGAAGAAGAAAGAGTTTCGCCCAGAATCTATCATCATCTACCGGTCAGACAATGAGAACGTGGATGAGGAGCCTGGGGAATCAGAAGGCGGAGACCAGCCTAAAGAGGAGGAAGGAGAGGACTTCCTTGACTATCCTGCTGATGACGGTAAGTGTCTCTCTGCAGCCACTTGCAAAGAGCCATGGGAAGGAAACCAAATGAGGATTCTGCAGAACACGGAAAGGCATTTGGTCACTGACCTAATTATTCTTGTTGGTACGTTTCTTCTCACATGTTGTAGTCTTCATTCAATGAATTAACACTATTTATTGAGCATTATGTTCTTGGTGATATGAAGGAGCTTTCTGCCCTTTCAGAACTCCTAGCGTAATGAAAGAGACTGATTTGTACACAAAAATTAGTAATACAAGGATACTGTACTAATTGCTTTATGCATGTAAGATAAGGAAACAATAATAGTTCAGTTTTATAATAATCAGGAAAGTGCCAATTATAACAACAATGAGTTACAGTATTCCCTCACTCTTACAATGGCCAAAATTGGGTAAAATATGATACCATCAACATGAGGAACTGGACATATGCTCATACACCTCACATGGAAGTGGGATCTGCATTAACCACTTTGTAGGGAAAATGGTCAATTTTTATTAAATTCAAAATTCAAAATATGCATATCTTATGTCCTGAAAATTCTCAGTATCTACCCCATGCAACTTATGCCCATGTGCATAAGGAGGCATGTATAAGAATGTCTGTTGCTGCTAATGAAGTTGTGGAGTGTCTGTATTGAGCATCACTGTGCAGCAATAAATGGATGAGGAAGATCTATTTGTGTAGATAGATTGGTCTCTAAGACATTGCCCACAGTGAACAAGCAACATTTCTTCTCTCACACAGTTGACCTTGCAGTGAGGGGAAGACAGACAGTGAGCAAGTCAGCAAATAAAAGATTGTTTCAGGTAGTGGTTCGCATTCCCAAGACCATAAACTATGGTGATGGGAAAATGAGTAACTTGTGGGTGGGGGACGATTGTGTGGTCATGCAAGGCCTCCCTGAGGCCGTGATGTTAGAGCTGATCCGAATGACATGAAGAAGCAAGCCATGAAAAGATCTTGGGCCGAGTTTTTAGAGGGGGGAGAACAAAAAAGTCAAAGACCCTAAGGTGGTGGGAACCTCCTTACCTGTTTCTGGAATGGAGTTATTACTATTAGGGAATATTGAGAACAAGGGATGGCGAGAGGTCAGAAAGACAGGCCGGGTCGGATCGTGTTGAGCCTTGCCGATCATAGTAATGAGTTTGGGATTTGTGGTAAGTGCAAGGGGAAATCAATGGAGGACTTTTAATTAAGCAAAGGAGAGACATCGTGCCCTTTGTCTTTTTTAAAAGAGCACTCTGGCTTCTCTATAAAGAATGGAGGACAATGGGTAAGAATTGAAGCTGATGAGAGACTTGTCTCCTGCTGCCACAATTGCACCAGGATGAGGGTGACAGCAGGGGAGATGGCTAGAGGAGACAGTGCAGTCAGGGACTTGCTGGTGGGTTGGAGGTGGGGAGTGAGAAAAGAGAGGAGTAAACAGTGACTCCTGAAGTTTGGACAGGGGCTGCAAAGAGGGTAGATGGTGGTGTCATTTATGGAGATAAGGGAGGCTGAAACCATTCGGTTCTTGGGGAAGAGTGCAATCCTTTTATCTGGGCAGAGTGCCTGCCACTACCCTGGGCCCTTCTGTTTAGATGACTCTCTTCTATTCCTCTTCCAGCCATGGGGCATGGAGTCCAACAGCACCTAGGGGACATGCCAACCTAAGTCTGGACTCTCCCCACCTCCTTCTTTTGTAGACTACACTTCACATACCAGTACCAAGAACCACGGACTTCCTTGTTTCAGTGCCTCCAGCCTCACTTCCAGGGTAGCCGAAGGATGGCTGTTTGGTGGTTGGTGGTGATGGTGGTGGTAGTGGTGTTGTGTGTGTGTGTGAGACATGTGTGTATGTGGTGTGTGTATACAGAGCTCGGGCATGAGGGCTGGGATGTCCGCAGGCTTCTGAGGAGGCCCCCTCTCAGGGCAGCATAGAGGCAGGAAGGGGACTGGGCTCCCCATCAGCACAATACATGCATAGTGCGACCTTCATACTCGGCAGTTGATACTCATAAGCAATATTTTCACAGTACTTGTAAACTAGAAACAAAATCACTATAAAATGGTGTCTGTAGGAAAGAAGCCCCTCCCATTCCTCCATATCACAGAGATCATGTCAAAATTGAGGCCCAGAAAAGTCGAGAGAGAATACAAAAAAACAAGTTTAACCTACTTCACAATTTTATCAGCGTGGACAAGAGTTCACTGTGGGAATAATACTACCAGTGGTCACCCTCCTGAGGGACCCGTTCAGTGCATGATGGAGTTACTGGCTCCAGCACCATGCCCGATGCCGTAAGAGTGGACACTGTGTCATCAGCCTCAGCCTCAAGGATAACACTGTGATGAAATGCCCACTCTTCTGATCTTGACTTCACCTCTTTTATGCCCTTCAGGAATGTGGAACATGCCTTTGGACAGCCGCTACGTCACATTAACTGGGACTATCACACGAGGGAAGAAAAAGGGGCAGATGGTGGACATCCATGTCACATTGACAGAGAAGGAGCTGCAGGAACTGACCAAGCCTAAAGAGCTTTTGAAAGAAACAACACCTGAAGGCAGAAAGATCTGCCAGATGGCAGCAGACCGCGGGCCCCACGTGGTCCTCTGGACGCTGGCCTGCCTGCCTGTGGTTTTTATCCTCTCTTTCGTTGTCTCTTTTTACTATGGCACTATCACTTGGTACAACATCTTCCTTGTGTACAATGAGGAGAGGACCTTCTGGCACAAGATCTCATGTTGCCCCTGCCTCATCCTCTTCTACCCAGTGCTCATCATGGCCATGGCCTCTTCGCTGGGCCTCTATGCTGCTGTGGTTCAGCTCTCGTGGTCCTGGGGGGCATGGTGGCAAGCTGCCCGGGACATGGAGAAAGGCTTCTGTGGCTGGCTCTGCAGCAAGCTGGGTCTGGAGGACTGTTCTCCCTACAGCATTGTGGAGTTGCTTGAATCTGACAATATTTCAGGCAATCTCTCCACCAAGGACCCCACACAGGAAGTGGAAACTTCCACTGTCTAAACTCTCAACAGTTTACTTCCTCCTCCGGTCCCAGTAGCCTGTATATCATCTTCCAATTCCAGAAGATTCTTTCTTATATTATCCCCCACCCCCTTCTCACAGTTCTGGAAAATTCTAGCCCACACTGATCTGTGCTATTATCTTGATGGTTCTAAGAGGGCAGGGAACAGAAAAGCAACTTATGCCTAAGTGTGCAACTAATGCAAACTCGTCTTCATTCCCTGCCCTAAAACAACCATTCATCTGGGACAAGGAGCTCAGTTATGTGTCATTTCAGGAGCCTGAAGGTGTAACTGGTGTCTGGAATCAAGGGAGCATATGACTAAGTGTGACAGGGAGAGGAAGGAGGTTCTGGGGTGACCAATAAAATAATAAAGATGCAGTGAAATGTTCAAGAAGTAGGCTTACCACAGTGTATCAGAAAGTAAAGATTTGTGTGTATCACTTAGAGTTACTTAGCTGCATATCATTAATATCCTAAAATATCAGTGACTTCAACAAGAGAAGTTTACTCTTTCCGTAGAAGAAGTCTGGAGGCAGACCATCAGGGGGCCTGAGGAGTCCCTGGGATCCAGGCTGCTTTTATTCCCCTGCCATTAGTGAAGTGTGACCCCCATCACCTTTTTCTCAATGCCCCGTCACTGACTGCAGCTGCAGCCACCTCACTGTTTCCGGCAGATCAGAGGAAGGGGCAGAGAAGCACATTCTCTGTGCTCAAGGGCACTTCCCACAAGTCCCACTCAACACTTCTTATATCTCATTGGCCAGCCCTTACATGACCTCACAAGCAAAAGAGGCTGCAAAATGTAGTCTTTGGGGCAGTTACATGCTACGTTAAATATTGTGGTTATGCTAATTTAAGAAGAAAAAGAAGAAGAGCTATTTTGGTAAGCAAGGAAGAATCCCAGTAATTATTAAAATACATTCAGATCCCAACCTGTTAATATAGTTTTATTTATTTATTTAGGTCTAAATCTTACAGAGATTTTATATATAGGTACTAGCTATATATACTATGTATATGCCATACATAGATATTAGTAACTCATGTACTTTGCAATTAAATGTAATGTCACGTGGTTTCAGGGCTTTTTAGAAGGGAAGATTAAACAGTTGAGTACAACCATAGAATTGTGGCCTATTTGTTTCTCTAATTACATAGTTGTACTATGTAATTGTATGAAGAAGGGACTGTGTGTGATATTTAATTTACAGGTTAAAGACTGTGAAGGGAGGCATTGCATCTCTTATCCCCTCCCCAGCCCCCAACAGGGATCAGTAACTCTAAGCAGGAAGAAGACAGTTAGCTTTCTGTTGTTTGGCAAAACCTCACTCAGAGCCTCATTCACTCAGAACATTCTAGAGTTTAACAAGAAACACAATCTTTGCTGTGCTGGGAAGACTGTCTTCCTGGCTACCGGGGGTCGGGGGGTATCAACCGGATGAATTCAGATTAATTGATTCTGAAATTTAAAAAAGATTTCATTCCTAACGGTATATTTCTTCTAATTTTTTGAAAAAATATTTGAGTCATCACAGATCAAGCAGTTTTTGGAGGTTTGGAGCCTTACAAGAATAGCCGGTACTTGTTTCTTATTTGTGTCTCAGGAAGAAGTTGTTGAAAGAACTGTGAATCAAACCAGACTAGCTGGGCATGCTCTCCCACAGAAGACCAGCGATATTTGCCTAATGCATGGTGCTGAAATCCATCTTCAGAAGATACCCCCCACCCCTCTTAAATAACTACTTTTAGTTTGACAAAATCAAAATTCCGTCCAGCGTTCTTGAAGATAAACTTGGTGCTCTCTGGTGCTTTTGCAGCGATGTAAACAATTGAAGTGAAAACAAAATAAAAATAAAATGTAATTAACATGTGCTCACTTTTTTTCTCCTTAACTATTGTACTTTGAATGCTGCAGTTTGCAGAAAAAGGGTGACTATAGTGGCTGTCATATATATGTATAATGCTCTTACTCTGAATCCTTATATCTTGACTCTTTCTGTGTACCACTCATTTATGGAGATTCCATTTAGGTGCACTATTTCCAAGGTTACATATTTACTAAAGCCTACATTTGGAAGTGGCAAACACTTTTGTCACATTTTTCTGAGGTTAGGGAAATCAACGGCCAAGGCCAAAAGCAGTTATAATGAAGACAAGGGTAAGGGGACATAGATGAATAGAGGAGAGGGGGGTGAAGATGAGGCCCAAAGAACTCCCAGGTGGAGTTGACAGGGCCCTCACTTTAGCTTGGATCGCCACCTAGTGGCTTGTGCATGAAAATTATTTCCAAAGGGCTCTATGTAGTAAGGTAGTAAAAGCTTAGACTAGTAGACAGAAAACAACCAAATTGGGAGGCATGGCTTATAGGGGGCACCCAAATAGCGATGCCATTCTCTTTTTCTCATTTCATCCATTTTCATCATATGTGACTGTGGCTCCCAAAATGTGGCTATCCAAAAATGCCCATTTTCCTCTACCAGCCCATAGCCCATTAACCTCTTGTCCTCCCTCATTCTCCCCAATTCCATATCATACAAATCCAAACAGATACTGAACTGACAGGGAGAAATGGAATGAAGAAACCCAGAACTCTTTGGTTACAGAGGAAGAAGGGAATAGCTTGGGAACACTCCAAACTATTGGGAGATCCTTAGCAGATGCTGTTTCATGCCTTGAGGTCTCTTACATACCATCATATTAATAATATCTGCCCCTTCACCCTTGATTAATGGAAGCCTTGTGTCAGTGGAAGCAGTGTTTAAATTTTATACCCATTCTCAGCATCACAACTGCCTAGCTGCCTGGAAGTGATCCTAAAGACTTCCATAAGGATGGCTAAGGTACAAACACACACAGGTAATAAAATCTCTTTTAATTCTCCCAGGAAGCAAAACTGTACTGGATGCTGTGTGGGTGTGAGAGAGAGAGGAGGGGAGAGAGAAACGAGAAAAAAAGGAAAGAGGAGGGAAAAGGCAAGAAAGTAGAGGCTACATGGAAGACGAAATTATGGACATAAACCATGTAAATTTTTTCACCATGGTGGGTCTCCAGTAATGCCATACTTTTGTGTCATATAAAAAGTTTTTAAAATAATAAATTTGAGTTTTCCAAGAACTCCTTGAGTTTGGATGAAAAGCTTAAAGAAGTTCCTGGGCTCCTGAAGCCCAGCCTGAAAATGTCTGACTCTCTTGGCTTCGGGGCATTTATAACTTCAGCTCCCTCAGGGCCCCTCTCTCCTCATGGCCTCCCCACATCTTTCCAGCTTTAGTGTCTACTTTTCCAGGTCCAGGTTTCAAGAGAGAATCTGGTTGGGTTTGATTTTCCGGTCTGGATAGAGGTTTGCAGATACTCTCTTGGTTGTTGGACCCTTTGTCCATTCCTCTGTCAGCTTGTGGGTCATTTGGTATAGAAAATAGCTGTTTCTGTGCGAGATTCAGCCTGGACAATTCTCCCTCAAAGGGACAGAGGCTGCAGGCTGGACGGTTTCCCTTTAAAGGGGCACTGTAATTGACAGCCACCACTTCCAGAATATGCATCTCCCATTCTCCTCCCTTCCAAGCTATCGACACTCCAAACTATCAGGAGATCCTTAGCAGATGCTGTTTCATGCCTCGAGGCCTCCTCTTACATACCCCATTTCTACTCCAAAGAATGTTCTTCCCACTTTTGATTGCCTGTAAAATGCTTCTTCCTTCGGGAACTGGTTCCGAAGTCACCGCATCTGTGAAGTCTTTCATTATCCGCACCTCCCCGCCCCCTTTTTAGAAAAAATAACAACTTTAAAGAAGTGAATTTCTGAATTCATACTCATTCTCAAGGAAATCTAACGTGAGAACTCTGACACAATACGCTGTAGGTGTTATTCTCAGTGACAGCATCACGGAAGTGAATCTTTCGCATAAGTGATTTGTATTTACCTAGTAATACAAAGAGTTAGGCAACTTCAAGACCACAATTGCTTCCGCACCAGGGCCGCGAGCGGAAAGTCTGCGCATGCCCAGAGCGTCGGCGCGCAGTTTTCCTGCCCGTCACAGGCTCCGCGGGAACCGGCTCATCCTAGAACTGCCTGGCTCCGAGTCCCCTGGAACTGAGTTGCGGCGTTGCAGTTTCCCACCCGGAAGAAGCAACCGAGGCACCTGTTGAGCGGCAACATGGCGCGGTCCGGGAATAAGGTAGTGGGGGGGCGTGGGCTTGTACCTTTCCCGTGCCGAGAATGGAGAGGGTGGTTCAGAAGCAGGAATCATGGGATGACGGCAGTGACAAGGAGCGGGAAAAGAAAGGAGATAGGTCATGGTGGGTCATAAATTAGGTCAGGAGGGCCTGGACCAAGGGATGCACTGGAAGAAAAGCTGGGGGTTTGGAGTCCTAAAACCTGAATTTGATGCTCGCTTACCTCCCACCCCCGTCTCTGACCTCCCATCCTCTCACTTCCTCTCCCTCCCCTCTTTACCGCACCTCCGTACCCAGTCGGCCACCCTCCAACCCTGTCTCCATTACTTCTGAGCCTAAATTTTTAAGATATATATGAAAATGGAAGTTAGCTATGGAAAGCACCTACCCCCACAGACTTGTAAAACTTCAGAGAGGGACTGTAAGTAAAGTTGAATGTGAAGTGTCATGTTATTACCTCTATAATAATATGATATTTCACATTGACTGAAAGCTTACTGTGTGCCGGGCACAGGTCTGAATGCTTTATGCGTCTCTCATTTAATCTTAACAGGCCCATGAAGTGAAAACTATTATCCCCAGTTTATAGATGAGGAAACCGAGGCATGAAAATGTGAAGTGATTAGCCCAGGTCACCTAGTCCATAAGTGGTGAACCTTGGATTTGAACCCAGGAGGTCTGGTTTCGGAACCCTGTAGAATTTCAGTGTTGCTAGAAATCTCTGACCTTAAGTGTTTCAAATTAACAACAAATATTCATATGATTTCTTCAATATAGGTAGAGAGGGATAGTTGGTTGGAAGGGTTGGTAGAGAGAGATGTGTTCCAGGGAGTTGCCTGCCCACCCGCCCAAAGGCTAGGCCCCATAATAGGCATTGGATATACAGATAAGATAGGAGTTTGAGCAACTAATCCTTAGTTGCCTCAATTTTCCAATGGAAATGTTGATTAAAACAATTATGAACATATGTTGCCACTCACCTCTTTTGTACCTCCTTTTTCAACTGTTGAAAACTTTGCAGTGTTAGTGGAGCAGCTATTTGTGGCAGGTGGGCTTGCCACAACACCCTGACAGCTTGTATTGCTTTGGTATATAAATGAACTGAGTTGCTATGCTGCCCAGTATGTTTTTCCTGGTTTTCTTACTGCTGCCAGAAAGCAACTTGAAATATTACATAGACTGTTATGCTTCCCTATAAGAAGTTCTTTATTGTGAAGCCCTTTGCTGATTTGTTTGTTTTTTTTTTGATACCTGATTCCTAGCAAAAGGCTTCACATTTTCTCATTTAAAAGTAATATTTATGAATGTGTATGAGATAAATGCAGCGACATATTTTGGGACTCTTAAATTTTTTAAGATTCTTATGTTTAGCCCTAGCTGGTGTGGCTCAGTGGATTGAGCGCCAGCCTGCAAACCAAAGGGTCGCCCGTTTGATGCCCAGTGTAGGGCACATGCCTGGATTGCGGGCCAGGTCCCCAGTAGGGGGCGCGTGAAATGCAGCTACACATTGATGTTTCTCTCCCTCTCTCCCTCCCTTCCCCTCTCTAAAAATAAATAAATAAAATCTTTAAAAAAGAGATTCTTATGCTCAAGGCATTGAAACTGTGGGGTGTAAATTTTATTATTCTCAGAGGAATTTTGTAGTTTATTACCACCTTTTCTCCGAACATGCTATCTTTATTCCGGGAATCTCTTACTATTAGTGCATTAAGTTTAATTCTTTGTAAACTAGGGAAAACCTTAGTCTTTCTTTTTCATGTGTTGCCTGAGATATAACCAAATTTAGAAATCAAGTACTGTATCAAGGTCCCCGATAGGAGCTCATCCAGCTTATTCAGACACTTCTAGGGTGAGGAGATCATCGCTTCAGAAAACTGGGTCTTTTACTCATCACTTCTAAAAGTTTTTTTTTTTTCCTTGTATGCAGTCAAGCCAATCTCCCTGACTTCCATCTGCTGATGCTGTTATCTCTCTCAAAGACCAATCCTTGTGTTACACAGCTGTCAAATATTTGGGAGGAACTATGATGTTCCCCTAAATCTTCTCATCTGGCTTAAATACCCATTTTTTTTTTTTCAAACTGTTCCTCACATCACATGTTCTTCAGATCCTTCTATAACTTTCCACTTTCTCATTTCATGTTCAGTTTTAACCGTTCTTAGAAGATGTGATGCTCAGAACTGCTCACAGCTTGTCAAACGTGGTCTGATCAGTACAAAGCCCACGTGAGGCTGTCAGTGGCAAGGAATGTTAACTCTGGACAAGACCTTAGGTCTCATCTAGTCCAACAGCTGCTTTCTGCCTCTGTGAATTTAACAGTTAGATTAAGTGACATTCCCGTGGACTCAGAACTAATTGATAATAAAGATGGGTCTGGATCTCAAGTCTCCATATTGCTAATCTTTTTGTGGAGATCTGCTTCCCATGGCCTTATTCTTGGACTTGTGCCAAAGGAGAAGCATCTCCCTGGAGCATACTCCTGTCTGGAAGATACCTTTTAGCTTTTAGAAAGTATTAGGGCTATTGAAAGCCCCTCCATAGTAAAAATTTATATGTTTTACATATATTCTCTAAATAGAACACTTTTGCTCCTTTTATCATTGCATCCCCTAAATATAAGTACAGATTTTTGGGATAAAGTAAACAGAAGACATATCTCTTTTCTTTCTTTTTCATGACTGTTATTAAGAATTTTAAAATACTGTACGGAACTTTTTTTCCAGGCAGCTGTTGTGCTGTGTATGGATGTGGGCTTTACCATGAGTAACTCCTTTCCTGGTGAAGAATCCCCATTTGAACAAGCAAAGAAGGTGATGACCATGTTTGTGCAGCGACAGGTGAGTGTCAGATTGGCCTTGAGCTTGAAACTCATGTACTAACTGCTTGTTGCCTCCACTTAGTAATGCAAGGCGCCAGCCTGTTTACGTTATCCAGACTCAGTGTCTTTGGGAATCTGAGTTTTCTTACATATGCTGCCATGCAAGTCCAACTATCATCAGAGCCTGATATATTTTTCTTCTCTTATTTTTGACCCCTCCCTTGGATATTACAGTTTTTACCAGAAACAAGAGGCAATGTCAAGTCATGGTTAAAAGTACAGTCTCTAGAGCCAGATGGCCTGGGTTTGAATCCTTGCTCTGCCATGTCATTTATTGAGCTCATTGAGTAGTTGAACAAGTCCTTCAACTACTTAGTGCTCATTCTAGTAACCTTTTGCTGGTAACATACTATCCCAAAACTTAATATCTTAAATGATATCTTTTAAAAAAGCTTCTCTCATGGTTTTGTGAGATGACTGGGTGGCTCAGTTGGGTGATTCTCTTCAGGCCTTTTGTACAGATGCACTCAAGACGGTCACTGGGTCTGAGTCATCTGAAAACTAAACTGGGCCACACGTTCAAGATGGCTCATCCCACAGCTGGTAATTTTGCCTTCTGGTGGCTATGAACTCAGTTGGGGCTGTCCCTCAGAACCCTTACATGTGGTCGCTCCATATAGCTTGGGATTCTCACAGTGCACCGCCTGGTTCTAAAAAGCAGTATCTCAACAGTTTGTATCCTAAGAGACCTGCCTAACTGAGCTAGCTTTATAAATATCAGAAAGTCATTTCTGCTGCTTTCTGTTAGTCAAGCAGGTCACTAAAGCCAGCTCATATTCAAAGTGGGGAGGGGGTGAATTGGACTCTTCTGTTGATTTCTCCTCTTTCGGCCTGGTATGACTGCTAAGTCCATGAAGTTCTGCTTCCTTTGCTGGGTACTGCTGTCCTCCTGGACACCTCTGTGGTTTCTTGTAAGTATCACCCTCTCCACTGGGCCCTACTCCCTCTCACCTGTCATCCGAGATTTAAACAAATTCTGATGACCTGGAATCCTTAGTGTGTCAAAGAAGAAAGTGCCTGTAATCCCATTTTTGGTTATAGTATTTGTGTTGGTTGTATTCAAGGAGTGCTGCTGTGCCCCAGGATCGTATAGATTTTTAAAAAAGAGAAACAGTGCTTTTAGTTTTTCTTTTTTGGCTCTGCCCCTTCCATGGGAGTCTGAGTGAATGGGAGGCTGGGAGAGAAAACCTGGTGCCAGCCTCATGCTCCACTCAGAATTTCCTTCCCTCTCCTGACGGTTTGTTGATGAGCAAGATTACCTTGCCTGAGGAAAACACAGATAGAATTCTGGCTGGCCTATCCCACTGGTGGGCTAGACATGTTTGAACCCCAGCACCTGGGACAATTTCTGCATATACAACTAGGAATTATAACTGGAGTTGGTAAGAGACAGGGAATTTCACAGACCAAACAAACAACGAAGAATGACAGAATTTCATCCTTTCCCCATGTAGCAATCTCCCCATTGATGTAAAAGGCTTAATCAGTGGGTGGGAAATAGGACTGCCTGTTGTGTCAGATCCTACTTTTGTTTGATTATGAAATATTTTGTAAAAAAGGCATATGCAGAAAATATTATAATGAAAATCTATTTTCCCATTGTCTAGCAATATATAATTCTAAAGTTTTGCCATATTTGTTTAATTTCCTTTTTCTTTTTCTTAAAAAATAAGATATTAGAGATAAATGGGAAGCCTTTTGTGTATCCTTTTCCAATCCCCTTTTCTTCAGAATTTGCATAGTTATCACCATGCATATTTTATATTTGTGGTTATAATTATATTCATAAATAATATTTAGTATTGTAATAAGCTCTCAAAAGTGTGTGTGATGTTATTATATGCTACATGTAATCTTGCAGCTTACTTCTCAACCTTTTGTTTTTGAGATTTATTCCTGTTGATAAACATTGCACAAATTTATTTTTTTTAACTGGGTAGTAATATTCCATTTTATAAATATTCAATGTATTTTTGCATTCTCCTATTGATGGATAGTTCGTTTGTTTCCAGTTTGCCCTGTTTGTTATAAACAGTGCTGAAGTGAACTTTCTTGCTTGTTGAGTGCTTATGTACACAGGTAAGAATTTCTCTACTGTGTATATACCTATAAATGCAATTTCTGGGCTATAGGAAATGAACCAGCAAAAAAAATTTCTAATCCTTGGATAATTTAAACCTTTAATGGTCATTCCAGAAAGATGTATTAAAATCTTTTCAAATTATCAGTTTTCATTGAGAATTAGAGTCCAATTTTGCTAGAATTCTTCAAGAACAGTTACCACCGTACTGTTCCCCACCCTAACTTGTGCTGAAATGAAGCGTGGGGCCTATGGTCCATGAAAAAGTCTGCTAGAACCTCAGAATTATCATTGTCCCATGGGTCATCCAGCCAATATTCTGTTGTTGACTGTAGCCTCAGGAACCTGCCATAGGGGGTTATGGTTGTCTCGCTCCCTGAGGGATAGGAATCTAATGGCTTCCAGGTGGTACTACATGGTTTTCAACCTTCTAACATTTTTTCTCTAGGTGTTTGCTGAGAGCAAGGATGAAATTGCGTTAGTCCTTTTTGGTACAGATGGCACTGAGAATTCCCTTGCTTGCAAGGATCAGTATCAGAACATCACAGTGCACAGACACCTGATGCTACCAGATTTTAACTTGCTGGAGGACATTGAAAGCAAAATCCAACCGGGTTCTCAACAAGCTGACTGTATCCTTTTTTTGGCCAAAGAAGACTCTTAAGAAATTTTCTTTAATCTGAGGAATTATTACCTAGCTTGTTGAAGTTCTCTAGGAGTCTCAGCTCTGAGTGCCTGGACGTCTTTGGCCGTGAGGACATGGAGATGATGTGTGTTAGTATTTAATGGGAAACTAATCAAGGTGGGTTGGGTGCCCAGATTCCAGGTCCTCCAGAATAGAATCTTGCCCCGTCTTTGCACTAGTGATATTCAGACATTGAGAGGCATAGAAAGGGGAAGATACCAGGGGGTATATTTATTGACAGTGTGTCGAGGGTTTGTTTGGTGGTGGGGATGGTCAGAAATGTTTGGACGTAGAGAAGATAATTTCTAGAAGAGTATAGCATTAACATTCTCCACGCTTTCCTGGTTGGGGGATATTTTTGTGCCAAAAATCAGTCTGATAGCCTAACTGTGAGATTTCCAGTTTCTTCTACAGGTGCCCTAATTTAAAGGGGTTACTCTTATTTTTCTAAACAGTTAGTGTTTCCATCTCTCACCTCTAGGAGGTGCTGCTGTGCTGGGAGTGACTTATAAATGCTACATTGTGGATCACTTCATGTTTAAGAACTGACTGTTAATCACAAAAAAATGAGTTCTAGTCATTGTAAAACAGCATCATAATTTTTGGCTAAATGAATGAAACATGTTAGATTACCTTTTGGTTTATTTTACTTTTCCTGGTTATTATATGTCTCAGGATGTATACTTTGATATATAGCATATGTGACTATATGTTAGTGAAATAAATTTGGAACACAAGGGCCACTGGACAAATACTTTTAAGTCATCACATAGTCAGCCCAGTGTCCACATTTCCCGACACTGTGGGCTTTGTTGGAAGAAAGCCGCATGTTCTTGGGATGAAGGGGGTGTCTGCTGGCATCGTCTGCCCTTAACTAGCTGAGTCCTGGATGCACTCATCGTGTGCATGGATGTCATTCAAAAAGAAACTGTGTAAGTGTCTCTCAACTGAAGAGAGTTGGACATGAACCTTTCTGCAAAAATTGTGTTGGTTGATACTCCATGCGCTATGTGATTCATTGTTAATCAAGCAGTAAGTTTGTGGGGCTAAAGAAACATTGGATAGAATTCAGTGGTTCAGTTCAATCTCTCTTTTATAAAAGTTTAAAAAAGGGAAGGGACATACTGAGTGGGAATTTCTCTGGGAGGAATAAATGTGTGGCTTGTAACAAGGTTCCTTCCTATTTGACTTAAGCTAACACCCAAGAGTTTTTAAAAGGAATTAAAAAAAAATACTAAGTCATATAATCCATATGTTACTGAAGTTAGATATATAGTAACTCTGGCCAGCTTCCTAATTCATTACTTTTTAATAACTATGCCTTTAAAATATGTCTTTGAATATACATGCAAACATATCCCTTGACTGTTAGGAAAAAAGATTTGCACAAAAACCTCAGACCTAAATTTGTGTTATAATTTGTCAGTCTCTCTGTGTTCTTTGCAAAATTCTGCCCCCAGCCCTGTGAGAGGAATCAGACTGGGGTGTTTAGCAAGTGGACCCTTGCAAAGCTGAAGTAGCACCCAGAGAGAGATGCTTGTTTACCTTCTGCCTGTGTGGAGGCTGGAAAGGAATCCTTTTTAATCATAAGGACCACATCTTTAACTGAAGTTAGAATTAGGGAAATCAGGGACATAATAGTTCCGTAGTGCTCAGAAATTTGTCTAAGATGTTAAAAATATGAGTTATAATCAGGTGATTATGTGTTTGGTGGAAACTTAACTGAGTATCAACAATATGTAGACCTGAGATTGTAAATCGCATTTGTTAACAGTGTCTAGATTCATTCCTTAGCTTCTTTCTGCTTAGTGAACAATTTGCATTTGAATCTGCAGGAACTCATTCAGGAGAATGATTTCCTAACCTGATAACTCTCTCTTTTAGAGGAAAGAAGTTTGAGAAGAAGCATATTGAAGTGTTCACTGACCTCAGCAGCCCATTCAGCAAAGATCAGCTGGATATTATAATTCATAACTTGAAGAAATCCAGTATCTCCCTGCAGTTCTTGTAAGACCATAAGAATAATGTTTGTAAACAAATCCTCCACTCTCCAAACGTAGTGAGTGGAGCCCTTTACAGAGTGCTTGCTTCCATGAGTCGTGGCTCTGCTCTGCGTCGGAATCTTTCAGATGACTGATCCCAGCAAATATTCACTGATTACTCTCTGTGTTCCAGGAACTCGTCTGAGTTTGGTGACGAGGGGGTCAAAATCACAATGAAACACAGGAATTTAGCTCTTAAACAGCTGTAGACAACTGTATCTTACAGTTGATGTCTTTAGGGTAGAGAGGAACATCAACTTGGGAATCATTTTAAACACATGTAATGCCTGTTTTTAACTCTTTCAGATCTAAAAGATACACACACACATATAAAATGTAATATGCTTATGTGTATTTAGAGATGAGGTATACACATATAGGGGAGAATTTATTTTACAGTTTGTTAGGGAGAGAACTCTCCCTAATAACTTGAATTTCCCCTTCAGGCATTTCGTTTGTTTATCTTCTATGAGTTATTTTGACTACATTAATCCTTCCTGCTGTGTCTGAAACCCGTTTTTTTTTTTCTTGTCCTATTTTTAGTGAAAGCAAAGTGGTGGTATATAGTACAGCAATTTTCAGCTTGTGTATAATGGCACATGCATGTCATAAAAATTATAGTGGTACAGCAGTTGAAAATTGCTGGTATGGGATGTTGAATTATCAGGCTTCTGGGCACACTCATTTTTCAGACTGAGAGCTGTAGCAAGAAGCTTCCAGCTCAGAGCGATAAGCCTCTGGCTTCAGAATGCCTGCCGTGGGAAATTAAGCTCCTCTCTTGTGTGTGTGTCCCTCCTTAGAACTGCCGAGGGGCATCGCCCTTCTGTAGAAAAATAGTTCCGAATCACCCATCCTACTGATACTCGTTAAAATGGTACTTCACAGAAATTAAGTGCTTTAGAAGTGACACCTCTCTTATTGAGTTAAGGTTTTCACTACACTTCAGAGCCCAGCTCAGCTCCTGTTCCCTGTTCGTGATCTCAGGACGCCCTTATATGGCTGAAGCATACAGCACTTCTGTCAACGTCATTGGGAACGGCTCCTTGATTTTGTATGAGCAACACTGACTGTAAAGCATGCTGAAGAGGGCAACATACAGCCTTTTCTTCTGCTCGCTCATTGTTTGACCAGATGTAGTTTCTGAAAGGGGGTAATAGGGAGTAATATGCTTTCTTCCTGTGTTACGAACCTCCAGTGTGCAAAGTAGAGTTTTGGTTCTATAGTTTGGTGGGTCCTGTGTGTGTTTGGTTATTCTAGATGGACTGAAAAAACCCCCCAGCAGATCAGAGAAGCATTGAGTTCTCAACAGGACTGTTTCTTGGGCCTAGTTTTTAGGTTCTTCTGCTGACTACCTAGAAAGTTTTATTTCTGGTTTAATGCAGGGTAGAAAAACTCTTATTGTAATGTCTTTTTCCTGGTTAACTTCCTCATTTCATTTCTTGTCATTCTTCCCTTTTTCCTGGTTCATGTTACGGAAATAGCAATAGCCTGGTGCAAGCTCTCTGTTCCACCCTGTTTCCTGAAAGCTCTTTATCCTATAGGTAATGCAGGACATGCAAATATGTCATGCTAATTATACATAAAAAAATAAAAACAGGAAGCCCTATTTTAATTATAACAAATAAAATGGTAGAGAAATCATCTTAAAAATAACCATCCACGGAGGGTGACCAACAGGCTGAGTGAACTGAAAAGACTGCTGAATTCAGTTGTTTGGATTTCCAGGGGCAAAGTGATGTGATAATGCTACGTGGAGAAAAGGTGGCCCTTTTGATCAGATGACTAAATCTTTGCTCTGTCACTTATTAGCTGCGTGGCTTTTGCGGAATTATTTCATCTTTGTAGCTTTTTGGAAAATAAGATGTAGAAATCTCTATTCACCTAATACATAAGTGTTGAATTAGATTGTTCACATGAAAGCATTTGTAAAGTGCCATATAGAGTATTATCATGAAATGTGTTCAGTTGGCTTATTTTTCAATTTGTGTATTAATTATTGAAGCCTGAGCTAATTTTAGTTTCATTTCAGTCAAACGACTGGAGTGAAACACAACAAAATTGCTTTTACGTATTTCTAACAATTACCTGATTTCTGTATAGGAATTCTAGATCTATAATAATGGTAACATTATTTGAGTTTTAAGTGTTTTATACACATTCTCTAATCTTTATAATAACCTTGAGGGATCATTAATTAATAGGTAATTTTTAATTTATTTCTGTCTGCCTAGAATATCACTCAGCCTTTTTCTAAAAAGCATTTCTTCCTCAACTTTAATCTAATGGCTTGAATGAGGGCTGACATTTTCTAGATCTGGTCCCCAGGCTCTCAGTGATTCCCGTCTTTTTTTTTTTAATTGGAGAGTAGAGGGTTAAATACTCAGTTGCTTTTGGGTAGTGGAGTTGGCTAATGTGAGCTTGGATGTGCTCAGAGGGCACCAGCCAGTCCGAGAAAGTGAAGCCAGCGTAGAAGCAAATGAAGACTGAATGTGGGGATAGAGGGTGATAGGGTCAGATAATCTGATGCTTGAGACTAGTCATCCCAAGGTTATGTGCAATTCTGCCTTTTCAGTTACTTGGTTATGTATAATATCCCATTTTTACCAAATCAAAGAAGCTTCGGCTACTTGAAACTGACAGAATACTGGCTGAAGTAGGTAAGTGCCATTTGACAGGTGAGATTTAAAGCTCAGAGAGGTCGACTGACGTGCCCACTTTCTCATTGCTAGTGAGTGACAGTCACAGGATTGGAACCCAGTTTATTGTTTGGCTTTAGAGCTTGTCGTCTTAACTACTGCTGATCTTTTCCTTACAGTTTGCCTTTCCCAATCGGCAAGGAAGACGGAACTGGGGATAGAGGAAATGGCAACTTGCACTCAGATCACCATGGACCCTCATTTCCTTTAAAAGAAATTACAGAGCAGCAAAAAGAAGCTATTCAGATGGTGAAAAGGGTGATGATGTCTTTAGAAGGTGACGATGGGCTGGGTGAAATTTATTCTTTCAGGTGAGAAGTGAAAACCTTGATGATGATTTTCGGTTGTAAACTTTGTAAACTTGTCTTCTGATCAGAGGGCTTCCTAATGTTTTTCTCCTTTTGGGCCATCTTGAATTAGCAGTTTTGGTCTTTTTTTAAGATTTTATTTATTTATTTTTAAAGAGAAAGGAAGAGAGGGAGGAAGAGAGGGACATCAACGTGTAAGAGAAACATCCATCAGTTGCCTCTAGCACACCCCCAGCAGGGGACCTGGCCTGCAGCCTAGTCATGTGCCTTGACTGAGAATTGAACCGGCCACCCTTCGGTTTGCAGGACAATGTCCAATCCACTAAGCCACACCAGTCAGGGCAGCAGTTATTCTTTAATAAATGTTCTGATTTTCATTAAAGAAATGATACACCAATCCCTAATCTTTTTTAGGTTTGTGTGGTTGGCACAAGATTTGTCATGTCTATCTCCAAGACTTTGTCAGTGAAGTTTAGAAATACATAGATAACACAAAATATTTAACAAGTCAAAATGTAAAGGGTCAGTAGAGTATTTCTTTATGCCCAGCTTGGGGCACGTTTCTTAAGTCCTTTCATGTATCTACAAAACGTATTCTTAATTATAAAAAGTGGTGGCAGATCTAGATATTCAGCATCTTTTTCACCTCTGGTTTAGGTTTTAGAAGGCAAAATACTATAATATAATGACTTTTCAAAAAACTTTTGGCCACATAATGGTTTGGTCACACAAATCAAAACAGAACACCCTCCAAATAAAGAGAATTTATGACCTGCTTATTTCATGTGGGTTTTGTAAATACAGAATGATTTAAGAAATATGAAATCTTTGAAGTACTATAACAACAGAGCAAGCAGCTTCTTTCAACCGTCCAGTAAAAAATGAGACACTCTATCCTTTATTCTCATTATTCTTGGTTGGAATTGGACATGAACTTATTTACAGCAAAGAACCTAAGAGGGGTCACTAGCATCTGGAACAGTATGTGTTTGAGGGGCCTGGCTGAGTAAAGATGGAAATACATCACCATGCAGTATGGCTTGTGTAGCTTCAAGTTCTCAGTGATGATGCCGCTTGATGTTTGCAAATTAGTTCCAGTTCATCAATAAATACATAATATACAGGCATTTTAAGCAAAGCTCTTAATTGAAGTAAACCTTCAACAATTAGAATTTTTGAGTAGCTATAGTATATATCTGCTATAATTTCTTTTCTCAACCACAGTTTTTTAAATATTTCTGGTGAGCTATAATTGACAAGCAATAAATCTTGATTTTCTAAATGTAGATACCCTTGGAAAATTATATGTAAATGGGAATTTTGGAAATTGAATTGTAATTTCACAAGGGGTTGACAAAGAAATCAGTGAGGAAACCTGTAAAGTGGTGGTTTTTTTGCCATAATGTGTTCCTAAGTTATTTCGCTTTCGAGTTTGGACATGGCTTGCTCTAATGTGGGAATACATCTCTTAAGCTAAGATATTCACCGTCATACCAGGAAGAAAAATTATAGGCTAATACATATTACTGTTTTAAAAAAGTCTATTTTCCTATAGCATAGCATGGAGGGAAATTATTACACTTTGTCCCAGCAATTTCAACTATGATTTTAGGTCTGTCATGAAGGTGTGAACCAGAATTTTGCCAATTAATAGAGTACCCATTATCCTATGGCTATTTAAATTTAAATTCATTAAATTAAGTAAAATAAAACACTTAGCCCCTCAGTCACACTGTTTCAAGTGCTCAATAGCCTTTTGAATAGGCATGGTTAGAAACAGAACATTTCCATCACCACAGAAAGTTGTACAGATAGCACTGGACTAGACTTACCCATGTCTAGAAGATCTTATAAAGATGACTTGACTTCTACTTTGGGAGGTTCAAATCTACTTCAAAGCTAATCCAGTTGTTCTCAGTCATTATGTATGAGATGTTGGTTTTTAGAACTTCCTCTGGAACAGAATCCAGACCTGATGATGGTTTTAGACATGACTCATCCTTGGACTAGCAGTGTCCTGTGAGACAGATTGCACCTGGTCCAGACCTGTTCACTCCTCAACAAATCCAAAGGCAAAGTGTATCATAAGCCTTGGAAGTAGGTTGTCAGAGAGAGCACCTGCTACTCATTGTAAATTATTTCTGAAAATTGGAGTCTCTTGAAGCCTCTTTGTCCATAACTCTGGATAATGTCACGTAATTCTCTTTATCTTTTTCTAGATATATTTTTCACCGGTACCAAGGGGAATCAATCATAGTCTAGACTATATGCTTTGAATGTGTTTGGTCATTAATTCCTTCGTTCCTTATCTTAGTGACTACCACAAATTCCAAATATTGCCCATCATTTTCTGTTGTGTTTGATTGGGGGTGAGACAAAAACAGAATTGACCTGGACTTATGTTCAAATGAAGTAACACTTTATAGTGTGTTGGCTACCCCCCCAGTTTCCCCATCCCTCATCAGTAAGAAACCTAGAGTTTTCTATCTGCTTTACCTTAAGACTAAAATTCGGACTAGAATGTTCCTTTATCCCCCGGAGAGTATTTAGCTCTCCCCATTATACGTTATGTGCATGCAGATACACATGCCTTTTGTTTAAGAAAATTGGAATGAATAAGAACTGTAGAGTTGTGAGCAGTATGTAGGATGGTACCCACCCAGTGATATCCTAGATAGGGGTTCTTATCCTCAGGTCCATGGTTTTCAGGGAGTTGGGTGAACCCTTTATAACGTGTGCAAACACATTTGTGAATGTGCTTTTATCACATCCTCAGAATGTCCTTGGTCCTGAAAAAAATGTTAAGAACAACTGGTTGAGTTGAAAGAAAAGATTGAATAGGGGAAGATAGAGATGTTCATTTTCATCTGTCAGTAAAGTAATTCAGCTGCTTCCTCCTGAGCCAACTCAATTGGACCCTGGCTGTCTCCCAACTTGAGATTGTCACATTCCTGCCATCCCCTGCTGTTCTTGTCTTTATGATCAACAGCAGTTCACTTCTCATTCTAGAAAACTAAGCACATCATTTCAGCACTATTAACATTTTAAAATTGTTGCTTTCATTGCATATTTTTCTTTAAGTGAGAGTCTGAGACAACTGTGTGTCTTTAAGAAAATTGAGAGGTCATCCATTCCTTGGCGCTGTCAACTGACCATTGGCTCCAATTTGTCTATAGAGATTTTGGCTTATAAATCGGTAAGTGGTTGGTACACATTTTTTTTTTTTTTAAAAGAAATGTTACCTGGCAGGCAAATATGCTTACATAAGGATCTGACAGTTGATGTGTAGGTTATTCATTACCATAATTAACTGCTTCTCTAACTGCTCTCCCTGTTTGTGTCTGTTCTGTCTATCTTTTAGGAAAAAGCATGCGAGGAGAGGATGTTTTGTGAATTGTCTCTCATGGAGATTGGTTCCCTCCTCTTTCTCTCCATTGATAGTTAATTTTTTTTGTTGTTAATCATTAGTTCTAGGCCTTTCTCTCTCTCTCTCCCTCTCATTTTTTTTAAAGAAAGAAAATGGCATTAAGTTGTGCCATTATAGTATCATAGCAGGAATATAGGATATACATCTGAGGTAAGAAGTTGGAGTTTTGAGAACTCAGTTATACTTCATAGACACTGTTACTCCACTATTAATGATCTGGTAGTAATAGTGTCTGTGAAGTATCACAAATTGTTCACTTGTTACTGTAAAATTACCTTTTGCAATACCTGTATGTTTGTACATAATAGCATACATTCAAAAATGAGTTACTTTAGCTTGTTAAATTGCAATTTGAGTATGTGTCTCTGATCTATGCTTTTATATGACCCTCTTTACCTGTTTTAATTTAAATGTACACAATGAATATATAGAAACATTTAAATATATAAAATATACAAAAACGTGTGTTTATATAAGTTTATATATTCCAGTGTTTTTTTGTGCATTCAGGAACTGAATTCCAAAACACAGTACAAATTCATGAAATCTTTGCCGGTTGTTGTTTTTGTTCTTCTTTTTGTTATGTATTGATTTTGAGTATACAGCTTAGTGGTTAGACAAGCATATACTTTACAAAGTGTTCCCCTTGATATTTCCAGTACCCCAACTGGCACCATGCACAGGTATAATGATACTATTGACTGTATTCCCTATGCTTTACTTACTTCCCCATGGCTATTTTGTAACTACCAATTTGTGTTTCCAAGCCCCTTTACCCCTTTCACCCAGTGCCCCAACGCTCCCTCCCCAAGGTTATAACCAGTTCTCTGTATCTATGAATCTGTTTCAATTTTGTTTCTTCGTTTTATTCTTTAAATTCCATATATAAGTGAAATCATATGGTATTTGCCTTTCTCTATTGATTTATTTTACTGAGCATAATACCTTTTAGGTTCATCCATGCTATTGCAAATGGTAAGATTTCATTCTTTTTTATGGCTGAGTAACATTCCATTGTGTAAATGTACCATTGCTTTTTTATCCACTCATTTATTGATGGGCACTTTGGTTGCTTCCATAGCTTGGCTATTGTAAATAATGCTGCAGTGAACATAGGGGTGCATATGTTCTTTCAAATTAGGGTTTTGGGTTTCTTTGGATAAATCCCTACAGGTGGAAGCACTGAGTCTTAAGGCAGGTGCATTTTTAATATTTTGAGGAAACTCCATACTGTTTTCCACAGTGGCTGCACCGGTCTGCATTCCCGCCAACAGTGCACAAGGGTTTCCTTTTCTCCACGGCCTCCCCAACCCTTGTCATTTGTGGATTTATTCATAATAACCATTATGACAGGGGTGAGGTGATACCTCACTATAGTTCGAATTTGCATCTCTCTGACGATTAGTGATGCTGAGCCTCTTTTCATATGACTGTTAGCCTTCTGTATGTCCTCTTTGGAGAAGTATCCATTCGGATTGTCTGCCCATTTTTTAATTGGACTGCTTTTGTTTTTGATCAGTAGTATGAGTTCTTCATAAATTTTGGATATTAAGCACTTCTCAGATGTAGCGTGGGCAAATATGTTCTCCCATTTAATAGGTATTCTCTTCATTTTTTAAAATTACATTTTAAATATGCTATTACAGTTGTCCCAGTTTCCCCTCTTTGCTTCCCCTCCACCCAGTACCGGCCACTCCGTCAGGTAATCCCTATACCTTTGTTTGTGTCCGTGCATTATGAATGTGAGTTCTTTGGCCTCTCCATTTCCTGTACTGTGCTTTACATCCCAATGACTACTGTGCAGCTACCAATTTGTGCTGCTTAATCCCTTCACCTTTTCATCTACTCCCCCCAACCCTCATCCCACCTGGCTGACATCAGACCGTTCTCTGTATCTATGACTCTGTTTTTATTCTGCTTGTTTGCCTTACTTGTTTTTTAGATTCAGTTGTTGATAGCTATGTATTTATTGCCATTTTATTGTTCATAATCTTGATCATCTTCTTTTTCCTAAATAAGTCCCTTTAACGTTTTATGTAGTAATGATTTGGTGATGATAAACTTCTTATCTGGGAAGCTTTTAATCTGCCCTTCGATTCTAAATGATAGCTTTGCTGGATAGAGTAAATCTCAGTTGTAGGTTTTTATTTTTCATCACTTTGAATATTCCTTTCCAATCCCTTCTAGCCTGCAGTTTCTTTTGAGAAATCAGCTGGCAGTTTTGCTGCTTTTCAGAATCTCTCTTTTATCTTCAACCGTTGGCTTTTTGATTATGATATATCTTGATGTGGGCCTGTTTGCATCCATATTGTTTGGGACTCTCTGTGCTTCTTGGTTTTGTATGTCTGTTTTCTTCACCAAATTAGGAAGTTTTCTTTCATTATTTTTGCAAATAGATTTACAATTTCTTGCTCTTTTTCTTCTCCTTCTGACACCCCTATAATATGAATGTTGAATTGCTTGAAGTTGTCCCAAAAGCTCCTTATTCTATCCTTGTTTTTTCGGATTCTTTTTTCTTGTTGTTCTGGTTGGTTGTTTTTTCCTTCCATATATTCTAAATCATTGATATTCTCAGCTTCATCTACCGTTGATTCCCTGTGAATTGTTCTTTATGTCAATCAGTGTATCCTTCATATCTGACTGGACCTTTTCTATGACGTTGAAGTCCTCACTAAGTTCCTCGAGCATCCGTGTAACACAGTGTTTTAAACTCTGCATCTGAAAGATTGCTATCTCCTTTTTGTTTAGTCCTTTTTCTGGAGTTCTGTTATATTTTTTCATTTGAGCCATGTTTGTTTCCTTGTTTTAGCAGCCTCCCTGTGTTTGTTTCTATGTATTAGGTAGAGCTGCTGTGACTCCCTGCCTTGGTAGCATGGCCTAATGTAGTAGGTGTCCTGTGTGATCCCGTGACACAGCCTTCCCTATCACGCAAGCTGGAGACTTGAGGTTCACCCTTTGTGTGGGCTGAGTACATCCTCCTCTTATAGTTGAGCCTTGATTGCTGTTGGCAGGTCAATGGGAGGGATTTACCCAGGCCAGTCAGCTGCAAGGACTAGCTGTGCCCATTGACCACCAACCTCCACCCTCTGGAGGATCATCCGTGCATGTGCCCACTGCACAGAACAGGGCTGACTTCAGCAGGACTCTGGTGCCTGCTTGTGTTCTGTCTGGGGCCACTTGGCATAAGCAGTAAAGCAGTCTGCAGCTGGCTGCTGCTTGTGCTGGGCTTGGAGGTGCCCTAGCGAGGCTAGGCTGTGAACCAAAGCCAGCTGCTGGTAGTGCCAGGCCTGAGGCCACTTAGCAAGGTACTGGGGTTGCTAAGTCCAGCTTGGTTGTTTGAGAGGATTTAGGAAGATCAGAAGCATGTGCTAAGATAAGTCGTTCCTTTGGAAAAGCCACTGTTAACTGCATGGGGGGCCCATAGTTGGGCAGGGTGGAGCCTCATGGAATCACCGGGACAGGGAAAACACTGTTAGCCAGGTTGATAGAGTCTCAGGTATGGTGTCTGCTGTGCTCTGTGGCTCTGTGGGGGAACGGCTCAGAAGAGGAGAAAGCCTCTGTCAGCAGTTCTGTCTTGAAGAAAGCTGTCCCTCAGCTCTTGCCCTGAGGACAGACACTTCAGTTCCTCCCTGTGTGCCACTGGTCCCTTTCAAGCTGCTGCCCTGATGCTGAAGCTCAGCAGGACTGAGTATGAGTAAGTCCATTTGCAGACCCTTTAAGAGGAACTGCCTGGGAATCCAACAGTTTCTTTCACCTACTCAATCTCCCCTGGTTTTTACAGCGAGAAGCCACAGGGACTGTCTTCCTGGCACTGGAACCCTGGGCTGGGAAACCTGGCTCCCAAGGTATCCCTCCTATTTTTATCCACCACACGTGGATGGAAGACTAGCCTGTCTCATGTCTCTGTATCTCCTTACCTCCTACAAGTCTGGATGGATGTGGTTTCCTCTTTAATTCTGTGGTTGCAGGACCTCGATTTCTGCCAGTCTGAGTGATGGTTATTCTCTAGTTGAGTTGTAATTTTGATGTGGTTGTGCAAGGAGGAGAGCTGTGTTTACCTAGGCTGCCATCTTGGAGATATCTCTCTTCATTTTTTTGATGGTTTCCTTTGCTGTGAAAAAGTTTGTAATTTGATGTAATCTCATTTGTTTATTTTTTTTGTTTGTTTCCCTTGCCCAAGGAGATTATTTACACACACACACAGACACACACACACACACACACACACACACACACGATTACTATGGCCTTGCAGTATAGTTTGATCTTGGGTGGTACGATTCCTCCAACTTTTTTTCCCTCAAGATTATGGAGGCTATTTGGGTTTTTTGTGGTGTGTGTGTCATTTCATATAAATGTTGGGATTATTCTGGTTCTGTGAAATTGGTATTTTGAAAGGGGTTGTGCTGAATCTATAGATTGCTTTGGGTAGTATGGACATTTTAATGATGTAATTCTTCCTATCCACGAACACTGTGTGCCTCCATTTATTTTTATCTTCTTCAGTTTCTTTTTTTAGTGTCTTGTAGTTTTCTGAATACAAGTCTTTTACCTTCTTGGTTAAATTTATTCCTAGGTTTGTTTGTTTTTTTTAAATGGGATTGTTTTCTTACTTTCCCTTTTGATAGTTCACTATTGGTATATAAAAATGAAACTGACTTCTGAATATTAATCTTGTATTCTGCTACTTTACTGAATTCATTTATCAGTTCTAGTAGTTTTTTGGTAGAGTCCTTAGGGTTCACTATATTCAGTATCATGTCATCTGCTAAAAATGAGAACTTTTTTTCCTCAGTTTGGATGCCTTTTTCTTCTTTCTCTTGTCTGATGGCTGTGGCTAGGACTTCCAGTACTATGTTGAAAAAGAGTGATGAAAGCAGACATCTCTGACTTATTTCTGATCTTAAGGGAAACACTTTTAGTTTTGCTCTATTGAGTAAAGTGTTAGCTATGGTTTTGTCATATATGGCCTTCATTATGTGGGGATTTTGCAGGTACTTCTTTATTTATGGTTCTGTCAAGGCCTAGAAAAATGTTCCTGGGAATTGAGGATAGTCTCCACTCATTCTTCTTCTTTCTAGTGTTTTGGGTTTTTTTTACTTTCGAATTTTCGTATTGACTTATGACTACTGATAGATTTCTTTCCCTTTCTTTATTAGAAAGTTGTAGTAACCAGATATATGGTCCTCTTTTATTAGATGGTCTGAGGGTTTTATATTGAAAGTGCTTGAATATATACAAATATTAAAATTTATCTGTAGTTTTACCCTGGGGAAAAGATGAAATGTAGAAGGAATTATGAAATAAACTAAAATTTCTACAATAGGCAAGCAAACAAAACAGTTCAACCAGATTAATTATTCTGGATTTTTTCTGTAGAGTGTATATTAGATTTTCACCTTTTGTTGATTAAAATCCTAGCTTTCTCTCTTTTCTATTAATCAATCAATTAATTAATTACTTTTTTGGAAATAAGATTGTACAGGAGAAAGTTAGAACAGCTTGGACAGTTGTGGATGCAAGAAGCCTAAAAAAGGAAGATATACAAAAAGAAACTGTTTACTGTTTGAATGATGATGATGAAACTGAAGTTCCAAAAGAAGACACTATTCAAGGTAGGCCAGTAAGAGTTTCCATTTTTTCCTAAAAGAGATGCTCTTCCAGGTGATATAAGGCAAGCTTGGATTTACATTATTATCATTTGTTTAGGGATATTTCTCTGAGTCTGGAGACACAGCTCTTTGAAGGGATCATGAGACACCAGGTCCTTTTGTTCATATGTAGGGTATGAGGCAGGGTGGGTCCCAGGAGTTCACTTGGGTATTCCATCCCTCTGAGTTTTAAATAACTCATGCAGCTGGACTTAATATTTGGCTTTGTTTTAAAGTTTGAAACTTATGAGCTAGGAAAGTGCTTATGTCAATGTGACTGAGGTAAGTTTTTAAATTTACTCTATTTTAATTTATACATCCATGGTGATTATTTTTCTGAGTGCCAATTTTAGATTACTTTTAAATGCCAGATATGCTCCCTGAAAGTAATTTAGGGAATAAGAAAAATGGTTCATGTTTGTTATATTGCTTTATGTTCACTAGGGTCTTTAAAGCTGTCCTTTTTGTGTTATACCCATGCGACCTGTAGAATGTGTCTAGATGGCATCTCTATCCAGGAGGCTTAGGAACTAGCTGTCTGAAGGGTCAAGAGCTAAAATTAGAAGATACCAAATGATGGTTAAGTTAGAAACCAGGGACTTTCTATAGGTTTATTTCCAGACTATGAGCTACCCTGCATACTTTCAGTTTGCAAGCCTTAGGAAAAAACGCCTTTCATCTGTGGCACTGAATTGCAGTATTTGTGGATATTTGTATGTGTTGTAGGAGCAATGGAAGGAAATGGTTAAAGGCTGTGATGGTGGTTATGGTTTCTTTCTTCCTCATGATAGATTATGGGTAGAATGTAATCAATACCCCACCATCTCTACTAATTCTTTAATTAAATTCAGTAGTGTAGTAGAGTTATGAACATGAATTTGGGAGTCAGACCTGAGTTATAATGGTGGCTCCATCACCTGCAAATCATTTGAATCCTAGTTAATGACTCACCCATAGTAGGTAGAATAGCATGATGAAAGACATAAGACCAGAAGAGTAGAGGGCCTTCTCGGTGATATCAAGTACTTGGTGTTGGTGTATTGGGCATATGCAGATTAGTACGGGAGGGTAGCATCTAATAAACAACCTATATTTTCTCTTAATTTTCACAAGCAGATACTATTGTTATTTTCATCTTATAGATAAAGGAATTTGTGGCTGATAGACTTTCAGTAGTGTATTTGAAGTCACACAGCTTCCCTGACTGGTGTGGCTCAGTTGGTTGAGAATCAGCCTGCAAAACAAAAGGTTGCCTCAGTTCAATTCTAGGTCATGGCACATACCTAGATTGTGGATTCAGTCCCTGGTTGAGACACTTAGAAGAGGTAACCAATTGGTGTTTCCCTCTCATATTGATGTTTCCCTCTCTTTCTCCCTCCCTTCCCCTCTCTCTACAAATAAAAAAAATAAGTAAATAAATAAAGTCATACAGCTAGCAAGTAGCAGAATTTGAACCCAGGGTTGCCCTACTTCAGAGTCTGTGATTTTATATGCTATTCTGAATTAGGAAGGGCTTTGAATGATAGGCTGAAGAGTTTATCCTTAATTTTGAAAGCAACATGGAGTCATTTATAATTTTGAGGAGCACAGTGTTATTGGAAAGATTAATATGACAGCTGCATGTAGGATAGATTGGAAGAAGAGATTAGAGCTGAGGGTGCCAGTTCTTTTTGTTGCAAGAAAAATAAAGCAGCTCTGGTTATCTTAGGCAAAAGGGAAATTTATTGATGGAACAATGGAGATGGAATTGTTAAAAAGGTTTCAGTTCAAAGAACATAGACATGCAGCTTTTCTGTCTTAAAGATTTTGTAGTTACTCATGTAGTCCCTAGAAACATTGCTAGAAACATACAATCCTCCAAAACTGAGTCAAGAAGAAACAGCAAGCATGACTAGACTGACAACAACTAGTGAAATAGAAGCAGTAATCAAAAAACTCCAGGCATACTTCCTGGACCTGGTGGCTTCAAGCACATTTTACCAAACATTTAAAGAAAACCTAACTCCTATCCTTCTCAGACTTTTCCAAAAAGTTCAAGAAGAAGGAAGACTCCCAAACTCTTTTTATGAGGTCAGTATTATCCTAATTCCAAAACCAGGTAAAGACACAACAAAGAAAGAAAACTACAGGCCAATATCTCTAATGAACATAGATGTTAAAACCCTCAACAAAATATTGGCAATCCAGATCCAGCAATACATTGAAAAGATCATACACCATGATCAAGTGGGATTCATCCCAGGGATGCAAGAATGGTACAATATTCGCAAATCAATAAATAGAATACACCACATAAACAAAATGAAAGACAGAAATCACATGATCATATCAATAGATGCTGAAAAGCATTTGATAAAGTCCAGCACCCATTTATGATAAAAACACTCAGCAAAGTGGGAATAGAGGGAACATATCTCAACATAAAGGCCGTACATAAAAACCTACGTCATACTCAATAGGCAAAAACTAAAAGCTTTCCCCTTAAGATCATGAATGGGACAAGTCTGTCTGCTTTCACCACTCTGATTCAACATAGTTCTGGAAGTTCTAGCCACAGTGATCAGACAAGAAAAAGAAATACAAGCCATCCAAATTGGAAAGAAGGAAGCAAAACTGTCATTATTTGCAGGCGACATGATAGTGCACATAGAAAACCCTATTGTCTCCACCAAAAATCTACTCAACCTAATTAATAAATGAATTTGGCAAAACAGTGGGATAAAAAGTCAATGTTCATAAACTGATGGCATTTTTGTATTTTTGAACTGTCAGAAACTAGGGGGGAAATGCTATTTACTATAGCAACAAAAAAAATAAAGTACCTAGGAATAAATTTAACCAAGGAGACCTATACTCAGAAAACTATAGAACACTGAAGAAAGAAATTGAGGAAGATACAATTAAATGGAAGCATATACCATGTTCATGGATTGGATGGATTGGAAGAATTAACATCATTAAAATGTCTGTACCACCCAAAGCAATGATAGATTCAACACAACTCCCATTAAAACACCAATCCTATATTTCACAGATCTAGAACATTTTTCAAAAATTTATATGGAACCAAAAAATACCCTGAATACCCTCAGCAATCTTGAGAAAGAAGAACAAACTAGAAGGAAATCACAATGTCTGATATCAAATTATACTATGAGGCCACTATAACCAAAAAAGTCTGGTACTGGCATAGGAACAGACACATTGATTGATGGAACAGAATAGAGAGCCCAGAAATCAACCCATGTCTCTATAGTCAATTAATATTTGACAAACGAGGCATGAGCATACAATGGAGTAAAAATAGCATCTTCAGTAAATGGTGTTGGGAGAACTGGATACATGCAAAAAAATGAAAGTAGAACACCAACTTATACCATATACCAGAATAAATTCAAAATGGATAAAAGACTTAAATATAAATTGTGACACCATAAAAGCCCTAGAGGAAAACATGGGCAGTAAAATTTCAGATATTCCATGTAACCATATTTTTCTGATATGTCTCCTGGGGCAAGGGAAAATAAAAGAAAAAATAAACAAATGGAACTACATGAAATTAAAAAACTTCTACATGGCCAAAGAAATCATCACTAAAATGAAAAGAGTACCAACCATATAGGAAAACATATTTGCTAATGATACCTCGGACAAGAGTTTAATCGCCAAAATATATAAGGAACTCATACGGCTCAACACCAGGGAGACAATCCAATTGAAAAATGGGCAAAGGGCCTGAATAGACATTTCTCGAAGGAGGACATACAGATGGCTTATAAACATGAAAAGAAGCTCAGCATCACTAGCCATCAGAAAGATGCAAATTAAGACCACTATGAGCTATCACCTCACACATGCCAGAATGGCATTATTAATACATCAACAAACAACAAGTGCTAGTGAGGATGTGGAGAAAAAGGAACTGTAGTGCACTGTTGGTGGGAATGCGGACAGACGCAGCCACTGTGGAAAACAGTATGGAATTTCCTCAAAAAATTAAAAATGGAACTGCTGTTTGACCCAGTGATTCCATTGCTGGGAATATACCCTAAGAATCCCAAATCACCAATTCAAATGAATTTAAGCACCCTGATGTTCGTAGAGCTATTTACAATAACCAAGTGCTGGAAACAGCCTAAGTGCCCATCAGTTAATGAGTGAATCAAAACACTGAGGTACATTTACACAGAAGAAATAAAGAAGGAACTCCTGCCTTTTGTGACAGTATGGAGGGAACTGGAGAATATTATGCTAAGTGAAATAAGCCAGTCAGTGAAAGACAAATAATGTATGATCTCACCTGTAAGAGGAATCTAATGAACAAAAAATAAACTAATGAGCAAAATAGAACCAGAAGCATGGAAACATGGAACAGTCTGACAACAACCAGAGGGTCAAGGGGAGAGGGGATAATGGTGAAAAGAAGGGGAAAGGACTAGTCAAGGAACATGAATGAATGACCCATGGACATGGACAGCGGTGTGGGAATTGACCATGGGAGCGGGGTGTGAGATGGATGGAGGAGGGCAAAGGGGAGAAATTGGGACAACTGTTTTAGAATAACAATACAAAATTTAAAAAAGAATATGTCTAATGACAGAAAACCTAGAAAAAACATTCGGTTTCAACATCACTCAATACCACATGTGCCATTTGTTCCCTGTTGGTTTTTTTAAAAGATGTATATAAAAGTAGAATTTTTTCGAATTAAATACATAACATCAATAGATAGAAAAGAACAAATACATACCGGATCACAAACTTGGCTTCACACACACAACTTTCTTAATTTCTTGGAGTAAGGGTACATGTGCTTTTCTTTTACCAAAAGCCAGAATCCTTGGATTTTGATGATTCTTCTCCCCACAAAATATAGATAAGATTGTGTATTGAAAGGGCATGACAGTCCACAGAGCAGAGAGGCCCTGGAACAGGATGGGAGGGTTTTTTTGTTGTTTTTTTTTTAAGAAGCCAAGAGCCTATATTTATATGAGTAACCTAAGTAATTAGAAAAAATGGACAGTCCAATCCCAGAAGTAAAATAAGTTTACATGCAGAAAAATATCCAGCTTATCAATTGAGTCTTTCTTTTTTTTATTTTTTTATTGTTGTTCAAGTACAGTTGCCTCCATTTTCCCACCACCATTCACGCTCCACCGTCCCCAATCCTACCCTGAATGTTTGTAAATAGAAGTGTTTTGGCTTCTACCATTAGGCACTTAAATATGTGCAGAGTGCATTTTTGAGAACATTTTGTTCTGAAAATTTCCTATGGGCATTTTCTTTGTGGGTCTCCATGTTTCTGAATAAATGTATTCTTATTATGATGTTTACAAATCATGATTGTACTTTAGTCAACCATGTTTCATATTTGGAAGATAACTAGTTCATTGCATTTGCCACATTCTTTCCTCTAGGCTGGATAATCATTAAGGTAACTAGATTACAGAATATGTACTTAAAAAATGTAATTAGATTTTAATCGACTGTATATTACATATATTGTTTGTGTATCTGCTGCTGCTTTTTCCCCATTCATCATAATGGGCAAAAATTTGATATTAGGGAATAGTATATGGAGGCCTGATCTGGGGTGTGCATGTGTTGTTAATGTATGCAGAGGGCTAATTTCAGCTCGTAGAAAATGGGGCCCCATATGCTTAACAGACACTCTTCTCTTATTCTCTAGGTTTCCGTTATGGGAGTGATATAATTCCTTTCTCTAAAGTGGACCAGGAACAATTGAAATACAGATCAGAGGGAAAGTGCTTCTCTGTTTTGGGATTTTGTAGATCTTCTCAGGTACAACACTTATTCTACTAATTGTAAACAAAATAAATGAGTTTTTCCTTGTTTTTATTTGAGATGGTATGATTTTGATTGGTCCTTTTATTTATAATATATGTTTATTTTACTTACAGTTTTCCTAAAATGTAGTCTTAGAGTTAGTATCACTATCTTTGATTTTTGAAGAAAACAAAACAAGCCAGAAGAATAGATTCAAATAAAAGTCACTTTTTAGACGAGATCGGGCACATTCAAGATGGGATGGCAATAGTGAAAATCACTTTTTAGTTTTTTTGTCAGACAGCTCATAGTAGCCTTAAAGAAACAGTCTCTAGTTCTTTGCTATTTTATTGCTTTTTTCTAAACTGTTATGTATAATGAAATGTTTTACAGGAATGAAGGTCTAGCTAGGCTTTGAATAACCATAGACCTCTTAGAATATCATTGATTTATTCTAGTCAGCATTCATCTTCATGCTCAGCAAAGAGGTTTAAGATGTGAAACTTGTTAATATGTGGTATGTTTTTTAGATACCAATGCAGAGACACACAAAATAGACACAGTGGGGAATGCAGTAGTTCACTGAAGGCCATGGGATACCATATACTATCCTAGAAAGGTTTTAAAGATTCCTGGAGACTTTAGATGAAATTATTCTTGAGGTAGGCAACCAAAGAGAATGATTAAGTATAAAATGTATCTTTTCAGGCTCTATAGGGATGAAAAGATTTTTGTTGATTCTAGATAAACTCAGTTGAGAAGTATAATAAAAATAAATTTTACCCAGTATACTGGGTTTTAACTTCTTCATGTCGCTTAAGCATATAGTCCCTGTGTAATTCAGTGGGGCTAGGGAGAATGTTTTTCATAATAGGATCAAATTATTAGACACATTTTTAAGACTCATAAGCTGAAAATTGGGAGGATTTACTTAAAGTCGAGATTTGAATAGCAAAAATAAATACTTTTTGGAAGTTGAGAGTCTCTAACAGTTTTCTAACAAATTACAGTAGATATGCTTTCCATAAAAATAAAATTATTCACTTTGGGAGGTATATAAACGTAAAACTTATGGGTATCAATGGCAATGCTTATGAATCTTTTCAGTGAAACAGAACCGTTATTCAGACGTGTTTGAAGAAATTGGCTTACAGGGAAATGAGTCTTCCTAATTCCAGACAGGCTGAGAAGGCCTGACCAAAACATCTGCAAGTGTAATTCAGAACTCAAAAAATTGAAATCATCTGTGCCTGGGTGAGAGTGGGGGCCTATTTAGTTGAATGGCAAAACAAAGAGTGGGCTGAACAAAAAAAAGCACATTTTCCATTTTTTAAAGTTCTTTTTAAATTTATTGGAGTGGCATTGGTTAATAAAGTTATATAGGTTTCAGTTATACAGTTCCATAATACATCATCTCTATATTGTATTGTGTGTTCACCACCCAAAGTCAAGTCTCCTTCTGTCACCGTTTATCCCTCCTTTACCCTCTTATACCTCCCCCACCCCCCTTACCCTCTTTCCCTCTGGTAGTCACTGTATTGTCTGTGTCTGAAAGTTGATTTTTTTTGTTGTTGTTGTTTTGTTTAATTTCTTCACCTTTTTAAGATTTTTATTAACTTAAAATTAATTTTTAAGTCATGAATTATTTTTGTAAATCAAGTTTTTTGTTTTTAAGCTCTAAATTGTTTTTATCTAGAGTGCAATCTCAGATAGGTAGAATGAAGATAATAACTACTATTTATTAAGTGATTATAATATTTCAGTCAATATACTAAGTATTTTATATAACTTCCCATTTAATTCTTTTATGACCTGATAAGGTAGATGCCATGATATGTATTTTATACATTAGGAAATTGAGCTTCAGAGCTGTTAAATAACTGGCCCAAGTTCATGTAGCTAGAAGGTGATAGAGGTGGGTTTTGAACCAAGTCTCTCTGACTCCAAAGCCTATGCCATTAATCAGTTGTAACCTGCCCACCAGATGGACGGTCTCATTTCTTTATCATTTATTTTCAAGGTTATATTTATTTATTTTTAGAGAAGAGGGAAAGGAGGGAGAAAGGAGGAAAGAAACATTGATGTGCAAGAGAAACATCCATCAGCTTCCCTTCGCATGCCCCCAGTTGGGGACCTGGCCCAAAACCCAGGATTGTGCCCTGGCCGGAATCAAACTGGTAGCCTTTTGGTTTGCAAGACAACGCTCAATTTTGAAGTCTTAATTTTTATATACCCATTTTTATCTTCATCTTTTTTTAAAAAATCCTCACCCAAGGATATGTTTTTATTAATTTTAGAGAAAGAGGAAAGAGAGAAAGAAAAAGAAGCATCATTGGTTGCTTCCCACACGTGTCCCCACCAGGGATTGAAGGATCCAGCCTGCAACCTTTTTGGTGTATGGGATGGTCCTCCAACCAGCTGAGCACCCGGCCAGGGCTTATGTATTATCTTACCAAATGCACACACATCATCTTAGGAGCAAGGTGTTTTCCATATCAACTAAGATAAAGTACAAGCGTGTACCTTCTAACAGATTAGTAATTATCTTTAAAGTAATAAAATCACGTATTTTTTCAAAGTCCTTTAAAGTGAAGGAAACTAACATTTCTGGATTGAATTGATATGAAACATTTCATTATATAAAATAGGATTTTTGGTTTGGGGTATTTTTTTTAAATGCAAATTACTTTTCTTTTTTAATATTTTAAGAGTCCTTTCAATTTGTCTGTCTCCAAGTTGTCAGTGTTCTGGGTATCTAATTTTAGGATGGGTAAGAATTTAGCCAGAACTTCTCCCAAATGTCTGGCTGTCTTTTGAAAAGTCATTTAGGTGCCTTAGGAAGAGATATCATTAGCTCTTCTTTAATCAATCAAGAGTTATTACAAATTCTGTTGGGAGGGCAAATCTATATAAATGTAGCAAACTAAAAATATAGGATTATTCCCATAGTTCTTCAAATAATGGTTTTCAAATGGGGCCTGGTAGTAGAGATGGGGGGGTATTTGAATTACATAAGCCTCACCCCGACACCTTTGAGACTTAGTCTTGAGCTATTGTTTCTATGAAAGTGCTCATAATTTCTTGACTTTAAGGTGGGAGGGCAAAAAAAAAAATTTTAGAAGCATTCCTTATACAGCACATGGCATGATTTTATAAATAAGCTTCAGGCTCAGGATTACCTAGATCAGAGAGAAGTTGATCTTGTTCAGTAAGTGCAGGTGGTTATGATATTGGGAACTCTTCAGTATTCATTTTCTAATCTTTAACCCCTCTGATACCGTGCTAGATGAGTGACTTAAAAGGGGAAAAAGGACACAGTATTCATTTTTGCTTTAGTCATGTTCTTCCTCCAGTCATGTTCTTCTATTTAGTGCTTTCCTCTGGTCTCTGCAATTTATCACTGCTCTTAGAATGAAGTCTAAAACCACTTACTTTTGCTGATAAGAGACTTTGTGACCTGATCTTTGCTAATCTCGCTACTGTCATTTTTCCCTTTACCCTTGCACTGTGACCTGTACGACCCCAGAAGCCGTTCCTCAAGTGTACTTGCTTTTTTGTATGTCACCGTAGACTTCTTCACGCTGTTATCCCTGCCCAGGACACTAGGGCCCAGACTTTTTTAATCTCAGTTCATACCCACCCTTTAAATCTTAACTTAGGTGTCACCATTTGCAGAAGCCTTCCCTGACCCTTCGTGACCAAATCAGATGCCCTTCTTATGTGCTCTTTTAGCACCAAACTGTATATTGTATTATGACTGGACTCTTGTCTTCTTGTAGCACTGTACGGTAGTCCTGCACTATAGCTAATTTCGTATTTATCTATCTAAGCTCCTCAGGGCAATCTATATTATGTTCATTATTGTGTTTATAGTGCCCAGAACAATGTTTGATGCATATTAGGTGCTCAGATATTTATTGTGTTGAATTCAGTTGAGCCTTAAGTAATATGTCGTTTCTAGTGCTTGTGAATGTTTTTTAGTAAGAACATTTTGTATAGGGTTTCTTAATAATGTGTGGCATTATGATTTTACGTGTTACTTAATTTTGGATTGAAACCAATTCTTTCTTCATTTATTCTTGTAGGTCCACAGGAAATATTTTATGGGAAATCAAGTTCTAAAAGTCTTTGCAGCAAAAGATGATGAGGTGAGTTATAGTGCCATAGAATTGAATTGCCACTTTTAAGTGAGTTGTTTGGGGCCTTTAACTCTGAAAATAAAGAAATGATACATGAATTTGTCATAGCACAAGCACAAGGCCTAAGGACATTGTCCTGCAGTTGGATATCAGGTGAGTGTTGAAAACAGAAACATTTGACAGAAAGAAAGGGGAAAGTGAGGAGGTAGAAGATGGTAAAGGGGGAATAAATGGTGGTGGAAGGAGACTTGACTTGGGGTGGTGAACACACAATACAATATATAGATAGATGATGTATTATAGAATTGTATCCCTGAAACCTATATGATTTTATTAACCAATGTCACCCCAATAATTCAATAAAAAAAGAAAAAAAAATTTGGACACATGCATTTAGTATGGGATCTCATAGTCAAATGTTCAGGGAATGTTCAGGTTGACATTTTCATTTTCATAGACATCGAACATGTAGTGCTGGCTCTAAGCATCCTGGAATGAGCTCCACTGACTCACTGGACCACTTCTGTCATTGAGGACTTTGTCTTTTCCAACCTCTCCCTTTTTCTTCCTGTCTTCCCACCTTCCCCAGAGAGTCTATTTTCAGGCTGGTTTCTGCCTGGCTAACAACCCATGACTCTTGCATCCTACACTCATACCTGCCATCTGTGTAAATATTTTCTGTGTACCCTCCAAGTCAGAACTTATTTCCTTGGAGACATTGATCTAAACTGGAAAATTACAATCTAACGTCTTTCTAAGACTACTGAAGCAGGTTTCCAAATCCTGGAAGCATTTGCATTTAAAATTATTAAACTGGTTGAAAAAGGCTTGTTTGGGGTGGGGGGGAGGGTGGTAGTATAAGAGGTCTAGTCCTCGTAACCCTCTTTTTCTCTTCATTTGTGAGGGGTAGCTGACTGCACAGCTAACGAATGGATATGCCATTATTCTATCACAACAGTTTAAATAGAAGAAAACACTTGGTTTTCACTCAGTACTGCACAGATTCATTAGGGCACACTAGGCGTATGCGATTCTTCAAATTTGAAAATCCCAGTTCATGGATTTCTCTTGAATCAGATCCTGCTGGTAATCATGTAGTTCTGATATATACTGTCAACACATCTTGACTGCATTTTTCACTTCTATTGACATTGTAACCCATACTTATTTTCGCTTTATGCAAAGAAAATTCTGGTCACTTCCTGTGATTGCACATCACAAAGCTGTGATTATCTTGACTTGCTAGCTAAGGGCAGTGTCACGGCTGGCATAATTCAGTCAGTCTCATGCAGACTCCATAGATCACAGGGTGACTGTGAGTTTACTCAAGAAAAAAATTTACTAATGGGAAAGGGCTACTTTTTGGTGTTGGTCCTTGGCATCATAGTTAAGAAGTAATTAATATTAACTAATCAGAGCTTATGAGAAAAGCAGAGGAGTAAGAACATTAGGTCATATGAGTGCTTCCAGGAAAGGATTGCGTGGAGAAGACTTGTGTGGGTCAGTAGGGGAGAAGGAAGGATGGCCAACATTATAGCCCTCCTCATACATTAGAGAATATGCTTCCTACCAGAGGGTAAGTTGGAACCAACAGTTGGTAGTTTTGTTCAAGATGAAGATTAATTTTGTCACTAAGGCTTAATATCCACAAATGGATTGGTTCCTTGTGAGATGGTCAGATCCCCACTCCTACAAGCTTCCCAGCAGAGTCTTTGCTACTACCAATCAGGTGTTGGGGAGGAAATTCCTTCCTCATGTGGGTTGTTAGACTAGATGAACACTTAAAGATGTTTTCTCTGGCCATTAGCATGTAATTATTTTTTGTATAGAGAATTGACACTTCTATGTGCTGATCAGCACTGTGTGTGGAAGGGAAGGGGAGGAGAGAAAGGAAAGGAAATGGAGTGTTAGTTGAGTTTCCCACTGGTGTAGTACTGTATTATAATGTAGCAGTCATTCAAGACTTCATTGTTCCTTTAAATATCCCAGTTGGTCCTATCAAAGACATCCAAAGAAAAGCTTGCAAAGAAATTGGAAGTAATCCTTTCCTCAGACTCCCATTGTGCTTATCTGGTCTCTCTTATGGGACAGGTTAGGATACACATGTTCTGTGTTTGGTACATATCTCCTGTCTGCTAGTACGAATGTAGTAGCTCAGTGAGATCAGGGACTTATCTTTGTTTTCTTTCAGGCCCTAAGACAGTGCCTGGCAGAGAGTAGGCTCTAAGTAAATATTCCTTGAGTTGAACTGAAAAGGTAATAAATTTGTCATGAAATCTGTAGAGGATTTTGTAGACAGGGTATTGAGGTCATAGGTTTTTAGTGGAGGAAATGGGAATATGCACAGTTAGCTTCGATAAGGGTTAGCTATCACACTGTGAAAAGTACAGATAAAGTGTTTGGGGAGTAATGGAGAGGGAGAGAGCTGGCCAAAGCACATCCGAAATGGAGAGCGAATCAATTCACTGAGCCTTAAAAATGCATTCAAAGCTAGAGAGCCATTTGGAGAGTTGGAGATGGCATTCTAATTAGAAAGAAATTGTATGAATAAAAAGCTAGAGGAAGGAAAGTACAAGACTTGCCCATAAATAATGATCAGCTCACTGAGGCTGGAATAGAGGAACCATGGGAGGTTTTTTTGGAAGGGAGTGACATGATCAGCTCTAGGAACAGGGCGTACAGTGATGGGAGAGAACGAATAGACTTGAGGGATGGCATAGAGGTAGAATCGGTAGAGTTTGGTGAACAGTTGAAGGTGAGGGATGAGTAAGGTGGCATTTTCAAAGACACTGGGGCTCCGTGCTTGGTTGACTAGAAGGTGATCTTAATGGAAGTAAGTAGAGGAGGAGAATGGGGGAAAGACAGTAAGTTAGTTTTGGTTATAAACAGTTGGAGATACTTGAGATATAACCAAATGAGATATCTGCCAGCGAGTGGGGTAAATAAGTCTGGATCTTAGGAGAGTTTTAAAGCTGAATGCACATACTTTTGACACATCAGCTGGTGAGACTGGATAAAATAATCCCCAGCTAGAGTTTCAGAGTGAGAAGAAGAAGGCAAGGTCAAGAGCAGAATTTCAACATTAGTTGAAAGAAGAGAAGAACCAGGAGAGGTGTGGCTCACAAAGTATAATAATCAGGGGAGAGTGTTGTTTCGGAAGCCAAGGAAGGAGAAAGCGGGGAGAAAGGGATGGTCAGATGCTGCTGAGAGGTCAGATAGCAGGGGGATCGAAGGCTCAGCAATTGGGGGGCCCTGGGTGACTGCGGAGGGTGATTTCAGTGAGACAGGGCAGGAGCTGAGTTAGACTGAAGAATAATTGTGTTCTAAGCAGGGACAACAGCGAGATGATTATTTCATGGAATTTAGAGGTAAAAGGAAAGAAAGATACAGATAGTAAATTTATGAAGAGAGGGGGACAAAAAGGTTTTATTTAGGAACGCTAAGACGTGAGTTGATTTAGAGGGTGCAGTTATGAATTCAGAGGATAAGGAAGATTGAAGCGATGAGAGAGCAGACTTAGGTAATGAAGTCCCAGAAGAGGTGCAGTGTATGTGATCAAATGCAAATGGGTACAGTGTGGCCTTGAAATGGGTCAAGGGCACTTTTGAAAAAATCTGAAACAGAAAGGAGGTGGAACATGGTCTTAGGAGTATGTGGTTCTGCTGTGAAAATTCGTCTGCGCTGGATGTGTGTTGATGCGAGCATCTCTGTCCCTAGGCGGCAGCAGTGGCCCTCTCCTCCCTGATCCACGCTTTGGATGAGTTAGACATGGTGGCTGTAGTTCGATATGCTTATGACAGAAGAACTAATCCTCAAGTTGGTGTGGCTTTTCCTTGTATCAAGGACACGTATGAGGTAAAACACACAGGTTTTTTATTCACATTTTTCCCCCTTCATGTTCTTTATTCTAAACAGTGTTTCTCAATGGTTAATATGCGTGGGAATTGCTTGTGGGGCGGGGGGCGGGGGACTGTTAAAATGAAGATTCTGATTCCATAACCTCATGGGAATAGAGATGACCCCTGTTGTTTTTTGTGTGTGTTTTGGTTGTTTTTTTTTTTTTTTTACAACCACTTTATTTACTAGGGATAAAGGTTGAGGATGTGATTTTGTCATGATCCTTGTGAAATTCATTTTACTTAGGACTCTCCTGTTTAAAATACAGGTCTATATTCCTTACCATTTCCTATTTTTCAAAGAACTTAACTGTGGCAGAACTGGAAAAGAGACCACAAATATCTTGACTTGCATACCAGCCTCCCAAGCACCTTGACTCTTTTCATTTGTTGTATAGGTCATGGGTTTTGCAGGTATTTGATAGTCATTCTTTGAAGCATCTTTTATGTGTCATATTCCATGTACTGTTTACAGTTGTATATAGCTAATAACAGAAATCAAAACACTTTACTTTCCATGTACCAGCATGGAGCCATCTGATTTTCAAAATACTTTTCTTCTGCTACTTTTACAGTGTTTGGGGCCAGTTTTATATTTCTCCACTAATTTGGTTGTTTTTGCTTTAACCACCTTTCTTTCTCATTAGTGTTTAGTGTATGTGCAGCTGCCTTTCATGGAAGACTTGCGGCAATACATGTTTTCATCCTTGAAAAATAATAAGAAATACACTCCCACGGGTGAGTTTATTTCCATTTTGTTCACTAATTGGCTCTAAACACAAACTATTCTTGGGAAATCACCTGTGTGTACTCATTGGTTGGGGCCAAAGTTTCAAAGGGTGAATTAGTTGTATCCAAGTCACATCATACATAGTAATGATGAAGGTTGTTCATCATGTATCTTTCCAGTAATAGAGATAGATTTGTGCTAAACTCTCCAAGCACTCTCTGGGTTCCCCCTTCTGACTTAGGGCTGTGCCTAGGGAGCAGCTTGCTAGGAAGGGATGTACACTGTCTAGATGTGAGCAAATTTGTCCTCTGCTGAAGTGATTTGACATGTATTATCAAGTGTCCTATAAAAAGTATATTGTAACTTTGATGTGAAAAGTGATAGTGCTGGAGATTACCTTTTCTCTTTGCCCTTTCTTTGTAACTTAAAGTAGCAGTTCAAGTTCCATTGTTCCTTATTTCCAGGAGTTACTTCTAGCTTGATGGGGAAAGGCCTTTATTAAGCATCTGGCTGCAAATGCCAGGGTGCTACCCAGAGTGATTCTCACAGACGCAGATCCTGTCTTCCAGAGAGCTCACTGCTTAAAACAGTTGTAATAAAATATAATAGTGGGCTAAGTGTAGAGAACATACCAAAAAGAACACAAAACTATGAGTAGATGTTTTAGTTTACAAGTTATATCTGTGTCATTGTAGGACTAGGGAATTGCAAAGTGCGTCTCAAAACTGGGTTCTCTCTGTATGTTTCTTTAGTTAGATCGTTTAGGAAAAACGTGTGCAGAGAAAAGCCCAGAAACAAACGGACTTCTAGGGCTTGTATCCTTACCTTCTTTCAGAAGTGGGTCTCTCTGCATCATGGTGGAACCAGGCATGGACTTTGATGTACAGAAGCTGCCAATGTGTTAGAGTGTCCTATCTCTCTCTCCAAACTTTAAATGAATAGAACACTTAAAAGAGAGAACTTCGCTGAGGAATTAAGGGCATACACCATTCACTCAGGACCTAAAACACTGAATATCTCTTATCTGTTGATTTGTTCTCTGTGAGTTGACATATTTTTGTTTCCATTTTCTCCATTGGAAAAATGTATTATTAAAACTGTTTGGCATATTTCCCAAGTCGACATTTAGGTCAGGGTGTGCAGTGCTAGAGTGATCTGGCCTGACACTAGCTTGTGATGGCAAACGGAAATCACTAAATGTTCACACACACGGAGCACCTACTACAGTTGCCAGGTGGACCCTGAAGTTGTCAGCTTCAGGTGGTGAGGGCTGTGCCAGTGCCTGAAGCCTCCCCTAGAAAGTGCAAAAACGGGGTAGAAAGCTTCATGACAAATACCTGCATGCTCTCTCATTTTGGAGTAGCCGTTCAAAAGGGAAATTTGAAAGGGTGATGAATAGAAGCATAATGGACATTTTAGGAACCGCTTACTCTTTTCTACCTTTTGCCTAGTGACTGTGAGTGATCCAGAAATAGCGCCTCAGCTTTTAGCAGCTGAACTGCTGTGTGAATCAGCAGAATGAAAGTTACACATGGGAGTTTAAGCAGAAGCATTTTTGGAAGCATTACCTTTCATCTGCATTGCTGCGGGCGGTGTCATTTTTACTGAGGAGCACTGGCTTTCTGCTTGGTATTAGGAGAGACGTAAAGAAAAGGAAGTCCTGTGTTTGCTCTCGAGGCTCTGGAGGGTTTGAGTGGGATGGTTTTAGACATGTACACAGGTGACCATGTATGCAGAGTGCGCATAGTGCCCTGAGGCCTGGGAGAGGAAAGAGCTTATTCTGACTTGGGGAGATTGTGAAGGAATCTGCTCACCTGGCCCAGTGGTGTCTTACTGTTGTTATACTCTGATACAAGCTGTATTATGTCCTTAGAGAATTACTGCTTCATTACCAAAGGGTTTTTTTTTTAATGTTTTTCTCTTTTAACTAATTATTAATTTCTTTTTTAATATTTTCATTGAATTCAGAATATTTTGGATTCTCGTATACAAGTTGGGTTTTGTGTGACTGTGGAGCATTCCTCTTGGACAAGCTCTATTGCTTTTGTTAGGATATTCCATTGTCAAATGTTCACTGAATGATAGTGCTGGAAAGGACCTAAGAGACCAGCTACATTTATATAACTCTCTCTTACAGATAAGGAAACCATGATTCAGGTAACTGGTTTGCATAACTAGAGACTATTGCTAGTCGAGCCAGGGCCGTATAACCTGCCAATATTGCGAGGAATCACTGTGAATGGAAAGCATTTCTTTTGGTGGAAAATAGTGGAGATAGTCATTTTTCATTTCTGCTTCTTTGTTTATCCTGATTTAGAGGCGCAGTTGAGTGCTGTTGATGCTTTGATTGACTCCATGAGCCTGATAAAGAAAGATGAAGAAGAAGACACCATTGAAGACTTATTTCCAACCACCAAAATCCCAAATCCTCAATTTCAGAGATTATTTCAGGTAAGAAAGAAAAGACAAACCAATCGTATTTTTTTTTAAATGAAAGAGAACCGAGTGAAAAATTAGGGTAATTCGCCAGTCAAACAATTGTTTTTATCCTCTGAGGGCCTCAGATGTTCTGTTTAATAGAATGCCACCTTCTTCTTTCTACTAAGAGAGGAAAATGCTCTGAGCTTCTGAGCTTTTAGGAAGAAACAAGTCAAGGATGCTTTCTAATTTTTTTTTCCTAGAGAGAGGTTGTTTTTTCAGGAGGGCTTAATAAAAAGCATATTCAATGCTTTTATGCTTTCTCCAGGCTTTTCTCTATTTTATGTGAATGAGACTTTTCTTTGTTTTTTAATATCCAAATACTAGAGTTTTTATGAACTATGTAGTGATCACTAATAGGGAAGAAGTGTTCCAGTGACACACGTGTCAATTTCATAATTAAAGGTAGCATAGAGGTCAAATAAAGAGGTTATAGTACGAAATTATTGAAGAGTAACTAAAATAAAGGAAAATATAAAATACGAATTTCTGAATCTTGTGCTGAAGGAGTTGGAAGGCGGAACTTGGATTAGGGTACCTGGTGAAGCCAACGGAGAGCCAACTTAGGCTGAGCAAGGGGAGGAGAGGACCTGGGTCAGCGGAGCAGGGCGGGGGTGCTCCAGTTCTGGAGTCACTGGGTGACAGCAGGACACGGGCTTCTCGGAACCCCCAAAAGCTGAGAGAAACCACAAGCAGCTTTGTCAGGCAAAGGCTCCCCTACAGAAGGGTGGAGCGCCGGTTTCTGGGGGGCTTGTGCGATGGAGAGCCCATTGCCTGTCCATCTTGATTCACTTCTCAGAGCATCCTTATGTAACTCAGGTCCATATTAGGGCCCGTTGAGATTTTGAGGCGTCCTCTTTCTATACAAGAGAAAGAGTCAGTTTTGGGTTGGTTTGTTTTTTGTTTGTTTGTTTGTTTGTTTGTTTTGCTGTATATAATTCCTTTAAGTGGGTGGGGGGAGTAACTTTTGTTCTAAAATTAAAAACATTAACATGTGAAGGCCTGACTCAGTGAATGCTTTAGTATTCTAAGAATATTCAAGTATAAATTACTTGTATAAAGTTGGTTGGCATTTTTGACAACTGGACTTCAAGACTGTTTTTGCCATTTGTAGGGAGGAGAGAGCAGACCAGCTGATGTGGAAAGCTTGCAAAAACAGGTTACTATGGTGAAAGATAGAAAGTTCTAATGCTTGGCAGATTTACCTCAGATGGTTTCTGTTTATCTTCAGTAAGTGTTTGTTGGATTAATGAATACATGAAAGCCATGAACATGGGCATTGTTATCTTTCAGAGCTATTAAGAACTGGCAACTTTGATTTTTACAACTTACCGACATTGTTTTCTTTTGTGAGGGAGAGTTTTTAATATGGCTTATCTATATAAAGTATCATTACTAGTGCATTTAAACATTGAGTTCACTCTTTATAAAACAAATATTTATTGAGTACTAACAACATGCCATATGTTAAAGGTAATATAAGCTCACTACTTGAAAGGATCCCTACAGAGAAATGAGAGGAGAGATATAAAACAAATAGTTACAACAGTGCTGGGTACAAAACTGCGACTAAGAGGAAAGAGAGTTTCTTGCAAGTGAGTGAGTTCAGGAAGGCTTCACTGAAGTAAAAGGGAGGCATGATGTGACAAGGACGTGCCGGGGAAGAGAAATAGCACATGAGGAAGAGTGATGTATTTGGCGATCCACAAATAGTTCCGTCAGGTTGGAGAACTGGCTCTATGGGAAAATGATGGAAAAAGTGACAGGGAATGTAAACAGCATTTGGACTTCCTTGTGTAGGCAGTGGGCAATCACAGAAGGATTTCGTCAGTAGGTGGGTGACATGAGGTTTAGAAAATAAGTCTGGTGGGTAGCTGAGGAGATGGACAGGAGACCAGTTAGGAAACCGGCAGGGGTCCACACGAAGGCCTGAATTAAATCAGTGACAGAGGGAATGGAGAGGGGGAAATGTAGAAGGTAGAGTAAATAGGATTTAAGGAATTAGAGGATGGTTGATAAGAAATAAACAGGAATTGAAGATAACAGGATCCTCCAAGCTTGGATGAGTGGAAGGATGGTATCAGTCACTGTTAATTATGATAAAACAGAGATTTTCAACTGGTATGCTGTAAGAATTTTGAAAACATGCAATATCTGACTATTTAGTAAGGGGCACTGACCTCTTTTCCCTTAGACTGTCAAATAAAAAAAATGACATCAGCCAACACAACAATAGCCATTCAATGTGAATGGATCAAAATTATGCCTGTTTTATTTGTCAGATCAAAAATCTATTTTGTTTGTGCTGCAGAATTTTAGTAATTGGTTTATGTGTGCCGTGAGGTGAGAAACATTGAAAATCGCAGTGATATGGCATATAGAATGAACAGACAGAAAAGGTAATTCGTAAGTTTTTGCAGGTGTTAAATTTGTGATGTGTTGGCTATAAACAGTCAGTGGGAAGTTGGAAATTGGGGTACAGAGCCTAGGAGAGCTTTCAGGACCAAATGGATTTGAGAGTCCTCCTCATTGAGGTAGAAAAAGAAGTGAGATCACCTGGGAGAGTGTGCGGCCTGAGAAGAAAAAGTCCTGAACAACATGAACATGTTCATGGAAGAGCTGTTAAAAAAAAAAAATTCCAGCCTCCTCACCGCCCCCTGCCCCCCCTAAAAAAAGTTCAGAGAAGTGGAAAGCACTAGGCGAAATGGGTACCTGAGGGGACACAGGAAGAGGAGAGTGCCCAGCAGGAAAAAGGCAGGCAGACGCTCTGCGCCTTGTTGAGTCCAGGAGGCGTGGCAAAGGGCCTTGGGGTTGTGTGGTTAAGTCTGTGATGATTTTGAAGGTCCAGCGTCAGCAGAGTAATAGGGAGTGAGCCAGGTTTCAGTGCTGGAGAAGGGAGCTTTCCTGATGAAAGAGAAGGGGGAGAGAGGGCCTAGTCAGCTGTAGGAGGACGCGGGACTCTGGAAGACTTTCTTTTCCTTTTTAAATGAAATATTTGTAACCAGGGTAAATGAGCTGGGGGGCGGGGTCAGAAGGAGACAGAGATTAATAATCAATGTTAGCAAGAGGTTAATTTAATTCTAATTTTGGAAAGAAGTGCTGAAAGTACGTCTTTTGTCAAGTGTACAGTTAAAACCGCCATTAAATAATTGATACGGTGTTGCTAAAATCAACATATTGGTAACCTCTGAACTAACCATGTAGTCTGCAGGTTTTTTCTATTCTTTTTTTCAAAGTGTAAAACTCACATCGAGGAATCACAGTTGCTTAAGAGAGAAATAAGCAGATTGAGGACTGATCTAAGGTTTCTCAGCTACTAAAAAGTATCACTTTCTCAGCCACATTTTTAAAAAATGAATTGGGATTTTTTTGATTGAATGAATTTTATAAGTATCCCACTGATCTTTATCTAAAATGTGACCTTTAAGAAAATGAGAGGTTGATGCCTTAGAACATTTCTTGTAGGTCCTTTATTACTGACTTGTGGAAGATGACACTACTTGAAAGACTTGCCTAGATTTTCATACTGAAAATCTGGATTGCTCTTCATTAGGGAGCCTGAATAAGGTATTTTTCCATTGCTGCTTCTAATTCTTTTCCAAAAATGTCAATTGAATATAATGAATAGAATCTTCCAGAGTGTGAAAGGTAATCTGCTGTGTTGGGTGTTTGATCACTGCTTACATCTTTAAGGGCTTTCCTCGCTGTTTTAGGTATTTTAATGACCTGAGGCAGAGCACTGTGAATTAGGAATTATGCACAAGGAGGTTGGGGGTGAATTCACAGGGTTTGGGATCATTTTGGTGTTCTTTTGCTTCTCACTAAGTAGGCCTAAGGTTATCGATGGTAAAGGGAATGGAGAAGGAAGACTTGTGGTTGGTGTATTGAAACAAGGAGCAGCACTTGAAATTTCAAGAGGAAATTGGTGTTTAATTTCTACTTCAGGGTTTTCCGACTGTAGGACATCAGCTCTTGGTTGGTATTTACTATTTAAGCCGATGTATCTTTTATTTCTTAGAACGGAGACTTCTAGCTTACGTGTAAGAAAATAGTTCATGGTGTGGTATAAATCATATGCCTTATGGCAGGAAATTGTATTTTGAAATTGCAGGAGCTATTCGGCTCCCTGTTTTTTCTCCGGAATTACTAATGTACAAGTTGTTTAAAGGTGGAAATAGTACCAGGCTTGTTTGCCATCCTCATCTTGGAATTGATACTCTAGCAATCAAAAGAAAACATCAATGAATTGATAGCTTGATTTTTTTCTGTTTCTGTCTTACTGGTGTCCCGTCCTTTTGCTTACCTTTTTATACTCTTTTTAGAGTACTTACCTTTCTGGGCAGATACCAGTACTGCCAAGGCCTAGCTTAGTGAATTGAAAGCTGTACAGATGATTGAGTGGAAGTGGCTTGCTGGCCAGGTTTCCACTCGTGTGAGCAACGGAAAACCTTCCCTGGCCACGATCATGGCCCCATTCTTGTTATTCCTTCGATCAGTATCTGCTGGGTGTTTGCTATGTGCCAGGCACTATTTTTGGTACTCGGAATTCAGCAATAAACAAGACAAACAAGCTCTCTACCTTCAAAGGGGAAGGTTAGATAATCAGTAAACTAAAAAATTGATAAGATAATTTTAGTTAATGGTAAATTCTGTCAGAAATGTAAAACAAGGTTCGTGACAAAGAATGACTGTGTAGTAGGATAGTGGCAGAGCCTCTCTGAGGAAGTGATAATTGAGTGAAGAACAGAATGATTAAAAAAAAAAAAAAAAAAGGCCAGCGTTGTCGAGAGCTACAGGAAGACAGAAGAGGCAGAGGGAGCTTTGAGCACAAGACCCCAAGTCTGGAACGGGCTTGACATAAGAGGGAAACAGGAACAGCACAGTCTAGAGGGGTTGCTGCAAGGAGGAGGGTGGCAGGTGACACGGAGCTGTGCAGGGGCAACCTTGTGTAGGACTTGAGGACAGTAAGGAGCTTGCTTTAAGGGGACTTTAGTTAGCTGCGGTAGGACAGCGGAAATGGATGCAGGCAGGCCAGTTAGAAAGTGACCGCGATGGCCCGCACGAGAGGTGACGGGGCCTGGTCAGGAGTGGTGGGAGTGGAGGCAGACAGAAGTGAAGAGGCGGGTGCGGAATAGTCCGGACTCAGCTCTCTGTGGAGCTTGGGACAGACCCGTGCTCTCGGCTCTGCCATAGTTTTTTTCCTGGGACTCAATGAGCCCGAGCAGCTCCCTGTCAGCCACGTGCTTCGTCTGCCACACGCTGTTTTCTAAGATTAAGCAAGGGAGAAAGCACAGTGTGAGAAGGGAGCTGAAAGGATTATAATTTAAAAAAGTTATAATCCCACATTGTCAGAGATCTTTGGAAATAATGTGTTTTAGGGGACTTCGTATATTCTCCAAGTAATTCCAGTGTCAGCCTCTTTTTACAAGATGGGGTTCTTTTCCAGGAGGCCTTAGGCTGACAGTGCTGCTGGGCTAGGGTCTCTTTTACAGCTGGTTTTAGACATTGTGCCTGTCCTGCTAACCAAGGTGGCTCTGGGCCCACTCTCTGTTCTCTTCTGAACATGGTAGGGATGACACAGCCCTCCCAAACCGAAGGTGGAGGATCCCTCACCGGAAAGTACAACAAAGCCGTATCTGGTGTCTACGTCCGCATTTTAAAATCCTTACACTTTTTCCACAGTGTCTGCTGCACAGAGCATTACATCCCCAGGAGCATCTGCCCCCAATTCAGCAGCATATTCTGAATATGCTGGATCCCCCCTCTGAGGTGACAGCTAAATGTCAGGTTCCTCTCTCTGAAATAAAGACCCTATTCCCTCTGACTGAAGCCGTCAAGAGGAAGAATCAACTGACTGCTCAGGACATTTTCCAGGACAAGTAAGTGTTCGATGTGGTTGCGTTTGACATTGGACTGCATGAGACTGGCGCTGGTCGTAGACGGGGATCCGAAGCTAAGGGTGGCTTGTGGGTTTGTGGGATCACAATGGTGGGAGGAAGAAACCTTTCGATGTTTGACTCTTGCATTGAAAATACTGCTTTCTCCTATCTGTCTGTTGTAGGTCTATTTTATTCTTGCCGTTCACCTGGAATGTAGAGTTACCCTCTGGGCTGCTCCCTTTTTGGTCAGCATCAGATTTTCAGTGAATTATATAAACAAGAAGACCAAACAGTTTTTGAATACCTAAGATGAAATTCTACCATTTTTTAAAGTAGGCTGCTGGGGATGAGAGGGGCAAAGTTCATAGTTTTTCGGTTGGAATGTTAGGTGTCAAGAGAATATCAGGGAGACTTTGGGAGGCAAAGCCGGGGGAAGGAAACCTGGCCCTGTGCTAGTGAGGTGCTTGCCTCTGCCGCCAGCGAGGTGTCTGTATTTTTAAGGATAGCAACAGGGTTGTCATATAGTCCTCAAGTCAACCTTTCAGGTAACCATTGCTGTCCCCCCACCCCCGGCTGCCGCGCCCCCACCCCTGTCAAATTCATTTCTGTGTCTGTATCAGTTTCCATTCAAAACAAAACAAAAACAAACCATAAGAAATTGTTTTTGATTATTCAGAATCATTTGGGTTTATAACATTGATTTTTACCAGATTTTGATTTGGTTATTGGTGACTTTCCCCCTCAAATCATAATGATCTGTTCATTTCCTAAGAGTGTATTCTGAGATCCAGGTTTAGACCGCATTTTTTTCCTTTGATTCCCTTCCCACAGTTGTATCTTTAGTGACCAAGATTATCATTTGTAATACCCCATTGGAGGAGAAGTGAGTAATTTTTGGAAACCTTCACAGGGTTCTATAAATTGTTAATTTAATGAGTTATCTTCCAAATTGAAGAGAAAGCTTTATGCTTTCTGTGACTTTTTAGAGGTGAATACCTCCAGCTTTGTTAGAACTGAAAAAGAAAAACATCATAGGATTGATAGATTCTACCATGTGCATTGCTAACACATTCTGGAGAGCTTTTGTTTCTCTTTAGTCTGTCATGTCTTCTTCTACACAGGACGGCTGCCACTGAAAACCCGCTTTCTCTCTGCCGTCCTCATCTGCCTATATCCCTCTGGATTAGTGTTTTAGAACAGTTTAATAAAATGTTGAGTCCTTTTCTCTCCCTGGCAGTGTGCTCACTGCAGTCATCTGGCTATTTTCTGTCTGTATTAAAGCTCCAGTTCAGGATCTTATTACCTTCTGCTGTTGTGGGAGAGAAAGGGGTCATTTCCCCTTCTCCCGTTGATTAAAGTGTAAATGAGCTGGTTAAAACCACACAGAAGCTGTTGTTCTTTGATTTGATCCCTGCTGTGATTACACCTGCAGCTCTGATCCCACCAGTCACTCTTTCTGGAAGCTTGCGCATGCTGGCCTCTTGTTCTTTGGTCCCATCGAGGTCAAACCTAGATGGCCAAGTTGCCTGCCAGGGCCTGAGAACCATCTCACTCACACAGACCTACTCACGCTCCCGTTCTCTGCCCTTTCTTTAGAAATCTGAGTGTTTAAGAATTGCAGAAATGACTCATGCAACAAATATATATTGAGTACTTTATTTAAGAAGAGGGATTCAGTCCCTTCTACAAGGTTCTTAAAACCCTTAATTTTTATGGTAGAGCGCCAATCCCACTTTAGAGGTGGTCTCCCTAAAGGGGCGGGGGGAGTACATGCTTACAGCTACTTATATTTTTGTGTATATTCAGCATCTCTATATGCAGGGTGTTTCCAGTGTAGGGGTGAGGGACAGAAATTGGGGAGCAAGCAAATGTCTGTTCAGTAAGTGTCAGGGGCCAAGACAAAGAGCCCTGAGCTAGGAGTCACCAGTTACCATTCCAACTTTGAACTCTTTCTCTGATTTTGCATAAATAATTTTACCTTTACAAGAGTTTCTTCATCTAAAAAGAGCTTCATCTCAAGAGATATTGTAACAATGAAATCAGAGATATCAAAGCATTTCGAATTATTTGGAGGGAAGGCAATAGTCAAAATGCAAAGGAATATTAGTATTGTAATTAATACAAATATTGAACATTTGAGAAGATCCATTTCTGCTGAATGAACCTTTTGGAACCCTAGTGTTAGAAGTGATAGCTTTCATTTCAAGAGGTTAAGAGCACCATTCTGACATTGTAGTTCAAAAATGTGCTAAATATTACCCTTATCATATAAAAACACGGCTTCCCTTAATGTTACTTGAAATGAAAATTTCATCTCTTAGGGAACTTGCATGAGAAGTAGGACATCTGAGGTCTAATCCTACTTGTGTAACTAACTCATGTGTGAACTTGATTTATTTTTGTCTCTGTGCAGATAGTCTAAACTTCTCTACTTTTTCAAGTCCCCTTAGATGCTCCATCACTTCCTTTGAGCAGCCAGCCTCACCTGGTTACTGGTTAAAACATCAGACTTCAAGACAGACAGTGTGAGCTGGTCCCCTTGCTCCTCAGGGTGACCTTAGGCGCAAGTTGCTTATCCTTGATAAACCTCAGTTTTCTCACAAGTAGAGATAGTAGGAATATCTGTCTCAAAATGTTGTTGTGAGGGTTATTTGGGCAATATATGCTATTCCCTGTTGTATTCCTAGAACCAGCACAATACCTAACACAGAGTATGCATGCTGTGCTCTTGAGAAAATGATTTACAAAATCCTGGTCATGTCCCTGGCACACTTGCGATGACCACGGCTGTGATGATGCTAATTCTATAGAGAAAACAGAGGCCAGGAGGTGGGAACTCCTTGGGTTTTTGTCCATCTTATGTAAAAACACATCTGTATTGCTTCTCCCTTTATTTCCTTCTCACCTGTCTCAGTGGGAGAGGGTACCTCATCCTGTCCCAAGTTAATCCTTTCACCTATGGCCTGAGATGCCATCTTCTCTCTCCTCTGCTACCTTAGCCCAACACTAAGTTCTCCCCTCTTTCTGTATTTTCAGCTTCTCCCTCTGTACCAGCTCCTTTCCCTCCACACATTAACATATCATTTCTTTCCTCTACACCAAAATAAAACAGTCCTCTCACTTCCTCCCTCTCTTACTACTTATCATCTTCTTTCGGGGGCCGGGCTAATTGGAAGACTAGTCAACATTGCTTCTTTACCCAGGACTGACTGTCTCAGGCCCTGCCCCCACTACTTCTCCGACTGGTCTTCTAGAAGACACCGCCTGCTTAAATTCACTTCATCTTGGCAGCCCTTTTCTTTCTTGACCTCTTTGTAGCACTTGACATTGTCCATTATTCTTTGCCTCTTGAAACTCATATATCTTCCTTAACTTCAGCTTCTGCAGGTTTTTCTGTCTAAACATTTGACAGCTCCCGCTCAGCCTCCTCTGGGGTCCTTTTCTTTCCCTACAAACCTTAAGCATTGATGTTCTGTAGGACTTTTCTTAGACACAGCTGACATTTATTGGATGCAGGTATGTGCTGAGTGCCTTGCTTTACACGTATTACCTTTTTGGATCCTTCTGGCCATCCTGTGAAGTAGGTTCTTTTATTCACCTCATCAAACCTCAAAGCTCAGGACACTCAGAGAAGGTAAGAAACTTGCCCAGGTTCACAGCTGGTTACACATTGGGGTGAGCAGTCTGACCAGAGCCTGCACTCTCAACCGTCGTGCCCTGTTGCCTTAGCAACGCGTGTTCTAAGACCTTTGATTATTTCACAGGCAAGTCTTCAAATAACTACGAAGTACCTGTCCATCCTGACATATTTTCATCCTGTCCCCTGGATAGCTTAAGTGTCTGTCGTGACTTCAAGTTTAATATGTCCAGAAACAGCTTCGTCGTCCTCTTTCTCTGTCCACGCTCCTTTGAAACCCCTTTCTGTGCTGCTCTTCTCTCTTATCTCAGTGAATGACGCCTAATTTCCAGGCGATCATCGCTTTTCTACTTTCCATAATTGAGCTGGTTCCCCAAGATGTATTAGATTTACCTCAAATCCACTCCTTTCACTTCAGCTTAGTATAGTGGCTAATAGCATTGATTTTGGAATCAGATAAATTTGGATCAAATCCAAGCGTTTCCCTTTAGTAGTGGTTAAAGTTGGCAAGATGCCCGTCATAACAAATAGCTGCCTTTCAGGAGGCTGTATAGCAGAGTGGCTAACAAGAGTTCAGAATTGGCTGTGGACCCCTTACTAACCATGCCCCAGACCAGGTCAGGCCCTTTTGAACCTTGTTTTGCTCGTTTGTAAAAGAACAGTAATAACTAACTCACAGGGTTGTTGTGAAGTTTAACTGAGATATTTTAAATATGCTTAACGTAGTGACTAGCACATGGTAAGCATTAAAAAAAAAAAAGGCTAACTCTTGTTATCATCACCCACTGCCATTGCTTTTATCTAGACCTCAGTTTAGCCTGCTTTCCTGAGATAACTCCTTAAGTGATTTCCCTCATTGCAATCTTATCCCTTCCAGCCCATTCTTCGTTCTGCTACCTGAGTCGTTTTTTTTTAAGAAACAAATTTTTTTAAGAAACAAATCTGGTCGCGTTATTCCCTTGCTAGCATTCTTTAGTGTAACAGTTCTCAGTCTCTCTCTCTCTCTCTTTCTGTCTCTGTCAGTCTGTATATGTATGTCTGTGTGAGATGGACCCTTCTGATAATCTGACCAAAAAACAAAACCAAACCATGAACCCTCTCCCCAGGAAAATACCATAACATACTAACTTTTGCATACATTTTCTCGACATCATCCTTGGACTCCTGATTAAAAAACCTTTATTTTGATTGCTTTCCATTACCGTCAGCTTAAGATCAAACTCTATTACACAAAGGAGAAAACTCAGATAAGCAGAAAGAAGAGAAGTACTTATCCGTAATCCAGCTGCTTAGAGAATCAGCTTCTTTCCTCACAGTTTCTATGTCTGTAATTTAGATATTTTCTTTCCTTATCTCTTGCTACCCAACATGCACCTCATGCCCCAGATACAGCTACCTGCTATCCTCTCACAGGGATATGCTGCTGGACTCAATGTTTTGTTAATTGTCTGTTCATATATTTATCTTTTTTATTTCGCCGGACTTCTTAAAGGTGTTGATTGGGCCTTAATTTTTGTATATTTATGTAGCCCAGTACAGTAGCTGACACATAGTGTTAGGTAAATGTTTGGCTAAATAAGTGAATTACAAAATTTATACATGTTTATGAAAGGAAAGGAGAATGAACAGCAAATTACCTATGGTCCTGATGCCCACGTGCAGCAGCTCTCAACATTTGTACGTCTGCCGTGGTCTCACATGGATTATTTCCAGAGCTCGACTCCGTCACAGATAATGTCGGGATGAGAGTCATTGCCCTTTCCCACTTCACATAGACAGTATGAGTTTAATAGATGTAGATTCCTAATGCTGTTAAATGATTTAATCTTGAGAATATTAATCATATTAAATTTTCACTACTTTCTGCTTATTTCTGGGCCTGTCTTTACCTGCCCAGGTCTAGAGAATTGGTATATACACCTTCTTATCCTTCTTTCCCTAGAATCTTATCTTGGAAGATTTAAGAAATTCTCTACATCATTCAACCTTGTATTCTCACAGAACTTAGCATAGTGCTTTGCATGTTTAATGGTTCTTAATACCACAATATAAGTTCATTTGTATTTTTGAAAAAGAATGGGTAAGTAGTTGATATACTCATGGTATTTTTTATCATAGTGTTTTTCTAAGGAGCAAACTGAAGATCAGAGAGAGTAGTAGCTTACTCGACTCTAAACTCTAGGTAAACTCAACTTAATATAAAATAAATATTTTTAAGAAGGTGTAAGATCCCAGAGCTAGGAACTGGCAAAACTGAGACTAGAATCCAGCTCTTATGTCTCCAAATCATCATTAGCAGCATGTTACCTATCTCATGGGAACAACTGGCAAGGTTTAACTGAAATGGCTGCATTTTTTTTTAATAGACTCAGATTCTGACAGAATTTCACGCTTCCTCGGGTTTATGCATTTTTCCTTTATTTTTGCCATCAAGGCTTTGTATGCTTATTTTTCATTCTGTTTGAAGGAAAGAACCCAGGATGACTCACCCTTTTGATGTTTCCTTGTCCCCATCCTTCTGTCTTCTCCTTTTCTTTGCTTCTCAAAGGGAAAAAGGCAGGTGGTGAATGGGAAAGATGTCAAGTAATAAAACTTTTAATTCATGTTTTTGTAAGGCTCTGTGATTGCTTTAGTCCTTCATCTAGCTGTAAGAGGAGATTCATTATTGAAATATCATTGAATAAGCCAGCTTATGCCTTATTATTCTTTGCTTTATTTTTAGAATAACCTCTTCTTTATGCCTCATTGTCTGAAGGTTGGGCTTTTGAACAAAAACACATCACATTTAGAAATACTAGATCTTAGTAATTTCCCTTCTCATTCAGCCATTTCTTGACAGCTGCTTTTGCCCCAGATTGATTATTTGTCTGGGAGAAAAATCTTCATCTCTCTATGTTCAGTAGCTTAAGGGAGATTGTGGGCAGAGCCTTTGGATTTGATTTTCTTCTCCTTTTGCAAATAACTTGACCTTCTCGTGACTTCAAGACAGGCTATTAAAGCCAGGATGATACTTGAAGCAAGATGTTTGATACACTTCCTTGGAGGCATTGTTCCCTTACCACACAGATGCTGCTGGACTTTGTTAGCATATTGCCCAGAACAGAATTAGGTTTATGAAAGAACAAATAAAAAGCTTTCTTTTGAAAGTGGTTTTTTTAATAGTTTGACTTCTCTAAGAGCAAGCTCTTGCATATTTAATTAAGGATTGCCTAGTAGGTTTTGAAGCTGTAAGTGGAGGCTTCAGATGTCTCACATACATGATGGAGAAGATGGGTTTTTAGGCACAACAGGCTTCTGTGTATGTGGGAAGCTAATGGCTATCAATTCTGAGACAGAAGCCAGCAAATAATACCAGAAGGGTAAGGGGTTTCTTACTGAAACGTTCAGCTTCCATGACCTGTGCTTGCAGTGTCACCCTTTGAGAGGGCTTTGTCACACGGCTGCTACTTGTGATCTCTGTGCTGCCGGAAGCAGCTGGGGCTGCTCCAGGTCAGGCCGGCAGGAACTCTGAGGCTGGATGAAGGAGGCAGGCTCCCGTAAAGGGGTTCTAAGCGCGGCTCTTTATTTCTGAGACTTGAAAAATTAAGTTGTACTTTTCACATCAGTAGTTCTGGGTTTTGTATTGTTTGTTCTGTTTTAAGGGGTTTGGGGAAAGCCACTTATTTCTTTTGCAGCCATGAAGAGGGGTCCAACTCCAAAAAATTCAAGTCTGAGGAAGGGGAGGCCCACTTTCGTCTCTCCAGCCTGGCCGAAGGCAGCGTCACCAAGGTACGCGGAGCTCATCCATCGAGCTGTGCCCTCGTGGGAAGGTTGTGGCGGGGAGTCCACATCGATGCGTGTTGGTCCTCTCAAGGCATGAACCATGCAGGAGCACCCCACACTTCTCCCTTCAAGTAATCATTGTCAGCCAGTTACCTAGGGCATTATCTTTATGATATACAGTACATAGAGTGCTATATAATACACAGAACATGGAATGTTTCAGTGGTAGTGCTTTTTGTAGAGATTTATTTGTTGGCTATTTTACAGCTGTTTATTTTACAGCTTTCTCTATAGTCAAAGTGATAGGATAAGTGGAGTTGATGATTTGAGTCTTCATCTCCAAGTTTATAAAATTTGAATGTAACTCTTCTTTCTAATATACAGCTCCAGGAGAGATTTTACAAGTTTAGGATTTCCCCAAGCCAAATACCCTTTAACACTCAAGATCTTCATTTACTGGGAAGGCTTTTAGAACTTGAACATATCTCCTTGTTTTAAGTGGCATCATTTTGAATCAATGGATCTTAAAAATTGTCCCTTACTAGCCAAATATGCTAGGAAGGACAGTTAGCAGTAGGCATGCCTTTCCCCAACCTCAAAAAGAAATGCTCTCAGAAAAACTGAATATCTGAAAAATGATTTGGGTTTTATTTCAGTGTTTTACAGTGAAGGGAAAAAAAAAATGATGACCTTGTTTGTTCTGCAAGCTTTCCGGACTGCTATACCAGGGCAGGCTGGAACCTTCAGTACATTTTGTGCCAAAGTTTACCAGCCATAGATGGTACAGCCCCATGCTCTTCTCCCCGGTGAGCTGGATGATACTTAGGCCCTATTTAGGCTGGGACTGGAAAAGTAAAGACACAGGTGTGATCAAAAAGTGCCGTATAGTGTGGCAGAGATTTTAGTCTTTGAAAGTAGCACTGCAGTAAACCTTGAAACATGATCCTCTTTTACTATTGGCAGACATCTTCAGTTTGGGCATGTTTATATAGTCCACCAAAACTTCAGTGCCAAAGGGTCAGCAGTAGTCCGCCCAAAAAGGGCAGTTCAGTGAGAATGAAGCACTAGGCTTTTATTTCTCATGTCATCTTAGTAGGATGCATATATTTGGAACTAGCCCCACATTGCAGCATCCTCCCCTTCCTAATTGGTTGGGTGTCAGGATGCTCAAGCAATCTGCCACGTAAAGTCTTCAAGCAGGACTGGCTGGTGGCTGGGTAGTAATACTTCTGACCCCTCTGGAAAAAAGTCAGCTTCCATAAAGGGAGGTAAGTAAAAGAACAGACAGCAGCTATTAATATATCTGCTAGCATTTAACAGAGCCCTGGAAATGAGAATGAATAGAAAGGGCCTTCACTTTGTCTTTGGTTTTATTTTATAAGAGGACACTTGCTGCATGAAGCCATCGTGTCTTGCCTGGGGTGCGGCCAGAAAGAGAAGTGATCCGCAGGTTTATTGTCTGTGTGTGTGTTCTAGGTTGGAAGTGTGAATCCTGCTGAAAACTTCCGTGTTCTAGTGAGGCAGAAGAATGCCAGCTTTGAGGAAGGTGAGTGATATGCCACTGACTCTAATATTTAAGGGAAGGTATTTAACTAGGTTAATGGATTTAAAATCTAACTGAAGAAGTACAGCCTTTTGTTTTAATGCTATATATAGTAGTTTTCTTACGGATCTTTGTGTGGTCCCATATTAGTGAGCTCACTGAGACATTATAAGCACGTGAGGATAGACTGAGTGGAGGTAAGCCCAAACAAAGAACACATTTGTGAAGAAAACCGTGGGCCAGAACCTTGGAGCTTTTAGGTCCACTTCATTGAAGTTCTCTGGGTTACTGTGAGTGAGCTTGGAATAAAATATTTTTATGTTATATCTTCCTGTTTGCCAAGACACATAATTCTTGTTCTAAGCCTAAGGATTTGAGCCCTTCACAACCCAGAAAGATCTTGCTGCTGCCCCTTGATTTGATCCTTCTGAAACTGATTACATTCTCACATTTTTCTCATCAGGTATAACCTAGAATTTCATTTGGGCTTGGGCTAATATTAAAACAGCTTCCAGGAATGGACAGAGGGTCTTGGACCGACATTCATACATTTTGTGTTCAGATTCCCACTCATTTAGCCTTAGAGTGGCAGCTGGCCCTTGTAATCCTGAGCTTTTTTGTGTACAGCAGTATTCATTATTGCTGCCCAGGGTCAGGCCTGCCTGTGAGCCTCCTTCCGTGTGAGTGTTTATGTTAATGTGTGCACAGAACTTTCTCTTCTAACTTCTTGGCATTTTAGTGGGAGGAATGACTCCTACATGACTGGAACGCTACACCATTGTAGTTTAATCCTCTGTCATGCCAGGCATAGGTCTAGGGCACCTTAGTACTTCACATTTGAGAATCCTAGCAAAATGCCTGGATGTGCTCTCCTTTGCCAAAGGCAGTCATAACCGGCTAAGCCTGAGAGAGCGAGCATGTCATCTACCAGGCCAAACCTTGCTGGCAGCAACACCAAAGGCCAAACCTGTGAGCATTTCTGGAGAAAGACCAGCTCTGTCACCATGGTAATGCGCATTCTTTTAGGTGGGTTATGTATGTTTTGTGTTTTGAGATTAGAGAAGCTTTTGTATTTTTGAAGAGAGATTATGGCCTCCTTAGCTCTTGATTATATGTTGTGAGTTACTTTGGCCCAAGTCAAGGGTCTCCCCTTTGGAAGTGATTGGTCTCCCTGGTTGGTATGGGTGTGGTCTCTTCAGGGTCTAAGTCCAGCATCATCACCATTGTAAAGGTAGCCGCTAGTTAGTGTCCATTATGTCTAAGTCATTGTCCTAGCACTTTATGATATCTTTTTGTTTTAGTTACCTACCCCACATAGCAATCCCACAGAGTCACATGAGCAAGTAGAGAAAATGTTAAAGCTTTAACAGCTGGGGCCAGAATTTCCTGAAAATTCTTTAGTTTCTCTCATTGGGAAAATGTGCTGATAAGTGCTTGGGGTTGAAATAGAGTCTCTGTCCAGACTTGCTTGTCGGCCGATGCTGGGGTTCAGAGGAGAGGGACACTACTGGCATCATAGAACCAGGAAAACTAGAACTTAGTCAGGAGAGGTGGAGACAAGGAGAAAAGGTATAAAAGTATGAGGGAGAGGAAGTGAACGAATTTAGGTAAGGGCCCAGTGTTCTACAGTATGTCATGACTACAGATATGCAGTGTCAGGAAAACCGGAATGCTTGGTTGGGTGCTCTGGTGAAGACGCAGCGTCTTGAATTAACCTAAGGCAGAGCCGAGAAAGTGTACCAGAGCACAGAAGGCCAGAGTGTGAAGAGATCAAGAGAAGGTAAATTCCTCAGAATTTTCATATCCAAGGTAAACATGTTTCCCTTAGGCCATGGAGCTGGTCATTTGAAGCAGATGTGTAAAAAATAACAAGGGCAGTGACCCCAGATGGCATACAGGTTACAAAAAGGTACTGTTATCCCCACTTCATGGATGGAAACGCTATAAAACTGGAAGAGATGAACTTTCCCCAAAATCACAAAATGATTCAAATCCGTTTCTCTCTTAAATTCTAGATTTTTCCTAATTGTTTCTCCTAATCCTAATGACCTCTTTCCCTACATATTGTTTTGTTTATACATTATAAGGTCATGAATTTTAAACCTTGTGTCTGTAGATAGGACTTTTGATGAGTAGACTGTCCTTTTACGTTGAATGTCACTGAGTCATGGTGCGTTGCTAGCGTTGTGATGGTGAATGTCCCTCTGTTCCTCCATCTTGGACTTCGTCAATCAGAGCTCTCCAGTGACCTCACAAAAGCAGGCTTTTTGCAGAGCTATGGGAAAATGGAGCTTCCCGCTTGTTAACTAGTTCTCTTTAGTGGTTCTAACTTGCCTTCCCTTTCTTGAGTCAAGCTTTAGAAATTTGGTTTCTATTGGGAAACACCCATCTGGTTTCAGGAACTGTAGCCTCGCGAATAGGCAAGAGGGCCCCAAGGCTGGAGCTGAGCAAGGAAGCATTGGGAAAATAGGCCCCTGAGGAGACAAAACCTGTCCCTCTGGCAGGGGCACAGCCCCTGCCTCCCTCACATCACCCTGCTTGGCGCTGGAGGATGGCTGGTTAGTCAATGACAGGTAAGACCCCTCGATAGAAGCGGCCACCTAAGACAAGCACAGCCATAATGGGCATCAGGGAAGAACTTGGGAGACACAGAGAAAGGGAATAAAGACCCTCACCCCTCGGCTTTGATATGGCCGGGGTCCTCATTCTATCTGAAAGAAGTCTCCTTATCTCTTGGTGCCTCTGATCCCTGGCCTGGCTCAGGTTTGAAACAATGCTGGAGACAGCCCTAAGGGCGGTTCCCGGGCGAAATCAGGCCTAGAAGTAAATTCTTTGAAGCATGCTTTGTTTTTCCCTCAAAAGCTATGATAACCAGCTCATGCTGGGAAGGAAATTAACATTATTCACAGACTCTGACCCTAAACCCTTTGGTGCTCTCATGTTTACACTGTCATGTTTACTAGTCTCCTCTCGGACCCATGTCAATTGGTGTGTTCCTGACATTTGTTTTCTTCAAAACATCATCTATGCTCTGTAAACATTAACATACTGCTGTAGTGATATCACCTGTACATTCCTACTACCTAGCCCCACTGATAACCCTTTCAATAAAAGTCTTTGGACACAGGGGCTCAGGGCCTTCTCCACTAGAGGGAAGTGCCATCCCCCTCTCCTGGCAGACAGAGAAGTGTCTGGGACGACTTATTTTATTTCCCCCATCTGTGAGGACCCCAGGATGGGCTCTGCAGGATTTAGAGCCCTGCTCCCTCCCTCAGCTGGTACCCAAACAGGGACCCTCAGATCCAAAGTCCGGCTCCCTCCACATGTTTCCTCAATACTTTTCTACCTCTGTTCTTCCGCTTGGTCATGTCTTTACTAAGGCCCTTTGTGAGCCGAGACCCACTTCCCCTGTAAGCCTGAAGTACCCCTCCAGTCTTCAAGCTGCCTGCCTGATATCGATCATTATCCCTCCTGGAGTCCCCTGTCTGGGGCACGGTGGGGACAAGCTGTTCTCTTTTCCATTATATCTGTTTTTTAAAATTCATTTGCTGAAAGTATGATGAATAATAGATAGTAAGATTGTTTTATCCTTAGTTAGAACTTAGCCCTTTTACCTGTTGCTCGAAACTAAAATGCAGGTGTAGTTCTTTCTCTGGCCTAATAGTAACGAAGTTGTACTGAGAGTATTATGATCCTATCCCCTTGGCATCAGTGGTCCTCAGTAGGCAGTTAGCTACACATTTTCTTATCTTCTGGTTTTGGTGTGAGGAATTTTTTTTTTTTTTTTTGTCCTAAGCTCATTGGTATAGAGGAGATAACACTGAGAGCCAGGAATGTGCCCTCTCTGGCTGCCGATGCTTCTGTAAGCTGTCTTTGATACTCAGGTCCCCTTCTTTTTCTGGTCTCTCGCCTCGTTTCTTACCCACCCCACCATTCTATCACTACAGTTTTACAATAGAAAAATTCTTGACCACAGATGTATATATAATAATTGTGAAAGCAGAGTTGTTTCCCTGACACTGCATTCATAAGCACATCTATTATCTGAAGGTGTAGGTTACTGGGAGAACCTGAGTCCACAGAGTTCGCAGACTCCTCTGGGCTATCCACTACATGGACACCCTCCTCCACCAGCTATGTAGCGGGGCCTCTTAGGAGATTTTAATTCTTTGCCCCTCCTCTGCTTTTACTTAAGAAGAGCACTAACGTGGTGAAAGGATGGACAGCAAATTGGAGAAGGAAAAGCCACATTACTTCAGTCTTCCAAATGATTCCTATGTGATTGAGATGTGTCTGAATTTAAAGGTTTCCACTGAGTATAAGATGCCAAATAAGTAGTTTAAATGTACCTGGTGCATCAAAAACAGGTTCTCTGAAGACCTCAAAAACCAGAAAAGATGGATATTGGAAGATAAAAGGATGGAATGTATAACTTTTTATACTATGAGAGGGTTCTTCCATGAACCTGTTTGCCACTTAGATCGCAGGTTCTAGGATGAGTAGGCATCTGAGTAGTGACGGGGTGGCGGACCTCCATTCTACCGAATTGAATTCAGGAATATGATTAGTTTAAGAAAACAAACCTGTCAAGAAAACATCCTAAGTAGAAATAGTATGGACTCCTATTTGGAGTCTGATATTTAACATTAGATTTACATACCAGTGAGCAGTAAAGTGTACATACCCATTTGATTACATTTCGATCACTTTATTCTATGACTACTGAAGCATTTCATTTTTTCTTGTATCTTTCACTGTTTTTAGATCACATCTCATCCTCAAGTCTTTGTGTCTGTTCTCCAGCTTAACCTTACTCTTATTCATCAAACAACATCCTGTCACTTTTAAAGAGTACTTCTTAAAATTTACTTCTGAAGACTTTCCAATACTAGATAGAATGTCATATAATTAGTAATAAACGTATATCATTCATCAAACCCAAATAAACAATTTTTTCAGTTCTGTTTTTTGTATTTTGTCCCATTTGTACAGGAGCTTACTTA